ATTTTTGATGAAATAAAAACAAAGTTTTTTGAAAATGATTGAAATAAAATAATATTTAGAAAAATTGCATGATGAACAAAAAAAATCTTATTCATTAATCCATTAATCTCATGATTGCAAAAAAAAAATTAAAATCTACGCTTTTTATTAAAAAGAAAAATTAGGTAATAAACTTTCCTCAAAAGGAAGAAAATTAATACTTAAATGCTTGGAAAATGATTATGAAAAACTTTCTTAATTTTTTTCTTTGTTTCCGTTGAATATTTGAAGATGTAAAGTTGAAACAATACGTTGGATCAAAAAGAACTAAAAAAAGAGGAGATTAAAAGTTTCTTTGTATTCAAAAGTGTGATTATGGTCCAATGAAACTAATGAAACAAATAATTAAATTAAATTAATTAAAAATGAGCTTTTGAATGCGAAATACATTACATTACTTAAAGAAAAGATAAAAGAAAGGATAAATATTAGGAGAAGGAAATCATTTTACAATAAGACTTTTGAAGACATCAGCGTCACTTTGAAGGTGACTTTATATCCAAAGAAATGGAGAAAGGGGAGAAAAAAATAAAGAAGCCTAATCAAACCCACGGATTTTTATATGAAAAATAAAAACATTATCTTTGAGATACATTCGAAGACATAGTTTCGTCATTTTACTCTTCTCACACTTTATAACCAAAAATACTTACTAAGTGATTCCATTCTCAATTAACATTCATTAAATATTTCACATACAACTTCATCATTCAAGATTCTTTTCGTAAAGTTTTCCTACATAGAAAAGCTTTTAGAAAGTCCTCGTTATATTCTCTAGGTTTAAAACTATTTCATTATGTAATTAATTCTTGCGAAACTTTTAAATGCTTATTTTAATAATTGATGATCAATAATAAAGCGAAACCACAAACAAATTATGATGAATTTATTTTTATCCTTGGATAAAATGAAAATAAAAAATGAAATAAAGGTAACAATGAATATGAATATAAGTAAATTAACCATTAAATCAAATTTGTTTTCTGTTTTTCATTTCCTCTCTTTCAAGTTTTAGCGAATAAAATAAGTTTTTAGCATACACGATACACAGAAATCGTTTAAATAATGACTAAAAGTTTAAGTACAACAGTATTAAATATACTATAACTATTATAACAGAAAATGATGAGGAAGAAGAAGAAAAAAGTATTTCACAAAGTAAATTAATTGATTAACATTTCTTTTCCACACTAAATTTGGAAGTTTTCTTTGCAAAGTTAACCAAAAGAAAGATAAAAGTTTTGAAACTACTTACAGCTGAAGGATGGTGACAATGAAGTTCAAACGAAGTATATATATATATTATATACATATATACAAATATGAAATGATAGTCCATAGAAATATTATAAGAATTTTGAATTCATTTTCTTTAATTTCTATCCAGAAAAACAAAAATAATAAAAACATTCGTGCATCATATCAGGCAAATTTCTTAAAATTATTTCTTTGATAATTCATTAAACACTAAGAAACTAAATATTTAATTCAAGATAACTCAGATTATCTTTTGGAAACCGGAGGATTCCTATATACATGAGCATGATAAAGTGATACAAGGAAAGCTTCAAAAACAAAACATAAATCCTACTAGAATTCGCATGAAGTAGAAAACATTTTCTTTCTCTGTTTTTTATTATCTTATTAATCAAATTAAATTGCATAAAATCATTCAAAATATCACCCACAGAAATTTGCCAAAAAAAATTACGGAAAAAATTTAAAACATTTTTTGATATTGACAAGAAAACTTTTCGAAAAAATTTCGACCATCAAGCACAGTTGGAAACGTGGAAAAACCAAAATTTTGATTTGTAAATGATGCAAAAGAAAGAAAAACTTAAATGAAAGAAAGGAAATTCAATTGAAAAACATTCTTGTTAATTTTCTATTGAAATAGTTAAAAAAAATACACATCAATATTTATAATAAAAAATAAATAAAAGTAAAAAAAAAAACAAACAAACAAAATATATTATATTATTATAAACTTTATAACAAAATTAACAAAAGAAAAGTTAATAAAAGTACTTTATAAAAATTTAAATTTCCTCCGTGTTCTCATTTGCATTCTTAAAAACTTTTCAGGTGAAACTTTTATGCTAGCGAAATTATCTTGGAAAATCACTTAGCATCAGATGTTTGAGGTAAAAGCTTTTAATTAAATTATCTGATGTCAAAGTATCCAAGTGACAAAGGTGGCATCTTAATTGTTCATTTCTTCACTATCAAAGCGAGAGAAAAATGAATGGATGAAGGAATAAAAGAAGATGGCAACGGCAACAGATGTATTCAATAACACTTCTTGTTTTGCTTTTCGTGAAACAAGATTAATAATGTGGCAGCGCTTCATAGTCGTTCCATGTTTTCATGTAGTAAAATGTCTATTTTGCTAAACGTTTCGCCCATTTAGAAGATGTTTACGACCTCACTTCAAGATGTTATGAGCCCACAATTAGTATGAAAACTTTTTATACTCGACCGCAAATAACTTTTTGGTTTAATGAACCATTGAAGCTTCTTGCTTCATACCGAAATTGGGAGATACGCTTGACAACCTGCAGTTGCGTTGGAATGTGAAATAAAAATACTCACAGATATATTTTGTCGGAAATTCTGATAAATTTTCTTCCTCCAAAAGTCATTTTCATTTTACATAACAGATTATTTTTTCCGGAATCTATTTGAGCAAAAAGGTGGAGAAAAAGTTTTTAGATCTGTAAATATTTTTCACCCAATTTGCTCTCCGCATTTTGCTTCTTTTTTACTTTTTTTTGTGCCCTAGAGAAAAATATGTGCGGTGGTGGGAGATGTTGAATCAAAATATGTATGTGTGTATTTGTGTTTATTTTTCACAAGAGTAAACTTCCGTCAAATTTGTTTCCTTTCATGGCACAAACAGGAAAACTGTTTGCTTTTTATTATTACTTTTCAGAAAACTGCTTTTCACTCACTTCCGCCATTCAATTTAATTAATTGCAATACCTTTCTTCATGCGAAAAAGGAAAATACATCAACAAGACATTTTCAACATTTTATCGATTTAAAATTATTCGCAATTTTGCTTCGTTCTCACAAGCACAAAAAGCAGATAATTTTGAGATATTTTATGACTTCCCTTGCTTGCTTCTCTTCAAAATGTGAAATGTTACTTAGTAAGTATTTTGTTGTTTAAGAAGAAAACTTTTACAAAACTTTTCAATTCTCACAAAATTTGATTTCAATTCTCAAGAAAATATTGTGAAGCTAAATATTTTTCAGCAACAAATATTGATGTATGAAATACTGATAGAAATTCATCCCACTAGCAACAACCAACCAGTGAATGGAAAATAATTTATCTCGAAAGTCAATCGATTCTTAACGGAGAGACTCCCACAGGAAACATTTAGTAAAGGCTTTTAAATGGATTATACTAACTATCTGTCTTCAGACTGAACATAGTAGCAATAAATATTTAATCCAATGACGATTAGTTCCCATTTTTCCTTTTGTTCTTTATAATAAATATTGCTAACGGAAAGAAGCCGAGATAAAATAAGTTCATAAGAAGACATTGGAATGTCACGTGTATTGGCTCGTGATTAAATAACGTGACCTCGTTTATGAGAACGTGATTTCGAATTGGAAACGCAATTATAAAATATCTTCATATTGCAAGTTATGAAACTCATTCAAAGTTCATTGTATCAACAATTTAATTATTAATAAGAAGTTGAAAGAACTGAAAATAAATGTGAGATCTACTCATCAATCAGATCTAATCTAGGGAGATCTACGATGATGGTAGATCAATGCTTGAATGAAACAAATGCTGGTAAAATAAAAATAGAATCTCAAGACGAAGTTGCAAATAACAAACTCAGCAATTACCGTAATGAAATGTATTCAACAAATTGAAATTTATTTGGCAAGAGCATAAGTAAAGCTTAAATTAATTTAATTAAATCTCTCATATTGCACATGGTACTGACAACTTTCCATTAGAATAGATTCATTTTCATCTAGTTTTTCTTTCTTATGTAAGTATTTCCATTGGACAACGTAAGAGACGAGGAAAGAAAGTCAGTAAGATAAAACTTCTCATCTATTAGAAGAACTAAAGTGCTGGAATGCTTTTAGATCTTTTAAAGAAAGACAAATGGGTATGTAGAGGGAGGAAACGAAATTAGCATTGAATAAAAAGCTAATTTAATTGCAAAACAACTAATAAAATTGTTTATTCAAACATCAATGAAAAATGATGAAAAACAGACACAAAATTACTGAAATTCTAGCTTGTATTCACGATTGTAACTTAACTACGAAAAGAAAGATAAAACAAGCGTTAAAATTCCAAAATGACAAATGATTTCTCTTTTCAAAACATTTATTATCAACATAGGAAAGAAAGGCGAGCTAACAAAATTATAAGAGAATAAAATATGACCATACCTATAAATAAAGTTAATTTCCTTTTGCGAAAGTCGTTAAATAGATAAAAAAATATTTCCAGCTTAAAAAGGATGAGAAGGAAAATGTGAAACTCATTTTGTCCAACTCATTGTTTCAGAACTTGAAACTTCAAGTAAGTGTGTGTGTGTAGGTTTAGTGTATATGATGGTTTATCATTTTCCCCACATTTTCCGACTTCACTTCAGATGGAGGAAATGGAATCTAGTGAAAATAAATGACAGGCACTTTAAACTGACAACTATATAAAGTGAGTCTTCAGAAACTTTTTTTCTTCTTTCTTTATCCTCCTTTAGTCATTAAAATTACTTTGTATCAAGTCTGCCTGAATCGCTTTTGTCATTGTTGCTATTGTCATAATGTTGCTGGAGACTTAACTGAAGAATAAAAGCGATTTGTGTAATGCAAAAACCGAAAGAAATAAAACGGCAATTCCTCTGAAATTTATTTTCGTCTTCATCTTTGTACAAAACTGAAGCTTGAGCTTTTGTTGTATTTTATTTCTTTTTAACAACTCTTCTTTTTATTTAAAAGACAAAGCAAAGGCCTTTGTAAGTATCAAGTTGAATTAGAGGATGACAAGTTCAGGTGTTATAAGCTCTTAGTTGGAGTTGAAGCGCAATTAATCTTACACTAGTCATCCTCTTGCAAACGTGAATTGAAAATACTTCAGATCTCACTTAATAGTTTTACCTTCGTCTTTATATATTTATGTATTTAAGCAAGTCTCTGAGTAAATCCTTTAACAAAGCGTTTTACTTTTCAGAGACAAGAAAAAATTATTCATTCTTCCATTTAACTCATCTTATTCATTGTCTTTTTCCTTCGTCACTTGAATGAGATATAAATTACAGTTTTGTCGTTTCAGTTTGGGAAAATAAATTCTAATAATAACCACATCACATCAGAGATATATTTCGATGCTAAATTTTAATGACACATCCCGAACTTCATCTGTTGACTTTGCTGATGATTTTATTCGAGTCATGAATCATAATATCCTGAGTGATGAAGATATCAAGAAGGTTCAAAGATGGAGAGAAAAGAGCTCAACTCTAACCGAAACAAATTGTATAAATCAGAAAATTAATTGTTTCAGTCTGGAATGTGACAAAGTTGAGAGCAGAAAACTCTTCTTCTTCGTCTTTTCGTTACAAATGAAAGAAAGAAAAATAATGAAATGCCTCGACTCGTCTTGTCTTCATGCACATCACATGAGATCAAAGTCAAGAGACATGCGCTTGAGACAAAACACTTATTTTCGAGAATTTACTGTCGGTTCCGGTCGTTAAGTTAAAGAAAGTTATCTGAAATATAATTTCCAACAAAATATCGAAGCTTTAAAACTTTTAATTAATTCTCCACTTGAAACATGTTGAATGTCATGCCGCTTTTCATCCTCTTTTTATTCGTCGCTTTTATAAATGTCGATTGTCAATTAATTGACTAATTGGTTGTTTAAAGAAATAAATTAATGAATGCAAAATGGCTGGAAGAAATATAAATTTGTGTTGAAATATGCAATTAATGAATGTTTAAAGAAAATTTTAATCTTTCGACAACCCTAAAAACTTCTCCCCACTTCAAAAAATCTTTGTTAAATATTAAGAGAATTTTTTTTAAGATCTTCATATATAAACTGTAAAGTGCTTGCAACAAGTTCCAACAGAGCATCATCATCATCATACTTATTAAGTAGAAATGAAAGAATGAAGAAAAGTAAGAAGAAAATATCCCTAGAGGCTATTTAGCCATTAAATTATAAATTATAAATTGCGCATACATTTTATGCATTAGAACTCCTTTAGAGACTGAGTGAATGGGGTGAAAGCTTATGGTGTTACTAAACGTATTGTTAGTCGACATCTTTTATGCAAAAACGAATGAAATAAAATTTAAAGCCAATTCTCTTGCTAGTGCTATGCAATGTGGCCTCGTTCAGATCGTTAGTTTGTTCAGAGCAATGGAGTGTCGAGGGAACTTGTTGCATTTTCTCGAAAGCTGCGATGAGAAGGAAGAGAATGAATTATGGCGAGTCTTAAAGTGTAGATTTTCTGATTTCTCATTGGTGGTACTTGTAGTGTTCGTTTGTTCATTCTTTAAGTGATTTTCCTTTCTTTCTTTCATCTACAAATTCTTGAGAACTTAAGCTCAATTAGATTGTAAATGCCGCTGACACACAGAAAAGTTTAAGTAATTAACTTTTTTTTTCTCTCTTTCTGTCGTTTCTATCAAAAACCTTAAGAAGCAGCTTTCCGTTAAAAGTTTTTAAAATTAATTAATTTTTTTTTTCACTTTTCTATTTCGTAAAGTTGTTTCTTTGTTCGCTTAGTTCAGAGGTAAACCTTAGTAAAATTAGTTTAAAACGTGATTTCACGCTATAGAGTTTTATAAACGGATTTCCGTTAATAAGAAATTTAATTTGCTTCGTTCATTTGACAATGAAATGATTTTCGGTGCAAGAAATTAAACTGCAAACTTTTAATTTGATTTCTGCCACAACATTTACTTGCTATAAGTTAAATATTTTCAACTGTAATCGATTTGTTGCATGCTAAATAACAAATTGTTTCACTCATGTTGAACACTGAGCTCCATTAACTATAAGTTTATGCTTCGAGTTATTTTCATTTTGTGTTTACGCTTATCAAAATATCCGAAGTTATTACAAGCTTACCGTTTTATACCAACGCTGTTGAGAGTTGAGTATGTACGAGCGAACATCAATTGTTGTTAGATGGAATTATCGTGTATATGAACATGGGTGCAAATTTTGGATTCTTCAAATGGTTTAAAGACAAACAAATGTTTGGAAAAAAGATTAATGTTTGCTGCTTGCTTCATAAAAAAAACTTCCGATGCGATAACAAAGCTAAACTTTGAATACACACAAAAGCTAAAGCACAAGTTGAAAAATATTTACAGTTTATAAATGTAAATTTCATTTTCTCGCTTCATTCTCTCTCTCTCTCTTTAGCTTCTCTAAAAGCGTAAACATATAATTTACATTCAGCATAGCAGCACTAGAAATTTATTGCTAAAATATCCAACGGTTGTTTTCACATTACCGCAAAATTTAATGAATTGCAAAGATTGCTTCAGACAGAATTTCTCTCTCTCTCTCTCTCTCTCACTCTTTATTTTATATTTTCTTTTTTCCTTTTTAAATAAAAGTCAAGCACTTTCGTCCACCCTCGCATCTAGGGAATTAAATGTATTTGTGTGCATAGAGATTGTGATAAATCATTTCGAATTTCCATTTTTTTCTTTCGGATTTTTCTAAATATTCTAAGCCTTTGCATGCACAAAAACAGCAAGATGAACTGTTGGTAGTTATAGAAATGAGAAATATATAAAAAATACAAAACGACTAAGTGGCGAAAAAAGAACATTAATGGATTGTTATTTTGTTCATTGTTGTTATAGGTTTTATGTCTATTACATGTGACGCGCACTCTTTCTAATACCAAATTTATGCTTCTTTCAAGCAATAAATAGCAAAATATATTTTACTCAACACTTGACGCTGTTGTTTGCTTGCTTGCTGTGTGCATTTGAAAATTATCAAACTTGTATGTTTTTGTTAAATTAGATATTTATTTATGCATAAAGAAAGAAGAAATAAAACTTTTTCCTTTACTCATTTATACCGTTTTGGAAAAACATAACTAAGGCGTCTTTCATCAGGAATGATTCTTCTGTTTCACAACATTTCATGCATCGGTGGAAGCAATAACAAAATTTTCAAACTCTTCCATTTACCAACTGAAATTTGATTACCGCATAATATTTTGTGTTTGTTCATGTGCTGTGCTGTACAGCTGAATCCTTAAAAAAGGTTTCGATGTAACCCATTTCCCGGGGAAAATTGAAAATAATTCATTGTATCCCAAAAACAATGCAGCTGTAATGAATGTATCGAAATTATTCACAAATGAAATATTGCTGGTATTAGAGTCGCGGTGTCAAAACTTTAATGTACTTTACTAATTATGTTTGTCTCGAAGATATTTTATATTTATTTTAACGTCTATCTATGTTCACGAATCGCGATGCAAGTACAAATTTAAATTCACTTTTGTTGTTCTTCCACAATAAGTATCAACAACGATGTTGAAGCTTTCTTCATCTTACATTCTTCACTTAATACTCGCAACAAAATATCGTAACGTTAGAGAAAATAAAATAAGCAGACACAAAATTAATGTAAATGGTACACATTATTAGATTTTCTTGTCGAAAAAAAAGCGAAGCAACGAAAAAAAAATTCTGAGAAATTATTTAATAAACTTGACTTGTTGTTGCTTGCTTTTCCACCGTTTCATACCAAGAACAGGCACATAATGATGTTGTTTGTGCTATGGTGTTGTTTATTCGCTGAATAACAAACAATTTTGACTTCAAGTGGATATAATGTGTAGTCTGATTCACTGCTATTGATGTATCTCATCTAAGTATTCGACTTCTTCTTACAACACTATGTGACTCCCACTCCTCTACTTACTTAAATATCTCCATGTATGATGAACGTTATACATCGTATAAAGAAACATTCATCAAGCATATAATGCAATAAGGACAGGGGAGAAAGCTGAAGAAGTCTAAGAATATGATACGAAAGTAAGTAAGTATGTATGGATATGCAATGAATTATGAACGCTTTATAATTTATTGTTTCCATATTGAAACATGTCATGTTTATAATATAACAAACGAGAGACTAATTGAAAATAAAGCTTCAATAATAAACTTCGACAGTGCCTGAACAAAACAATTATTTAGAGGGGGGCAATGAAATGATGGAAGATTCTTTAGAAAATTTGCTACAAAAGACCGAAGGGAATAATGTTGTCAATTTATGCTTTCAAAGTAGAGTTTCGTGCAGAATATTATTGACATTTTAATTATTAACAAGTGCAACACACTTTGAAAATAAGAATCAGAGACAAATGAAATATTTCAATTCAATAACAACGACGGCAATTTATGAGCTTCAAATCGTTGATTTAAATAATCCAAGTTAATGAGAAATTACAAACAATAATGGAAGTTTGTCACGAAGTTACTTTTATCAATTATTTAGAGTTTTTTAAAAGAGTGCTTGCTATTAATATAAAGAGATCACCACAATGTTAAACGACTAAAATAAAGTGCTTTGATCGAGAAAGTGCGTGTCATTTGTGTATAAATTAGAAGCCGTCTCCATTTAATTCTCTTCTTCTGAATGAAAATTCCTTTATGTGTCGCAAACATGTGACGCTATTACCAAGGAGCTAACAAATTCCAACAATTTCTAAACGCTTCACTACGAGACATCGAAACAGTTTCGAGTCAATTAAGTCTTAGGGACTCGCTAAATTTAAGGAATCATCATTTAATTAACATTTACGTTCGTTCACATACAGACATATGAAGTAAGATAAATATTTAAGACAGAAGACGACACACACTCACAAATATCCATAAAGAGCGCATAATTTGCTAAACACGCTTTCAACAAGATCGTCTTGTAATTAAGATATAAGAGAAGGAAATTAAAGAAACACACGCAATTAAGAAACTTTTGCTTTCTTCACCATTTTGCTCCCATGCCTTTAAACAAATAATAATCGTGTCGCAGAAATTTTAATTGTTTGTCATAAGATGGTAGCATAAACAAAAATTTGTTTCGCTTGGAAAACGATGTCGTGAGGCAAAATATGGCAAAAATTACCATTAAAAGAATCGCTGAGCTAAAAGTAATGTCACACATGAACGTGAAAATAAAAAAAAAGTAAAACATGTTTTCCCTCCTGACATTCACGTTTATAATTACTTTTTCGAGTTGAGATGAGAGAAAAACCGTTTAACTACACACGTCTTAATTAAGTTTAATATTAGAAATATGGTTTTGCTCGTTCGCATGCTTTTTCTCACCTTTTCATTTCACCCATAATGGTAGGAAAAGTAAAGCAAAGCAAGGCAAGCTGTTTGGTTCGAACAAGAGCAATTCCAAGAAATTTGTGAGATTTACAACAACGTTAGCGCTTGTCTTAAACGGAAGAGAATAAAAAATAATTATGGATGTCAGTGATGAAATTAGGAATTAATTTTAAGAGACAAGAAAATTGTTTCGCTTCGAAAAGCTTCTTTTCATGAAATTTGAGAGTGAATTATGATATCTGCTTGCTTCAAATTGTTGTCTTGTTGTGATGTATTTAAATGTATGCAGGAAAAGTCTATGACTTGGAAATCTTCTCCCCTAAAGTTACTAATTTGCATATTTCAAATTATCACGAACCATTATCATGCTTTAAAAACGATGTCAGGATTCACATAAAAGTCGATCTCAAAAATCATAAATTTTCCCCAATTTTCTTCATCTCATTATTAGTTTTCCTTTTCCTTTTCATTATTATTATTATTTTTATTATAATATTTTTTAGTTGAAGTATCTTAACAAAATGTCTTGCAGCTAATTAAGTGATGCGATAACATGAAAAAAAATCTTTACGGGAGGAGAGTTTAATAATAAGAAGACATAAAACATAACGAAACATCGTTAAAGATTTTCCTTAAAACTTGAGTGAAGAATTTTGTAAGCAAAAGGACAAGAAAGACGAAACTTTTTTCCATCAAATCATTTTAATTAAAATTCTCATAACAAAAGAAATTAAGGGTGTACAATGTAATCATTTTAACATTTAATTACAGTCGTTAAGATACAATGCGAAAATTATGAAACTTTTTTTTCCTTGTACTTGCTACGATTTTTTTAGCGGGAAATTGAGAGAAATGTTCATGACTTTGATTCAGTTTAAAAGTATTAAATGTTCGAAGTGTAATTGATATTTATTTGGGATCAAAACAATGAAAAGATTACAAAAGTCTATCAAATACTAATCAATGCTCATGAGAATTATTCTCGGGATGTATATAAAATGTTATTTAACCAATTGAGAAATCGCTTATGAAAGCACTCGAAAGGAAGAACTGAATATCAATCAGATGAGAATGAGAATGAGAATCCAATAAAAGCACATTTTCCTTCGGTAATTTGTTCCCTTTTCATCTGCTTGCTTCTTCGTCACGATTGTCTGCTCAAAATGCAATTAAAGGATTTTCCGTCCATTAAATTCTTCACTTGCTCGCTTATACGAGTTTCGCCTTTCACATGGATTTAAATTTCGAATGCTTTTAAAAATTCAAATAATGCTAATGGATTACACAATCCAATGAAACTTATGATCACATCATCTGAGCTCTGCTGTTCTATCTGATAATAACTACGACGCTTGTTCCTACAAAAGACATTTACAGTTAACTAAACTGTTGAATCGTTCTTTTCAATTCTTCAATTCTTCCAATGAACATAAAAATTACATTGCCAATAAAACATCAGACTGACGCTTAACGCTAGCAAAAAAAAAGAAAAATTACACGATGAAGAAGAAAGAAGCAAAAAAAAAAAAAGAAAAACGAATATTTTTGCTTACACAAGAAATCAATAACAAACGCAGAAGTCTGGAAAATAATCTTTTAATGATTTGTGAAAAGGAAAATGAAAAATTGCTTCTGCATTTCGACATCATCGACATGAGAGTTTGAGAGCTGATATCAGGTTTTATTTTATATTTTTTGATGCTGTTCTCATGTTGTTTGACTTCGGCAATCTAAATCATTGAGTTACAAAGTGTAATGATCTTTAGAGTTAGTTGGGACAGCAAGTAAACTAAACTGAACAAACCGCAAACGTTATTATTTGTGGTTTATTCAGTTCATTTATAGTGCTTGCATATTATTTAAGTATTAAGGACATGCATAGGATCGTAATACGAAAAGGTGATTACACCAAATGCAATCAATGTAAAATCGCTTTAACCGAAGTATTATCAGCTGAACTGAATCTGTTGAATTTGTGAGTTGAAAGGAACGATGAAGTGTGGGGAACATTTATTATTACGATGTATTAATAAATAATTTTTGAACCGTAAACCTCACAACATATCTAAAACTTATTCACTCTCGAACATTCTCGTTTCCCATTCCTGACTCCCGCATAGTTCATATCTCGTATCATCGGAACATTATTTCCTGCACTACTCGGTTTAGGATTTTGCGGTCAATATCGAAAGTCGACGACTTCATGGTTTCAACTTTACAACAATTTCCATTACATTCACTCACATTCTTAGCTTTACACTCTCCACAACGCAATCGATTTCACACCACAAAGCTAATCTGTTGATACGAGACTGTTGAAAAGATGCTTTTTATTACATCGTTTACGTATAATTCGGTTTTGCATTCTCCTAAATGTCTAGCTGAATAACAGATGATGTTCTAGGAAGGAATTTTCACAACGTTATCATCGTTGGAAATTCAGTTCGTTTGACTTTTCACAAAAAATTATAAACCTTGGATGTATTTACTCATATTTCGATATCTAAATTTGAAATTCCAATATTTATTCTTCAACATCTTCAACATAAAATCAATTAAGTTTAAAATGCCAAAAATGTTCTTCGTCTTCTTTATCATTTATCAACCAGCAAGTGAAGAGGCAAAAGGAAGTTTCAACTCATTGCAATCTAACCTCAAGCTTCTTCGAAGGAAGATAAAAAGTAAACTTTTTTCTCATTTTCCTTGCTTAAAACACAAAAACCCTAAAATAAAATCAAATTTCAGATTTCCACTAATTGATTCTATCAAATAAAATTACTTTCGGAAAATTTTCTGTTTTCACTTTCCTCACACTTTAATATTATGTTGAGCAATGTTGAGCATATATACAGAAATGTTATGTAAGGATACGTTGTTTACAGTCTACACCCCAAAAATTTAATTAAGTTTTCGACTCTTTTTCTCCCATCACATCAACATCAATGGCTGACAGTGACTACGAAGTTCGAAGCGAACAAGACTAAAGTTTTAAATAGATAATGCAAAGTTTTGACAGTATGTTAATAAAAATTCAATGTTTTAGGAATTAATTTTGCTAACTGCTTTGTTTTAGAACTTGAAGGCGAGTAGATTTAACTGATGATGATAATACTGTTAGACTTTTCCACAACTTCCAAAATATATCTGGCAGGTTCATCGCACAACTTATATACATTTATATGTCAGATCTTCCCTATCCGTTGTTCAATGTTTGAAACTTAAAAAACTTTCTGATAACTCAATACAATTTATTATATAAAATTTCAAGTTAAACCACAAAATCAAATTACGTAAAATTCCATTCCGAAATATGAAAAAAGAGAAAAGCTGAAAACCTCACACAGCATGAGATTATCGGAGAGTAGAACGAGGCAGAGAACAAACTTATCGGAAATTAAAATTTAATTTTATCCCGAACACACAACAACAGAAGCTGAAGTACTAAAGATAAAGAAATGAAAGGAAAAAAGCAATTTTAAATTGTTGCCGATGTGGTTTGATGATCTTTTCGTTCAACACAAATAAATATCTATCTACTTTGTTTCCATCGTTTCGCCTTTTCGTATAAAAGCAAATTAAAACTCATTGAAAGTTGAAAGTGTAAAAAATCAGCTTTTAAAGTTGTAAACTTCGCAAAATAAGATTAATATGCTTTGATCGTTTCCCCATTAATAATTCTTAACATCCACCCACCGTACATCCTCGTCGCAATGCTACCAGTAAAGCTAGCTCCCTTCGTATCCACCCCCAGCAAAGCCCTCAAAGAGCTTAATTAAAAATATTTTTAATTACTTTGTTATTGAATTTTCAGTTTTCAGTTTTCAGTTTTTTTATGTTTTGTCAAATGAAGTAAGCGGGAGAAGTAAATTTAATGACAATTTTACCATTCGATGTCGAAGTTTTCAACGTTCATGCTTCTACTTATATGTTCGCTTGTATGTTCACACACATAAATTGGAAAACCATGAAAAGTAATCTGTTATATTGTAAACAACGAGTTTCATTTCGATGTTGGTACATGCAAACGAGTGGCAAGTGCGAAGGGAATTTTTAAGAGGAAAGAGTGAGTGTAAACGGCGCGATAACGAATAAAATTGATGCATGTTGCTATTTCAACCACATTGGAAGTATTTGGCTTGACACATATTAATTTAACGCTGAGAATAGCGTCAGAAATTACATGTCAAAAACCACAATTCAATTTTATTTCATTTTAGATTGATAAAAAATTTTTTTGTATAAACAAAGCTGTCAGTTAATAAAGCTATGAAAGAAGAAAAAAATTAATTAAGGAGCAAAAACATCGACATGATAATTAACTTCTATTGAAGTTTCTAAAATTTCAATTATAAAATTGGTTGAACAAATAAATTATTGACGCCCACCCTTGTTTGCTTGGAGAATCTCTCATCTCTCACAACAGTAATTCATAAATAGATACTAGGACCGGGACCGCGAAAACATAAAGCACAGCATAGAATTTTGTATGCTGCAGACACTGAACACATAACAACATAGTTTTAACTAACAGCCAATCAATTACCATGTTCATTAATTTACATTATTGAAAGATTCTTCATTAGCCAAACACAACACTGACTTTGACAACGGAAAATATTTGCTTTTGGGTTCATGGATTTGTCTATGACGTAACACGTTGTTAAGCTGCACCTATGGCAACTTTTGAGCTATTTATTTTGTTCATACTTCATTCATCAAACTTAAACGAAAGGAAATAAGTGAAGTTGTTTGTAGGAATTTTTCCGATAATTAGAAAGACAAGAAAATATTTTTCATTACGCGAAAATGTCTTATTTTAACAACCAAGAAGGTAAATTCCTTCCTTTTTAAGCAAAAACAATATTAAAAGAAGCATTTTATGGAAAACACAACAGCAGTGCTTTTGTTGGTGCCGAGTGAAGAAAAAATGTTCCGCAAATTTGTCCTTCAGTACAGGAGGTTTCTGTGTGCAGCATTATGTATTTTATTTTCAACAGGTTGCCTAGACACAGAGAGTAAAATAGGAGAGAGGAAATTTATACACTTTTTTTTTATTTTCCGAGCTACGTTGTGTCGTTATGGTAATGAACCTGGGATTGAAGAGGCACGAGGAAGGAAGATTAAAAAATAAAATAGAATGCTTGTCCGAGATTGCAGCGATATTTATATTGCTTTATCTTTTTTTCAATGAAATTTGATAAATTTAGGGTTGATTGAGGGCGGACGTGGGAGTACAAAGAATAAAATATTGAACTACTACCAAAGAATGTATCTGATAACGCTTTCACTTAAAAGAACAAAAAGGAAACTCGCAAAATTCATTGCTGTGGTGGAAAAGTTTTTCATCAGCAATTGAAAGAAATATAAATTGAATGATATTTCTGAATTGGAAACCTTTGAAACTTTTCCCACAAATTTGTTTTTTCATCTCAATTTAGAAATGAACGTTCGTGATTAAATGCAGTAGTTTGACATCCTTTTAAAAAATTTGAAAATAATTGAAGCTTTCATGGAGAGGGCGCTGCTGTTGGCAGGGAGAAAGCTTTTTTGTGTCTTGGGTGGAAAATATCCTGAGCTTTATTCGTTGGTTTGAAAGATTCTTGACTTACAACAAATTCGAATGCAAGTAATTTTCGACTCGAATGAGGAAAATTCATTTCATCTTGACTCTCAAATAGAAGAAACACAATCAAATGCTATTAATTTTATTTTCTGTTGGTTGTAAATGCTTCTCGTTAAAACATGTCAATCTCCTTTTTTTATTTTTCTTTCATCTAAATCCGAACATTAAAAACATTTATTAGATAAATATTAAAGAAGGGTTCTAAAAAAGAAAAGAAAAGAAACTATAAAATGTTGTTTATTTAAACAATGAAATCCTATTTGTCTTAAGATCCTTCGTTCATTATGCTTCATGCACATAACACTGATATACTTTATAATATTATTGTAGCTTTTGTGGCACAATCTTCGAGTGCTCATAGTTTATAAACGTGGTAGAAGCAAACGAGAGAAAAATAAAAGAAGAAAACTTTTTCGTCCGCTTTTATGCTCCACAACAGAATGATAATAATATTTAAGTTGTTTTATTTCTTCTACAGAGTATGAGACTCACCATAAGGTGACATCTAAAAGAGAATATTCGAAAAGGCTATGTTTGACTAGACTATGAACCATTAATCATTCGGTGTTATTGTTTTGGTTATTGCTTGCTTACGAATTTATTTACATTTTATAAGATAAGCCCCAACAACTTGTTCTAGTTTTACTCGATGACTCTCCTATAAAAGATTCAGCTTCTTCTTTTTTTATGTACCAAACTCTTCTTATCCAAATATCTAAGTTTTTGAATAACTTTAAGATATTTTGTAGTCGAAATTGTTTTTCTTGTAACTTGCCAACAAATTCATAACTTCAAATATGCGACAATTATTCTAATTCCGTTTCTCATCATCGCACATCTGTTCCATTTGAAAATTGTGAAAGCAAATGAAAGCTTCAATAACTCTCTGTCTTTTCTTTTTGACAACTTCTGCGTAGCGATTACAATTCGGATGAAAAAGAAATTGGAATTTGGATGTGAAAAAGAAAAACCTTGAAGAAATATAAAAAGAATCAATTTTGTGGAATTTATATGGAAATGATTTTTGAGAGGAAAAGAAGGTCAAATTTGTGGTGTGTAATCAAATGGATGGTTGTTTTAATTTCCAAACTCAAAAGTTGTGATTCACAATTCTTCTTCATTTTCTTATTAATAAATATGAGACAAATGCTTTTTCGATCAGACAGAAAACTTTTCCTATAACAACAAATCGACTTCTGACATAGAATTTCAATGTCGAACCTTTTTATCTCTCCTTGCTGCATTTATACATTGTATTTTATCATTCATCCCAGTTCGCTCGTATTTGTTTGTTGTGGCTTGACTTTTGTGTCAGTTTTTGCAATAGTGGCAATGGAAATGGAAATTCTCGATGGATGTAATTCGAATGCATACATAAAGGGAATGTTTTTGATGTTGCTTTTTGTGATTCGCATAAATTTACAGTTGATGTGCTGCTACTGCTGCTGCTTCTGCTGTTCGTCAAACAACATTGCGAACATCGTCAATATACAAGTGAAATTGAAATTAAATATTGATTAAAATCATGTAATTAAGCACTAAAATGCTGATACAAATTAAATTCTCTCTCACTCTCTTTATAATCCTTAGCCGTTTGATGAATAATTGAAGTAGATAACAAGCATTCGCCTATTCCAATTTCGTTGGATTTAAATAATTTTAACATTCCATTCATTACTAGGTACTTGCTTAATCAAAAGTCAAGAACTTTACATTCATTCATGAAAATTGATTGCAAATTCAAGCATTTCATCTTTCATATTCATGCACTCATCTTTTTGATTTATGAGAAGTCAAGAAAATATTTTTTTTAATTCTCTGATTGAACTAGTGATGAGTACTTCAAATTGAATTTTATGAATTTAATTAAAACCACAGAAAGATGCACAGAGAGAAATACGAGATTAATAATTTATTCCTGTTGAAATTCAATTTTATTCAATTTTTTGAGGGCAGATGACTTTTGTTGCTGCCCACGCTATCCATAAATTTACATTTTACAATTCTCAAAATAAAAAAATAAATTCTGACGAAATTTGCAATTCAATGTTTAAAACATTTTGTCAGAGCGAGAAAAAAATAGCAAAAAGTAAAATTACAGTCAATTTCTTCCCTCAACGAATTGTTAATTGAATTCAACTCTGCGAGGAATCGTGGAATCGTTCGGACTTTTCAGTTAGCTTTACTCGACTTTTCATTTATGTTTTCATCTGAAACTCTGTTGGTTTAAAATTATTTCTCGGTACAACATCATCACATCGCAACGAATGAAAGTAATTAAAATAACAGTGAAACAAGTTTCAATAATTTTAATTCCATCCTGTGGGTGGAAAGCAAGGATTTTTTTCCATCTCCCTAGTCAATTCTGTAAGCTGCAGCCGAGTTCGAGTCGCTCTCAAAGCCTCAGGAAAAACCAAAACGAAACGAGAAAAAATGCAATATTAATGTAATTGAAATTTTTTTTCCATGTTTTTCATTATTTGATTGATATGTGTGCATTGAAATTCAACAATTTTTAATCAACAAGTTTTTCATATTTACTCGTTTATTGGCAGTGGGAAAAATGATTTTCTCATATTAAAAATAAAGCAACATTTTCTCGATCATATTCATCCAATTTTATGGTGGATGTGTCGATTTTTTATAACATTACGAGTGGAGGGAAAAAATGTTTCAAGCAAATATTTTTTCAGAAAGCGAAAGAGAGAAATTGAAATAAAAACAACTGAAAGAATTCAAAACATTCAGACGACCAGAGTTGAGTAAAATAAAAAGATATGATAAAGAAGAAGTCATCTCAGCATACACATTGCCCAATTTACTGGCCATTAAATATTCATGGCTGGTAGAAATCTCTTCCCGATTTATTATTTTTCCTCCTTTCTCTTCCGTTTTCGTTACAAAGGCTTAAAAACGACGGCAAGACGAGGAAAATTTGTGTCATTTAGTCAAAGCGAAGCCGAGCAAGTTGTAAATTTATTGACGTCTCGTGAGATCATCGTGAAATCGTTTCAAATCCAATCTCAATTTTTCTTACACATATTTTCAAGCTTCATCAATTATTGATGTCCCTTAAATGTTTCTCGAAGAATGTGTGAAAATTATTAGCAAACTTTTCCCTTTAAAATTCTCATACCCTTTTCAATCATTGTCGTCGTATTCGTCGTTGTTGACGTCGATTTAGAACGTCTTGATTCTGCACGAGTAAATTTGTCAAGAGATCTGAGCTGCTTTTGTTCTCTTCTTTCTTTTTCATCGAAAATATTGTCACAGAAGACACGAAAATGTATAAGGCTCAATGCACAGCAAAGAGCAACGCTACGAGCCATAAATAAATTTATTTATGTGTCAACGTCGTAAGAAGAAAAAGCGATTTCTTTTTCCTTCGCTCCTTTCCTTTCTATTTATCACAAATATATGATACTTGAGGCCGAAAAATCGGGTCGATAAATTCAGAGTGGAATGTTTTCGCACAAATGGGCACAAACGGAAGAAGGGAGAAAACTGAAAGCTAAGGGTACGGTCGGTCCTTGTATATAACGTGATAAATGAATGGCTCGCACACATAACAGAAAAAAAAACGAACTCAAGAGCATAAAAACAATGAAAAATAAATTTGTTGGAACATAATTCTTAATTTTATACCTTTCACAAACATAAAAATGGCCCACGCTCTTAACAATTGCTCCAAGCATTTCTCACTCCCTTCATCTTTCTTTCTTTCTCGTTGATTGTCGAACGTTGGAGTAATATGAAGTCTCGGAAAATTTTCCATTAAAACAGATGCTCGAAGGTTTCGGTTTGGTTGCGGTCGTTATAAGAAAGAAAAGACTTTTTCAAGAATATTCGTCAACCTAAAGTGATGGAAATGAAAAAGTTAAATGTGAAATTGATTTGTTAGCAAGGAAAAGTTTCACATTGTCGACCATCAGGCTAACATTTGGTGATGAAAGAAAATTCTATGATTGCTTTTAGTTCTATAAAAAAATTTCCATCGTCTTCATTCTTACGAAACTTATTGACACAACAGTTTTAGCTTCTCAGCTGTTTCTTACAAAAATAGGCAATTTCACATATTTGCAAAGCTTTTCTCATATATTTTTCCACTCTCTTTCACTGTTTGAATGGTTGTGCAAACAATTTCAAGATATACAATTACAGACGAAGGAAAGAATAAAAGAAAACTACATTGGAACAAGCAATCACGAGACGAAACGTTTTAATGATTTTTGGAGCAAAATAAAATAAACTTTCTAAATTATTCAACAGAACTGTCCATCCTCTGATTATCTCTATCTTTAGAACGAACAAATTTATTTTGTTTAAAAAGGCTTTTCACTCGGTTGAATTGACCTCATCACCCCTCACCATACAAACAATGAAACTAAAGTTGAACAAACATGAGACGAAAGGATAAATCTATGCAATTTCAGTTTAATGTCTCAATGATTTTCTCATCTTTTTCTTTCCATCCTTAAATGTCTCATTCTCGCTTGAAATCAGAATCAAGGCGATCATTTCAAAAGATATCACAAAATTTTCTTCTTTTTTAACTGATTCACATTCGATAAACGAAGTGGAGTAAAAATTGAGAGAATAAATATCATCATCATCATCGTCATCATCATCAACGTCATCATTATAATCATCATTTCCAGTATTGTTATAGCCGGTTTTTTTATAGCTTAATTCTTTTCTGAAAACGTTAAACAAGGCTGTAAGCATTACTTACGAAACGATGTATAAATGCATGAAGAAAAGGTTTAATCTCCATTGTTTTACTATAGCGATGGTGTTTTTATCGAGAACAGGAGACAAGAGGGAAAAATGTTAAAAACGTGATTCGCCTCTCGAGTTAAACAAGTGAAAATTCAGGACAATTTTTATAACATGTAATTGTTGTTTCCATCATTTCTCTTTACTCTTTACAGTGACATTAGAATTAAAACACACACAATAATGATGGTTAGAAATTAAAATCATTTTATAGAAGATTAAAACCATGAAATGTTTAGAGATATTTGCATAAGTATGAAATTTTCAAACCCCCATAGAGGAATTTTCGTTTAAACGAAAATTTTCACATATTTTCGATATTAGAATATCGAAAATTTTCCTAATTTTCGAAAATAATTTAAATTTTCGAACATGAACATTAGAATTGGAAAACTTTATTATTTTCAAAACTACTGTCCATATCATAATGTAATATCTGAATATGAAATGCAAGCTTTTGTCATATTTCAGAATGACATAAGTTCACTTCACTCATATGTTACACTTTGTTTCAAAGCAGTTGACGTTAACACATCCATCATATCGCATCTTTAATGGCACATCCTGCATTTTCACATAACGAACAAGAACATCCTTAAAAGTAAACGAGCATCATCAGTGAAAGAAGGCAGAAGCATCCATTAAATAATTAAATATCATCCCTCTTTTAGTAAGAGAAATAATGGGAAGACAAAAAGCGATTCGACTTGAATGTGAGGTACGATACATCTTATGAATTATTATTCAAATTAACGAATAATTTATTTTCTCTCTTACATACTTCACCATTATTCAAAGTGTCTTTACTTTACTTTCATGATTGTAAGAAATATTGTAATAAATACTTCTATTCATAACTGTCGTATCGTTTGGTGAAGTGAAAGATTCTGTTGCAGCTCCAAAGTATTTTTTCTTATTTCAAAAATGTTACAGAAAACTTCATCGAACTCTCAAAACAAGAAAGAAAAAAATAGAACGAAGTCACTTTCAACGTCTTTAAACTCAAAGTTACTTTAGTCGCTAAATCATTGCAAAGTCATTTGGATTTACAAAATGATTTATTATTTTCAATGACTCATTATTTTCCAAGACATGCCGAAGCATAGCAAAAAAATAAATAAAATGGCAAAGAAGGAATTTTCAGGTGTGACGTGTTATCAAGAAGAAGCAGGAGATTGAAATATTTATGGCGAGGCTTTAAAAATATGGATGGCATTTGCAATTTGCATATAGGACAGTACAAGCTTACTTATTCAGGAATGCCGACGATGTGTTGTAAATGGTAATTCACACACTTGTTAATGCTGGTGTAGAGAATTAATAGGCTATTGCATTATGTGGGGATCAAGGAAAGCTTTTGAGCTATAAACGAGTGGAATATTTATGCGTGCTGTAAAATATTTTCACAAGCAAACATAAATGTTTCTTATGCAAACGAAATTGTAAACATAAAGGAAGACATGGTACGATGAATTATTACTTTTTGAACCTTTTGAGACGCTTACAAATATAATGATTGACAATAACAAGTTTATTCATGTGATTATTAACTATAGGCTGACATGCTATAATCATTCAATTAGTTAACAACTCTTAATCATATTCATTGGTGAACAAGAAAAAGCATTTAGTGGAGAATGTGGAAATAATTCTATTAACTTTCGTGAGTCGACTTCAATTTGAAAGGAATATAAATATAAATTATTAATCAGCCACAAAACAGGAGAGTGAATATTTAAAATGATTTCATGTTGTTCAAAAAAAAGGAAGGCTGAAAATACAAAATAAATAACTCGCTTACGACACGCAATCAAATAATTTAATTCACTTTCCTAACTGAGCTGTTCACACTTTCAACATGTATGCGTTAAAAGCTTTCATTAAATGACATCACTTGAGGGAGAAAGAAAGAAACTTTTACCATCTAGTGAAGTAAATATTCAGTCTCGTCTCGAAACACGATAATTTATTCATTAAATGTTCTGATTTAATTTGCCTTTTCACGCCATGAAAAAAAAAGTTAAATAAACGAAAGGAAGAACTTTGATTCTATGTCGTAGTTGTAATAATTTACTATCAATGTCTCTGGCTTTGTCGAAACATTAAAAACAACAAGCAGACAGGTTGGTAATCATTCAAAAGTTTTCATTTTAAAAAAACATAAAATTGTTATTAACAACTTGCATGACTTTCAATCTTCTATTTCACATTTTTAATGCATTTCTGTTTCTTTATTTTTTATGTTTAAAGGAAATTTGTAATTTTTAAAAGCAGTTTGGAAAGTAATAGCGACGATGCTTCTGAGCTTCGTGCATAAGGTAAAAAACAAGGCGTTCGTTCTTTTAATTTTACAACTTGCATAAATGTCAAATTAATTTCATTTCGCGTTAATAAAACGCAAAAGCTTTTAATGGTTCTTTTTGATTTTGTTGTTGGTTGCAGAAGGCAAAGAGTGGAAATAATAAAGGAGAAGCATAATAATAGCCAACTTTCAATACTATTCTGAATAGAAATGTATAACGATTGCTCCTTTCTTTCTCTCTCTACTTTTATTGTTATTACTGTTACGCTTGTGTTATTCTATTGCCGGAAAAATTAAGTTTTCTTGCCTTTTTTTGCATTTGAGTTTGACTCTTTTTCTCCCATCCCTCAATTTCAATCGCCAGTTGTTTCATTTGATGGTTTTTTTTGCAATTGTTCTACACTTTTCTAACCACTCCAACTTGCCATTTCCTCCGGATAAAAATCCAATTAAAATTCAAATTAAAACAGTAAAAATAATAAAATACTTTTATGGGAACACGAGATTCTTTTTTTGCCTCGTTCTGTTGCAACGTTTTTCTTCGGTTAGCTTGAACTTAGCTTTATTTCTGCGATTTTTATTCTACACAGGTAATTTGTTTATTGGGCTTCTGACCGATTCACTCCCCTTTAATGTATCGCTCGTATCGGCGAATGTTGTAGGAAATTTATATTTTGCGGCGCAATGAGTTCGAGGATATGAGATTTCCTTCCTTTCATTTCATTCAACAATAGCAGCAACAACCGCGACTGCATTAAAAACTTTTTTTTTCTCTTTAATAGTTTTGGATCTCGCAAACTTTTTTGTACTTTGATTTGCAGTTTCTGATTTCATAGAACATTGGAAAAATTTCCATAGATTTTGTAATTAAACTAGAGGATTGTGAAAGTAAATGAAAATGGCTGTGTTTGTCGTGTTAATGCTTTTGATCGTAGGGATTTGATAGTTCGACAATCTCATATTTTTTTCATCCAATGCAAATACTTTTGTGTGACGTGAAGTAAAAGTGGAACTTATTTCAGAGAATGTTAAGGAACTGGAATCAGAGTTAGTTGAATATTTTGCAAATTCCGAACTCTGGCGAAAATTGGTTTTAGAAGAAGTTTTCGTAAATATTTGGAACTAAATTTCCGCATCTAATTCTTCTGGTTTTCAATTTTCCAAGCTCGATGTCACATTGATGAAAATCTCCGAAAGGAAATTTTAATGAGCTTTGTTGCATTATTCACTCGCTGATTTTCGTTGGTTAAATTCCTTTTTGTAAATGCATAAAACATTGTATTGCGATTACTATAATTTCAACATATTTCATCGTTTTCCTGTATTAAGCGGAAACGCTAAAAACTGAAAATTTCAATAAAAATTAATTTAATTCTGTTGCTTCGGTGAGTCCATAGCCGTCTATTTATACTGAAACGAGAAATTTCTCTCAAAGAACAGCAAATTATGATTTTAAATTAAACCACTTTGAAAGAAAAAAATTTGCCATTCTCTGAAATTTCAGCATTTTCTTGTTCGAATCTCGGACAAGTTGAACAAAAACGCTGTTTATGCTGATTTGCGATCATAACTTTTCACTGCAAAAGAAGAGAATAAAAAGGATGGAAGGAAAAGCACTTAGCCAAATGAATTATTATTTTGTTGAAATCATGGAGCATGAATTTGTTCGCTTCTTAGCTTTCAAAGGTTAAAATGTGCACAAGTTCTATCGAGACTTCGATATGCATGAACAATTTTCTTTTAAAGCCTTTCAATTATTTCTGAATTCGTTAGTCTAACTTCACCTTATAATGGTCGGTTGAAGTATTTGACCTAAAAGAATGAAGTAAATTAAAATTTATTGAGCACTTTGTGTAAGTTGATTGGAGTTTTAAATGTGTTTTCGAAATGCTTGAACGATATAAACGATCTCAGCCCACGCTGAACGTTTAAGAAAATAAATGAGAAATTGACAATAATTTCTCTTATTGTGGCAAATGACAAAATGGAAAAAGAAAATCTTTTTCCTACATCTATCAAGATAAAATGAAATGTTTTTATTCATAATGTAATATTCGAGATTGGCAGCATTCCAACTGCTTCTGTGACATTAAATCGAGAAACGCTACCTCTTGCTTCATTCATCTATTCTTCTCCTATCCAATCGAATCAATTCTCCTTCTTCTTTATATTTTTACTTAAATTTTCTTCTAAAAGCATCGTCTGACATGTCACGGAACTGAGCGTTCAATACCAGCGAATGCAATCGATAGCTTACGTCTCGCAAACTCTTCAGATTTTCGATGAAAATTGGAGAAGACTGAAAGAAAATGAAAAGAAAAAAAACTTTTCCCATTATGCTTCGAATATGGATGCAGAGCATCGCTTTGTTGTCTCCGTTTTTTTGTTTAAATTTCAATTAAAAATTATTCTTGCGAGTTTAAGTTAGGAGTAGAAGAAGAGGAAAAAAATATCTCATACAACAAACTTTTCCTCTGAGTTCTTAATGCATTCCCAATGTCATGCATAATCAAGAGCTTTTCTTTCTCAATTCTCATATATTTATGTGTACGAAAGATGAAGAAAAAAATCTCAGACGTGGTGAATGAAAAACTATTCAATTTCCGAAATAAATGAATTCCGCCTTTCCACACCCTCAATTTGCAAAAAAAAGAAGGAAAATTAAGAAAAAGAAAAAGCTTTTCTCGAGCCGAGTTTTTGTGGAATGAATGAAGGATGATGTTCCTCTCGGGTGAGAAATTAATTAAATTTTCTGATTAAATTACATTTTACTCTTCTTCAGTTTTTGTATCATGATTCATGTTAGATGGAGATGTAAAATGATACTGAAATGAGTCCTTTAGAAATAAAAATGATGAAAGAAATGACTCGTGATCATGGCTGGCTTCCCTTTTGCAATTCAATTTCTTAATTCTTAAATAAATTTCTGAAACATAATTATTATTATAAGTAAGAAAAACAAGATGAAAGAGAAGTAAGTATCATTGAATTCATGATTAAAGCAAAAGCATCGCTTGAAATAATTTCAAAGAAGTCTTTTTAAACATTTTAAATAAGAAAAATTCTCAAAAATTAAATGAAAATCACTTTCAAAGAAAAAGATGATATAAAAGGAAAATGAAAATAAATTTTCCACAATATACTTTTTCATTACTCTTGTAATAAAACTGAGTTGCAAAACCTCTAGACACCGTAGTTTTCTTTATTTCCTTCCTTCTTTCATTTATTCTTTTCTTCAAAATTTTCCAAAGAGAAATCTCAGCATTATGAAAAACTTCTCGAGTCGTAAACCCCCGAAAAAAAGAGAAAAGATATTCAATCTGAAAGAAACTTGAAAGTTAAGAGAAGGGAAATATATGAAAAGTATTTGAAGAAGTTGATATGTAAGCCCAAGAGATGCAACGAAAGATTTCTGAGATTAATCAGGAAGAAGTTTGCGTTGCTTTTCTTTTATTTCCTACTTCAGCCTTCAATGAAATCCGTAATTGAAGTCTATGAAAGGAACGAGACTGTTGCCTGCTTCAACAAAGATATTCGAGTGACACTTTACAAACTATTTTCACCTTGTCACAGTTTAATAAATATAAAAATATTGAAGGCACAACAGTGAAAAGAAGCATTCGTTGTCATCTCTTTATTTGTTTTGGAACAATCATCTGAAACTTTATGGGATGAAAAGTAAAAGAAAAATGAATGGAAATTGAAGAATGGCGAAAGACGGGAAGGTAAAAAGCTTTTGAAGGATTTTTCACTACAATGAGATTCATATTTTCAAGCACTGAAAAGATTTGTCGACAATAGTTAAGCCGGAAAAGTAATTGTAAAGTTAAGGAAAGAGCGAAGTGAGTCATAGAAGCGTTCAAAATGATGACGGTGAATGAAAGCAAACACAGTTGAAAAGACAAGACTCAAGATTCGAGTCAAGTACTTAAATATAATCTTAGCAAATTTAAGACGATATTATGTAAAGTAGAACATATACAAGCTTCTCATCCATGCATATTTATGACTAAATTATGAATATTTTATTCACATTATGAAAATCTAAATGACTGCAGACAAAATAGAAAGGTTGGATGTACATTTGTGTATTTATATGGTACTTAGTGACTAGAATGAATATCTTTCATTAGAGATGAATGTTTTTTTGAAAAAGAAACAGCAAAACTTTGAATTCCAATGGATTTTGTGAACCTTTCGTGTGGGAATAATTTTCGTTGCATATATTTAAATATTTTTTATAGTGTGCCAAAAATAAATTGAATGTCATGAAATTTTATTTTTCTTCGTACGTTAGCGATGCTTTCACATGAATTTTAAAATTAATGTCAGGAAAATCTTTCCTTCCCACATATTCCATTAAAATTTATGTTTGAACATTTGCCTTCATGTCATGCTATCAGAAGATTCTTTCCCGAAATAAGAGACAATACAATGACAGCAGCAAAAAAGAAATGACAGAAAATTCTTTATGAAGAACGACCGCAACAAAACAATGAAAAAGTTACAATCAAAAATCATGACAGAAAAAATTGCAGACTTGACGAGAGTCGAGAACAGTAACGGTAAGCCCTCATCTTACTTCTTTCTATTTTGTTTTAAGAGCATTTCAAGTATGGCATAACTGAAAGCTATTGCTAACAACATGAAAGTTGCATTCATATACTTACAGCAATATTATCCTTTTATTCTTCGAGTCAACGGCACATTTATCATCTTTTTTTTTATAAAAAGAAGCAACAGCACAAAATAAATTTCTGGTGCACATTAAGATTTCCATTTCATCTTCTTAACATTGCATTTATGCTTTATGTTTACAGTGGTAAACAGCAACATTAAACTAAATTTTCAAAAGAACCAAAAATTCAGTGAATTCAGTTTGTCACAAAAATATTTTAATGGCAAGTCTTCCAGCTATTTACAAAAGTTGGGGTAGCATACGTAATGTCAAACTTTTCATATTATGTTTTATGCTTTTCTCTTATTTCTTTATTTTATTTTTTTTTTTTTGTGAAACTTAAACCTCTAATCAACTTTCATCCTTTGTCGAGGGTTCAGTAGTGAAAGATGGAGATATATGCTTGGGATGGCATGAAAACATAAATCTTTCAAGTTGAGAAACTTTTCCGTTACAAAGATAAATGCGGGAAGTAATTTTGGGCTATGCAAGATGCTTTTACTTCCCGTCATTTATTGTTACGAGCACCTTTTTAAGTAGTTAGTCATTCTTTTTACTTATTCATCCATTGCTTTTAGATTATTAAAGCCCAATGATAAAAAAGCATTAAAGTGAGTGAAACAAACCCTTAAAAAAATAAAAATAACAAAATAAACTCACAAATCAAACCAAACAAAATAAGAGCATACAAATATATTGCAACACATTTGTTTTCCTAGCACTGTAAAACTCTCGTTACAAAAGCTTTATTTTCACATCGTTTTCTCTGTCATGCCATTTGCCAAAAAAATAAAATAAAAAGCATAAGAGGAGAAAGCAAAAATATGCAATAAAAAAATATTACATGCGACAAATATGAACAGAACGAAAAAAACAATATTTGAGCGTATAAACTTTCTCGATTTCATTTTTGTGATGTTGGCATGTAAGGTTCAAAATTGAAATCCGCTAAAGTTTCTCATTCTTCTGTTTTATGTGATTTTTCATGATTTTTAACTGAGACAACTATGATTAACTTTACATTCAAACATATGGCATGAAACTAATGTTTGTCTTTATGTATCTATATCACTCGTTTACAATCGGCTGAGTTTATCCACCTTTTTTAGCTTCGATCATAAAAACAGTTTCGAACGATATGAAAGATTTTTTATTACTTTTATATTGCCATTTGCATTCTCGGCCGTTCCATTCTCGTTTCTAACACATGTACCTTTTTTTTAATAGCGAATATGAAGACGTAATGGTGCGAAAATATGTTGATGCCGATCCCCATGTGTTTCATGTTTGCAATTAAAATGAATGGATATGGATGTAAAGTCGTTTTGCTTAGACATAAAACTTTTTTCCTCATTCACATTTTTTCAGGATTCAAAGCGCTCAACTTGCATTTTGCCCCTCTCACAATAATTAAAATCTCGTTATGTGGCGGACTGTGGGAGAAGTGGCGAGTTTCTGTTTTTTTTTTCCATATTTTGTTTAGCTTTCAGATTAACCGCTTTATTATATCCTCTTATGTAGAAAAAAAATGTTTTCTGTCTAAAGCGAGCCGCTTCACATCATTCTGCTTGATGTTGAGCAATAGTGGAAGAGAAAAGTAGTTTATGATGAAAATTAATTTGGAACTATTAGGAACACCATGGCGACTTCACATACTTGTGTTGTTGGAAAATTTCTACTTTTTTAAGAGCCATTTTACTTCTTTTAATTTTAAAATGAACTCATGGGAACTGAAATAAAAGTGTTGCAAGTGGATGCTTTTCAACACTCTCAATAATGTTAAATAAATTTAATGAGAAACATGAGAAACATCCATGATGTGTGAAACGAATTTCCTTCAACCAGCTGGTAAATTCAAGAGAGCAAATATGCGGAAAAGTTGTCGGGAAAAATGAAAAATTGAGTTCACTTGCTTTCACATTTAATACTAGATTAAATCCAAAGCCAATCGCACAAAACGGAAGCTTTGATACATGTATGAGTATAAAAATTATGGGAAAAAATAAAAGCTTATTGTAGGAAGTCATTGTGTTCACTTCAGTGGAATATTTTATTATTTATGGCATTTTAAAATTGAAAAAAAAATTTACGATTTTTTTTTTGAAAGTTTAATACAAAGCCAGTACATCAAAACATAAATAATGTCGTACTAGAAGTTGTCGTGAAAATTCTCAATTTCGGGAAATTTATTCCGAAGTAAATCATATTTTATAATCGTTTCGAGTTCAATAACTTATCTTTTATATACCTAATATTTGGCAAGGGAATATATTTAATACACGATTTGAATATTTCATCGGAAAACTATTAACTGTTAAGAAGAAAAGCTCTTGAATGCGTTGTAGGAAGCTTGCAACATTAATTTTACTTTCTCACCTCAATAATTCTCGATTAAATATTCTACTTTCATCATGCTTAACTCTTGACGTAGTCGGGTCAGTGAAGTAAATTTAATTCAGTCATAATCTTCAACAAAGCTTTTTACAAACTTCTCCATTCTATCAATGAATGGAAAAATAGATTAAATCGAAAGAGGCAAAAACTTTTACCATTCTTCAAACTTTCCTGTTTAGCTTCTTAATTCCTTCTCACGCTATTGAATCATAAAGAGGTTTCAGTTAAAGGTTCGATTTTGAAAAAAAACATGAAAGGATGGAAGGAAAAGACGAAAGATTCATGCAATTCAATAGTTCTAATAATCGATTATTTAGGAAGAGTTGTTCAATCATGTCAAAGAAGGAATGATTGGAAAGGAAATCTTTCATTGATTGAATTGTTGACGAAATTCACGAACATTTCCTTTTCGAAGCTCTCTTGATCTGTAGAAGTATTCAATAGCCCTCGAACCCTATAACATTATAATGAATATTTGAAGTTGCACAGAAAACTTTTCCTTCGTTTTTCTTCTGCATCTCATCAAATATTTAGATATCAGAAAAAAATTGGAATTAAAAACTTTTTCTACAAAAAGATAGAAAAGATTTTTAAATTTCTTCTTCTTTCCTTCATCGCAATTTTGCAAATTATTTTTAATCCTTTTATTATTTTTTAACATCCAATTTCATGAATAAATGATTTTTCAATTATACTTTCAACTTCTTCCTTACGTAGATTTATTTCATCTTGATCATGTAGTTCAAACGAATTAATTTCTTCTCTATTTTCGGAGCTATTTATGTAAGTAGTTTGAAGTCTCTTTTATTTAAATTTTAAATAAATAAAACGAAAAGAGAGCAAAGAGGGAAAATAATTGGTTTTCATAACAGGAAAACAGCATCTGAGGTCGAAACAAGAAATAATAAGCGGAAAAATGAAAATCGAATAAGTCGAGAGAAACATCTGAGTCATTAATTGGACTTTACTTTCTTATAAATAAATTGACAAAGAAAAACATTTCCACATCAACTCTTAAGTTCATATTAATGCAGAAGGAAATTGAATTAAAAAAGGAAATTGAATTAAAAAAGGAAATTTTATGTTTAAAAGAAAATATTATTACGCAAAGTTCATCGTCGTTCGAGTTGAAGAGATGAAGGAAAGAAGTGGATTCAACTGTAAAAATGCTTTTAATAATCAATTTATTAAAGAAAAGTAAAAAAGGAAAGTTTCGAGTGGATGGAAGAATGGAAAGTACAAATAATCAGCTTAGTAGGTGAATTAAATAAATGTTGGAAATTTCCGAAAGTATCATAGTAAAGTTGAAATAATTTATGCAAATTTGTGATGTTAATTAAATACCTACACACGTAAGGAGATATTTAATCATAATTTAATGCCTTCACATATTTACCGTTGTGAGTTGGTGGTTTCAGTCATGTTAAACACCTGGCAAACATGAAATTAGAGAAATATCCGCCGATTATACATTACATGTTGTCTTTCATTCCATTCATTTCCATTTCCATTTTATTCCACCCACACATCCACCACTAATCATAAATTGATGATTCACACACGAAAAACATTAAAAATGTGAATTTAATTTATGATTCGTGCTGTTATTTGATTAATAAATTTTCCGATGTACATTTCGATGCTGATAAATATCTCGTGAAAGAATTTGCATAATTTTCGATATTCAAATATGAATTTCTATTTCAAAGCGATCGCAAACCGCTAATGAATCAGAAAGGATATTATTATGATTATTTTCAATCATTCATGATGTAGATAACTGTCAAGCCATCAGCCTTTTGTATCGCGAGCTCGAATTATTTTCCTTACAATTTCAAACCGTTGGCTTAACAATTGAAAAGCATTCCTATGCACAATTTAATAATTCACATTGTGAAAATTACGCTTCAAAAGCTTTTTCCCTTTCTCTCTCCCTCGCTTTAATGTATTTCGTTGTTCTTTTATGGAAAATAGATTTTTCTATAATGACATTCAAATTGAATATGATGAAAATTACTGCTAAAGTGGGCACGTTCGAGTTAAACTTGCAATAATTTATGAATATGTTGATCTATTCATTCTATTCATTCATAAATTTCAAAGGTTTTTCTTTCAAAAAAGACAAACACTCGAAATTCATAACTTTAAACTCAAAATTTTAATGTTTCACAAGATTTTGTTGCTTCAACATGAAAAGAAAGCAAATGCAAAGCTCATCTCCTGAGAGATTCCTTAATTGAAGCACTGAGTAAATAAATGTTCACTCAACGACTACAATTGTTTCATCAAGTGGAATGATATGAAGTTTTATTTGAAGCGAGAATCTTCCTTTCAATGATGTTCGGAACTCTTTCAATTGTTATAAGTGAAACCGAGAATTGTTTCATTCGAATGAGCATTGAAGAGTTACATTAATGGGCAACCATCACACCTCTGATGAATAAAATAATAAAAAAAGGTTGAAATCATCTCTGCATTAAAATCGCTTCCGGATCTTTTTTTAAATAACCTTTTTGTCTGTATAAAAGTATCTCTCAAGAGAAGCATACACATCAGTGATTAAAATAAAAATTGAATGCCGGAAGAATGAATTGCGAAGTATAAAGAGCGTTAAACTGTTGAATAATATCATTGAAAATCTTGGAATTTAAAATGCATTGAAGGGAATTTTTTGTCTCTTCGTACAATTAGATAATTTCTTAACTTTCTTTCTTTTTTTTAGAATAATGTAAAGACATTAAAATTTTACATTCCAAAAGCTCCCTCGAAACTGAAAGACACTTTTAGTTAGTTTTCCCCCTTTTTTTATGCTGGTGATGATGGTAAAAGAAAACGACACAAGAACGAAAAGTTTTCGTAATGTTAAGAATTACATTTTCGTTGAAAAGTGTTTCTTCACTTTAAAAGCTTTTGTGTAAGACATCGTCTCGGTGAAGCAGTGAACATGTGAGCAGCAAAGTCGAGGCAAAATAAATGGAAAATAATTTTCATTTTCAACAGTAAAAACTTTTGCCTCTTTTCACTTCTCTTAAGCTCTCTCTTAGGTGCAATTAAAATGTTGAGGCAGAAGACAGAGAATTTTCTTTTTTTTTATATTCTTGTGTGTTGAAAAACGCACACCTAACACACCAACCAGCAAGACTATAGACGGGAGATGAAGGAGTTTTAGGTCTCGCTTTGAAATTGTTGTAAAAGACTTTAAGTGCTTTCCTCCATCCATTTATTTTCATTGTTAAATGTCCGGACGATGTTGGGTTGATGGAGGGAAAAATGGGCCAATTTAATGACTTTTTCTTACCATCACTCTCTTGGTGCTCGTGTAATGAGACACAAAAATGGCTCAACTTCTGCAGCATTTATAATAAGCACAATTTAATATAATTTCTCTCGATGGCAAATTGCGATCATCGTTTCATTTTTCCTGGTACGCTGACACAATCTAGATAAGTAAACGCCATTTCTTTGCAATCATGCATTCACAAACAATCTCAGTTACGTTATCATGATTTCCTGTACCATTAATCATTTCCGTTTTATCCCCCAACTATCTTTACAAGCGACGATGATATTTTAAAGTATGAAAAAAATTTTTCTTCTTCTCTTTTGACATGTAATTGTAGTAAAAAGAAAATATAGAAAATTCATTTAATGAAAAGAAAATTTCGATTGAATTTCAACGATATTTGCATAAACACATTCATGGAAATTTGTCTACGTGCCCTCTGCAAACATTTAATTTTCGATCATCTGCATACTTCTCAGATCGCTTAAATTTTATTCATCGTCTCGTCTAGGAAAACGTGTCGGAAAATTGAAAGAAAGTTCAATTCTGTGACTCTTTCTTTCTTCACGACACCACGACATTGTAAATTGAATGAAATTGTCAAAGACGGTGTTAATATGATATCCAAGAGCACACTGGGGAGTAATCTTGAAGAGAAATCCTCCATCACTGCCCTCGAGCTGAGAGAAATGATCAATTTTAGTTTTTAACTCAATGATTCTAATGAAATTACCAAGAAGCGTCTCGTTCAACTATTTCCTCAAACTAACGTATCTAAATACATATTTTATCGTCTTTCAAGTTTCTCTCGTCTTCAAATAAGACGAAATTCAAGATAAATAAAATTTTTCACAATTGTTGCAATCGAGTACGCTTCAGAAATTTCTATGTTCACTCTTAAGGCGAAGAAAAGCAGCTAAAGACGACAAGACTTAACCTTAAGGAGAAAAATTGTGTAAAACATCGCCTGAAGTTGTTAAAGAAAACTTTCAAATTGCTTTCTTGTCTTTCATCAGAGAAATTTGCAACTCGAAACACCAGCAAGCATTTAAGCCATCAGCGTTACAAAGCAGTTTTTTTTTCAAATTTATTTTTATATAAATTGACAATCGTTTAGAATATCTAAAACTTTGATGATAATCGATGGAAGTGAAAGAATTATAAGCAAGTTTTCTACGATTTGATGATAGAACTTAAAATTCTTTTTCAAAACTTCTTTTAGAATATGCCAAAATTGCATGTCAATTGACGTAAATGTTGACAATAATCAACCCTGGCGTTCACGCTTTCCGTCTATATCATGATTATTCGCTTTTTGCATTTGCTTTTTTGGTGTGTTTTATCGCTTTGATTTATTAGAATGCACTTGATTTAGTATTTATTTTTCCATTTAGTTTTCAAACTTTTGTGGTGAAAAATAAGTAAAATAAACGAAACAAAAAATTCTAAACATTTTTGTCCGAGTTTTAAATGGAAAAGTTGTGATTGGTGAGAGGATTTTTCTTTCATGCTTTTTTTATCCCATTTTTCACTGAAAATGTTAATCATTGTTTAAAACTATGAATCTGGAGTTCATTTTCATTAAAAAACGTCACTGAATGAAATTTTCATTTTTCTCTCTTTCACTTCATTTCCAAAAGCGTTTCAGAATAATTAATGTCAGTTGCAAAAATATTTTTTGTGCAACATTTAGTTACTCATCTCTTCGTCTTTCAACTTCGGATGTTCATTTATGAAGTTTCTCTTTCATCCATTTTTCATTCGATTTGTTTTGTGAGTGGGTGTTTGTGTATTGAATTAAATAAACTTTCGCAAAAAATTTCCGAGAAAAGCAAAGCAGACTTTGGGCTATGCAACTTGTTTCTTGTTTTGTTTTTTGATTAAATGCTTTTGAAGTTAACTTGAAAACAAAGACGATGAAGATGATAAATGATGATGATGATGTTTGAATCCCAACATGAAATCAAATTCACAAATCACCATACGAAACTCTTTTCCCATTAGTTTTTCGTCACGTAACGATTTCATTGCTGCCAAGAACAAATGCAATCTGACATTTCCTTTTCCAGATGCATCATAAAAATCTCAGCACATGGAAAATTATCATAATAATCCTTAAAAATCATGACTTGCATTTACACTTCGTTGGATGGATATCGAGATGAGAATATTATTGGAATTTCACAGCTGAAATCTCACGATGGTGTTAAAAGTATTTCGATTGAGCACGAACAGCACAAAAGCAACAGAATGGAAAATTTAATAGAAACTTTCTCGACTAGCGGGACTCATAATTGAGAAAAGTAACAATATCCGAAATTGAAAGAATTCCATTTCTTCTGTTTAACGACACAAAACTTTCATCTTATCCCTCACTTAGAAAAATTCCATTAAAAGACGGCAAAACGTGGTTAGAAAAGTGAAAGAATATTTTGATGAAAATAGCTTTTGATGTAGAAAATATTTCTAAACGTTCCATTTAGGATTATTTCATATCGTCCTTGTTGCTTACGATGAAGTCACTGTCTGATAATGTTTAAGATGAACAATAGTAATGAAAAAGATGAGGGACATTCTATTATATCATCAAGATTCATCAAATGAACATCAACTTTGTTTTCATATCAAAGAAATATATTTTTATCGGCTTTAAAAATCTTTCGAATCTCAACTTTTATAAAAGTTTTAATAATGCTGGTAGAAAGTTTAAAGATTATTGACAAACTTTTTTAACTAAATGAATGTTTAACAGCAACTTTTTTACTTTGATTTAAACTTCGAAACGATTGCTAAAATATATTTAATCTTTACAACTTGACTAGATATTTAATATTATTGGCTGTATTATTCGACAAAATTTAGTTTTAATCCACAATCAACACTAAAATCCGTTAAATTTAAAAAGAAAGCTTGCTAAAATTTACAACTACATATAAGATTTTATACCCCGTTTCAAATAAACTCGGAAATTCTTAACAGTGTTTTGTTGACAAATTTTTAAAGCACGTTTTGTTGAATATTCTGAAATGGGGAAATTTAGAACAAAATTTAAAAAGGCGAAAGGACTTGAAATTGTTCCTCAAGAAAATAACGAGGAAGTAATTCTTAGTGAAAATCGAAAATCGGACGATAAGCCGCTTAAAAAGGTGAGAAATTAGAAAACTTATAAATTTCGAAATTTTATTGAGAAAATATTTTAAAGGAAAAATGGATTAATCGTCAGCGTGTTCTGGTACTTTGTGGAAGAGGTATAAACTTTCGTGATCGTCACTTAATGAAGGATATAAAGACTGTAATGCCACACCATAAAGCTGAGACAAAGTTGGAACGTTGGAAGACGTTAAGTGTGATTAATGAACTTGGCGAGATGAAGAATTGTAATAAAGCAATGTACTTCGAAGGACGTCACAAACAAGATCTTTATATGTGGCTTTCAAATCTTCCGAATGGACCTTCAGCAAAATTTTATGTTGAAAATATCAGCACAATGAGTGAGTTGAAACTTACTGGAAATTGTCTTCGAGGCGCTCGACCACTTCTCTCATTTGATGAAAAATTCTCGAAATTGCCTCATTTGATGCTACTTCGTGAATTGTTAACCCAGGTTTTTGGCGTTCCAAATCATCATCCAAAATCCCAACCATTCGTTGATCGAGTTTACACATTCACATTTCTTGATAATCGTATTTGGTTTAGAAACTATCAGATTTTAGCTGAAGATGGAGCTTTGGCAGAAATTGGACCACGTTTTGTTATGAATCCAGTGAAGATATTCGCAGATTCATTCACTGGCGATCCACTTTGGGAGAATCCAAATTATGTCACTCCAGCAAAACATCGGCGGATGCTTCGAATGGCTGCAAAAGATAAATACGTCAATAGAACAGATGCAAAAGTACGTTATGAAACAACTCAACCAACTGAAGCTTTCAATCTCGATAAAATTGGACAACAAGTATTCACAGATAATGAAGAAAAAATGGCTGAGAAACTTGTGGCACAAGAATCTTCTGATGTGGATATGGACGTTGAAGATGATGAGGACAACGAAGAAAAACGAGCTCAAAACGACATTGAACGCGTTAAGAAACTTATCGAGAAATTAAAACCAGGAAAAGATGGCAAAAAGCTTGTAAAACCGAAAAAGTTTGCGCCTACAACAGCAGGAGGAAAAATTGTCAAGAAAGCAACCAACAAGAAATCGAAAATGATTCAAAACATCATCAAAACTAAGAAACTTGGCAAGAAAGTTAAGCCAGGAAAGAAAACATAAATTTTCAGAATTATTTTTATATTTTCGATTGAAATAAAATCTTAAAACATTATTTTAACGGTTGAAAATTATTTAAATTCTTGCAGTTTTATAGGAAGTTTGTAGGCTGCGCCATCTATAATCCTTCGTTGAAATATTAAACATATAAACAAAAACAGCATTTTTATAAAAGAAAGAATTTAAATAAAATTTAATTAAAAGCAAAGATGATTGCTCAACGTGTAGGTTTCAGAAATTTCTCTTTATCCTCTAGATTTCTTTGTAACAACAAAATAAAAGATCTTTTGGAGAATGCAGCGACAGGAAAAGCCGAAAATCCACAATCTGAAGATGAAGTTTGGTCAACGAGTCCATATCCAGAAGGTGCGGTGTTTTCAGAGAAACGTGATCAAAGTAAGAAAGTTGAACGAGTCTTACAGGACCCTAAAGAAACTTCAATAATACTCTTCCCTGGTCAGGGAAGCCAATATGTTGGAATGGCTGCAAGCTTAGTGAAAATTCCAGAAGCGCGAGACATGTTTGAAATTGCATCTGATGTTCTCAAGTAAATAACTTAAATTTATTTCTAAGAAAACCAAATAATTTTTATTTTTTTCAAGATATGACCTTTTAAAGTTGTGCAATGAAGGACCAAAAAAAAAACTTGACCGCACGATTTATGCACAACCAGCAATCGCTGTTACATCGCTCGCATCATTACAAAAACTCAAAGAAGAATGCCCCGATGCAATTAATAGGTCTGTTGCAACTGCTGGCTTTAGTTTAGGCGAAATTACTGCACTTATATTTGCTGGCTCAATTCCATTCGATCAGGGAATAAAATTAATTCAAGTTCGAGCTCAAGCGATGCAAGTGGCAAGTGAACAATATCCATCGGGAATGGCTACAGTGATTTACGGACCCGACTCAGAGCTTGGTAAAGCTTGTGAAAAGGCTAAGGAATGGTGCTTGGAAAGTGGCGTTGAGAATCCTGAATGTTGCATCGCAAATTTTCTTTTCCCACATTGCAAAGTCGTTGCTGGCAGTCTCGAAGCTTTAAATTTCCTCGAAAAGAATGCGAAAGAATATAAATTGAGAAGAGTTAAACGTCTCCCAGTCTCTGGGGCTTTCCACACAAAGCTTATGGAGTCAGCTGTTGAACCTTTTACAGAAGCACTGAAGAAAATAAGAATAGAAGAGCCGATGATCGCCGTTCACTCAAATATCCACGGAAAAATTTATCGTTCAGTTTCACATATTCTCAAAGAATTACCCAAACAAATTGTGAAACCAGTGAGATGGGAGCAGCTTCTTCACATAGTTTACGAACGTAAACAAGGCGTGCAATTCCCAAAAACCTACGAATGCGCCCCTGGAAATACTTTAACTACGATCTTGAAACAAGTCAACGCAAAAGCTTGGAGCACGGCATTGAATGTTGATCGGAAAGATTTCAAAGACGAGAGAAAAGTTGAAGCTGCTCAATCTTGAATGGAAAAAAGAATTTAAAATAGTAAAAATGAATAAAATTTAAAATATTTATAAAAAACTTTTTTATTTTTTACTTTATTAAGAAGTTTTAAACGAAAGTTTTAAAATTAATTAACTTAATTTCTAATACTCGGTGCCGTGTATTCATCACAAACATCCGACACTTCAACCATAGGAACGAAAAGTTCCTCAATTTCTGGATTTGTTTTGTACTCGATTAGCGCAAGTTCTTTCAACTTCCATCCCCAATCCATCTTTTGAACCGCCATGAGACTTTCAGCTTCGTTTGTGTGTCGAATAATCATCGCTTCCTGTGAAATTTATTCAATGTTTAATTATATTATTTAATATTTCTTAAATTTCTCACCTTAATTTTATCATATTTGTCATCAAGTTCCTTCAACTCCTTGAAAAAGCTTCGATTATTGTAACGTTCTTCATGTTCAGTTGTGATTGGATTGTAAACTTCTTCGTCCTTCAAAATTGTGCAGACAGAGAAGGGATGAGGTTGATTGGCTTGCATTTGAGCTGCTTTACAATGAACACGAATGATTTCCTGTTCCTTCGATAGCACGAGCTTCTCTTTCTCGACAATGTGACGCAATCTGAGTTTGTGACGTTCTTTCTCTTGATCAACGAAAGTTTCTTTCATTTGTGTTGGCAGTAGGGGTGGAATGATGATATTTGGCTCCATTGAAGTTTTTCCTTGCAACAAATAAGTCCGACGATTCATGAGATAATCTTCGAGACCTTTCAACGGTCGCGGCTCAACGGGATGAAGATTCCGATGACGTTGCTCAATCTGCTTCCTTAAATCGATGTACATTTGATAACAATTCGTAAATGGCTGATCATGAGGATGAACTGGTTCACTCTTCTCTTGACCATCCTTCGAATTCGAGTCTTTCATGTCAACTGACGATGGAACGACTGCTGCTGGTTCTCGACTACTCGCTTTAATTTTTCTCTTTCTCGGATGAAGTTCAACAGAATTTTGTGGTTGTTGTTGCTGCTGCAACGATTGTTGCTGATGTTGTTGTTGTGTCGCTTGTGATGTGTTTTGTGTATTTGAAGACGAATCTGATGATGTGACACTCGTCAGTGTCATTGACGTCGTCGTTGTTGATTTTGTTGATGAAGATAAAGACGATGATGGAACATTTTGATTGCTGTTGTTTGATTGTTGAGTTTCAGGTTCATTTCCACTTGACGATTCAATATTTTGTGTTGCTGGTGATGGAGTTGAGCTGGTTGGTAATTGAGGTGAAGAATTATTCGATCCGCGATCGTCTTTTGCATCTTTTCTTGAACTTCTTAATATTCGAGGTTCCTTCGACTTTCCACCACCAATGCCAACGTTGACGACACTTGATTTGCTTGCATCATCAGACTTATTGGAGTCAGCTGATGGACTGTGACTTCTTGTTGTTGTTCCACCAGCACAGTCTTTGTCGCTGGAAGTTCCGTCATTTGAATTCGATGATGTGACGACGTAAGGATGACTACGCGATGTTGTCGTCGTCGGTTGTTTGCTGTTTCGTTGATTGCTGTTTTGAGTTTCTTGTGTCTCTGTTTGCGTCGTGCCAGGAGCTTGTTGAGGTATCACAATCTTAAGTGGCGGCACCTTTGGACCTTCCTTTCCATCTTCATCTTTTTCTGTGTCACTTTCCGTTGCTGATTTCGTTGACATCTCGCAAGGACTTTTCCGATCGCTCAATGCGTTTGTGCTGCTGCTGTTGCTGTTGTTACTGCTACTTGTTGTTGATGTTGTCATTGTCGTGTTTTTGTTCATTAAATTCATTGTCTTTGAAGCTGGTCCCGGTGGCTTTTGTCCAATTCTTGAAGTCATTCGATTACTTCCACTCGTCGTCTTATTTCCATCTTTCTGTTCAGAATCTTTTCGTTTCTTTCGTTTCGCATCTTCATCAGCAGTCGATGAACTTTCATCTGATTGATCCTTTTGTTCGCCAATTGCTCGTTTCTGATGTTGATTTGTCGTTGTTGTGTCACTTTCTGTTCCACTTTTGTCATCACAAGATTTTTCTGATGTTTTGCTTGGATTTTCATCGCCCGACCCAGAACTGCATGACGAATGTTTTGGAGTTGAAACGAATTCGTAAACATCTGATGGTGGTGCAGTCGCCGACTCTTCATTCTCGTTTGATTTCTTCACTTCTCCACTTGAAGATTTCTTTGGGTTTTGATTTTGTTGCTGTTGTTGGTGTGGTTCACGTTTATTGGCCATTTCTGTAATGAAAAGTTTCACAAAGTTAAAGTCTTTGACTCTTTTGCATGAATATTTAATCAATAAAGACATCAGAAGTCGTAAATTGCTCAATAATTTCAGCACCTTTTCAGACCTTAATTAAAATATTAATTAAAACAATTTTCTAGCGGACGCAAAAATGTTAAAGAAAAGTTTTCGAACCTTTCACGCATTATTGCTGAAATTTTACTCGTAAAACTCAACAAGTCAACAACACTGAACGCTTTGGATCTTAAGCAGAAAATTGAATTCTTCCAAATCACTTCTCAGAGATTTCCTTGAAACTATTAAAGGATGAAAGGCAGCGTTAAGCATTTGTAAATGTTTCATTCGCCCATTGAATGTTCATCGTTTCATATAAGATAAAAGGAAAGAAGAAGATGAAAAATAAAAATGAAAATCTCATTATGACTTTCAATTGTTGATGTTTATGACATCATCTTGTTGCTTTACAGTTTTTCCTCGTTGGTAAAGTAAGAAAGAAGCTTTGCTTACTATCGAAAGATAGAAAAAGGCTCTCAACCCTTCTTAAGTTCGCTTAAACCGAGGGGTTAACAAGAAAACAATTTGTAAGACTTCAAATATATGTTTTCTCTTTTGCAATGAACGCCTGGAAGGCTATTAAGATGAATTCCCATAAGTCACCCGCCCCCTGTAGCTCATAAAAGTTTATCGAGACATAAAATTCGGTTTCTTGCTGATACCCTTTTCCGTCCTAGCGTATAAATAGGAGAAGGAGGAAAAAATATAAAAATGAAAGGAAAATATGTGTTTGGTGAAAAAAAGAAGGCAAAATGTGCACAATGAAAATCCTAAAACACTTGGAAAAGATTGAAGAAAAATGCTTTGGAATTTATGCTGATTTTCATTGCCTTTTTCCTGTCTCGTTTCCTTTCGACTTTGTAGTCAAATAAACTTTAATTAAGGGACAAGCTTTTCCGCTCATTCCTTTATTTTTATTTCGATAATGAATCTTGTTTCATGAGAAGCATGCATAGAGTTGAGTGTAGGGCCCCCGAATATCTAATTGTCAGGGATTGGAAACGAATCTACATGTAGGTTTGCGTAAAGTTAACGTAAGGTCCTACTTTATGTAGAACTCGACTTTACAACTCTACGTAAACCTTTACCGAATGCATGACACATTTGAAATTCTTATCCCTGTTTTATATTATTATTATTTCTGTATATTTACGTGGGCAGATAAAGCAGAGAGAGAGAGTGTTTTATAGTCTCAACATAATCCAATAAACGGGGAGAATTTAGCAACATAATTTGTTCAGTGAACAAAATCTAAAGTGGAACGAGAAGAACAACCAAACATCATGAAATATTCATCTTGAATTTCATCTCCACTTGACACAACTGAATTGAATGAAAATTTTCGAATGAAAACTTTAAGCATAAAAGAATTTTTCTTGATGGCAATGTCAAGTGGCAATTATTGACATCGCTCATAAATTTTGAACCGAATTTATTAAAAAGTTAGAAAGTAAATAAGTAAAAAGATTCGAAGCTGCGTTTAACTTTTTTTTATGATTTCTTTTAGATTTTGTAGGCTCAAAAGTGAGAGTCAGAAAAAGGTGTGTAAACATTATGATTTATTTACTCGCAAAAATTCGCTTCACTCCCGTACAGCAGTGGATATCTACGTAAGTACAACATCGCAACGAACCAGCACAACAAGAGTGGGAGGCGACATAAATTTCTATGAAATATTTATTCATGAATTGTTTAGGAAATTTTATATAAATTCAGAGGAATCGATAGCAGTGAAGATTGAATATTTTTCACTAACAAATATCGTAAATAATGGAATTCAATGTTTATTGAAATCAAGTAGCATTAATTAACGAACAAAAGAAAAGAGAAATCAATCACATCATCGTAAGATTACTTAACTTATTGTTTATTGAGTGATATCATTGCTACTTCTCCATAGTAATCTGTCACATATGTGTACATAAGTACGTAAGTATTAACAATGTTTGTCAACTCTAAACCCTCGAGGGAGAAACCTGTACATCCCATAAATGTTATCACAACTTTTAAAGTGATTCAAAATGATTTCACGCAAATTTTCTGTTCTGTTTTTCTCTTCATCTCAACATCCTTTTTCACCGAAAATCCCTCCAATGATTTCAAATGCGCATGAACTTTCAGCAATGTTGCCAATAAAAGCGAACGTAACAAAAAAGAACTTTTAACGAGTCATCAAAGTTTACGACATTTAGGGGAGAAAGTTTCTCCTCGTAAAAATTAGCAAGCGAGAAGCAAATAATTACCATCACATATCATGACTGAGATGAGGTAATTTAATTGTCCCATCACGCTCATTTGATTGTAGGAATATTGATATCGATACGAACGATGACCTGCTTGAAGATTGAGTGCATAAGCAACAGAAAAAAAAACTTTTCGACACATTAAAAACGAAAACTTTGTTATTTAAGTATGCTATTGTATGAACGCATTATGCGTATCCATCGTCACCGGATGAAGAGGAAGTTTCGTTTATCTTAAGAGGAAAAAGTTTTCTTTTTCCTTTTCTCATCTTCATTTCCAACCCCCCACAACCACATATCGCTTTATTTCTACGGTTTGCCTGCTGATAACATCAACCAATGAGACAACACGCAAACTACTTTTTGGTTCAATGAACTGACGTTGTACTTCGATTGTCTTGTCTGCCATCTGATGAAGATGCTTCTCTCATCATGATTGTTATTCTTTTTGTGATGTTTCATTCATCAACATAAAAAAATTCCTTGCACTCACTTGAATACTTATTAAGTATGTAAGCATGTTAGTGAAAACGAAGAAAGAAAAATTGAGCATAAAAGCATAAACAGAAAGAATGTCATCAAAATGTTATAAAAAATGAATTCTCTTCTTCATTTTATATCAAAAGCGATTAAATACCGTAAAGAGACTTCACTTCCATTCTTTGCTTTCTAATATCTTACATAGTAAGGATATTTGACTTCGTTCTCGTCATTTGCGTACACGCGCATTTATGTTATGTTCAATAATGAAACGCGATTATGTATAAAAATTTATTACCGATGAAAAGCTCCCACGAAGGATGTTAAGATTACGATTTCTTATAACGCGAAACGAAGCGCGGGTGTTGATGTCGTGAAGAATAAAAACCGACAAGAAATTTATCGAAAATTTATTCTTTTCAATATCATTTCGTTGTATGAAAATCTCAAGAATTCTCAGAATTTATAAGTCAATAAATAAATAGTCGAATGGAAATTTCTTTTCTTCAATCTAATTTATGATTTGTGACGTCTCCTTGGAAGCTTAAATATTTTTCGTTTTATTCTCCAAGTCTTGGAAATCTTGCAAGCATGATAAATGGAAAAGAAGAAAAAGAAAGAAATGTTCAAACAGATTTGTCTAAGATATATGTATGATTATGTTTAAGATTTCCAGCTTCACTTATGCTTGATAGACTTGACAATTTGCCAAACAGACGTTCGTTGTTATTACGAAACTTTTCTAGGATTTACTCAACAAGATGCTTGAAGGAAACTTATATCTCATCTTTCTTTTTCTTCTTCCTTCTTCAATCCATGGAGACTTCACGCGATATCTGAACATTCCGACTGGATATGAATTCTTCTTCGTATTGTCTAATTTCCTTCTTATTCAAGCCGCCATTTCCACTTATTGTGCATCCTTAAAAGAATTTTTCTTCTCATCGTTTTCATATTTTACAACGTGACACTTGTTCATAATGTTCACGTTTCTTCATTAAAACTTGTCATGTTTTCACTGAGTGTTTCAAAATGTTCATTAAACAATTTGTGCCGTTTTTCTTTTGTCTTTTATTTATTGACAAACAGAAAACATTTCTCTGTATCATTTTTCATATCCGCAAGAGACATTCAACATCACTCATCAAGCATTAAATCAAATTCTGGGAACATCATTGAAATTGGAGAGAAAAAGAAAAGAAGGGGAGAGAGAGAGATTGAAGTCAACAATTGACTATTCATTTCCATCAACAAATTCTTAAGTTTTGTCACGTATTGTAAGCAGCATTCTTCTCTTAAGAGAACATCGTCGTCTTGCAATTCATCACTCGATGCGAAAAGGTTTTTGCATTAATTTCATCACGAAAAGCTTCCGAACAATTGTCATTTGAAGTCATGTCATTCAAATTGTTATCGAGTCTCGTCGTCATCATTTCTTTTTGTTTTTCTACAAAAACTTAACTCTAAATCAAAATCAATGAATGAATTTTGTTTGATTTCATTGTTTTAAGAATTTTATTTTATTTGTTTTTGTGAATTGACTTTTGAAGTAGTTGAAATATTGAAGACAATTTAATTTATTTTCTTTTGTGGTCTATTTTGGGAACTTGATGAGAATTATTTTCGACTTTTATTCTTGAGAAATGTTGTAGCAGCTCATCAAACAATAAAAACGAAAAAAGATGTTTTGAAATACATTCCACAGAGTTGTTTTGAAGAAAATATTGCTTTGAATTTCCTTAGGTATAAAACGTCTCAAGAGTTTGATACACGAAGGAAAATCGAGTCGAATTATCTTAGGGTAAGTATCGCAACAATGAACCAAGGAACGTCGGAATTATGAACATAAAAAATGAATTTACATTGAAGAAGAAAAAGAATCTTCCTCGATCCCATGTCAACACTTAAAAAAATTCTTATTCGGTTAGAAATCCACAAATGTTTATTCAAGCGCACAATCAACGTTTCAAACGCAAAACTCTTGTTTGAGGTAATAAAAGAATTAACGCTTCTTGCAAAAATAAATGAAAGATTCTGAGAAGTCTCACAAGATTGAAATCTAAGTACAACAAACAGAAATTCAAATGAAATTATGCAAACAGATGAGTGCGAGACTAGAAACGTTTGAGTGTAAGAGTTTTGTTTTAATCGATGAAGAGTTTTTAGCAAATATGATGAGTGACAGGAAGAGCTTGAAATTCAATTTAGATGAGATTGTCAAGTTGTACTTTGAAATTGTAACTCCGTTCGACGATTACCCATAACAATCTCACAATATAATATTAAAGTTGTCAACATTTCATTCTTTTCCTTTCTTTTTGTTATCTACAAATTTTAGAAAGTTGAAGAAAATTTATTTATATCAAACTTTTCTTTCCAGATGAAGAAAGTTTCAATTTAATCCTCTGCTCCTTTCTTTCTTTCTTTTCCTTCTCAATCTAACACCGAGACAATCCAATTAAAAGTTTTAAATTTTCTCATTCTGTTGAAAATATCATGGAAAATATTTTCACAATTATTTAATAACTCAATGATGAGAGGGAGAGTGAGAGGTGGAGAGATGGAGAGAAGCAGATAACAAACTACAACTCGATTGCGCTGCTAGTAGCTAAATAAGTATCAACTGATAACAAAGTCTCGTGTATATTTTACATTCTGATAGCTTTTCCATGTTATTATATGAAATTGAATTTATTTTAAAAGGGAAACATTTAAGCAAATTATGGAGGGTAAAACATCTTGCAAGATTTTTCAGCAAATTCAATCACAAGAACCAATTTAAGGGGATAATTTTACCGTTCATCGTTATCATGTAACTCAAGATGATGATAAACACACTTCGACGCTTCTGCTTCTCAATTGCAAAAGGTATTTTTACGGAAAAAACATTTCTTAATCGGAGTGGAAAAACAAATTTTCCTATCATTTTCTTTTATAATTGAATCAAGTGACCTTGAACGGAACTTTTCTCTTTGCTTTCATTTTCGACTTAACGACCAGCTGCCTTAATAAATTCCTACGCAGCTTTCTTCAGCAAGAAAGTGAAATAAATCTCAAAGATTGCGTAACTGTTCAATGGTGACGCACGATTGCTGTTTTCACCTTGTTTAAACTCTATTGTCAAGTTAATTAAAACACATTTACGCTGCTTCTACGTTTGATTAATTTTTCAATCAAATCTTTCGTTCACGAGGAAAAGAAGGAGAGAAATGTAAAGAAAAATGAAAAATCTTCTTTCGCTTCACTGCGTTTTTGCGGCTTTTTCGGTTTGAAGGCGTGTTGAGTGTTTTTGTGGTCGCGGCACTGCTTTGTATGATCGGTGAAATGCGAATATTATTTTAATTGTAAACATTCAAATACATTTACAATCGAATCGCTTTACTAAGCGACTCTTCCGTTTGCTTTCTTACTTGCTTGTTGACGTTATATAAAAGCTTTACAATTATGTTGGTTCTTCTGAATCATTTGAAGTGTCAGATTATACAATAAATTAGTCAAGAGATTTAAAATATTAAATCGAGTTGAGATTATAAAACGATAAAAGCAGAACAGAAGCACAGAAAATTGTTTTCATTCGCACATCATTCGTTTTATTTATTGGCAATGTGAGTGGGAGATAAAACAATATAAATCGTGATTCGTTAAATTTTTCATGGACAATTAGACCGCAATTAATCCTTTTGTTTGTCACTATTTATTGTCTTTTAAAAGAATATTTTACATTGTCAATAATTCGTATTGATTTCTTTTAAATTATTTGTTTTCAATGACTAAACATTTCCGCGAGAAATTTTGTTCAATGAGTTGAAAGAAATTATTTTGTAATCCTATTTCATTTACCACGTTTAAATCCGATAAACATTAACAACTCATTTAAATTGCTGTTGTTTAGTTGTTAATAATAATAACAATTCTAACGACTCATGCAAAATGATTCTTTTAGTTTTCATTTAATCATTTCCCCATTATCGATTATCCTTTTCTCGACCGGCACACTTTTCACTTAACGATGGGACTGTTTGTTGTATGTGTACGCTGATATTTTTCACACAACAATTTTTGCCAGTTTCTTCTCTTCTTGTTACACTTTGACGTGTTCAACGAACTTTATACACAAAACAAATGACTGCATTCGTTATGGATGGAAATTATCAGAGATTAACGGATTTTTTTTCTCCTCTTCCGCTGTTTGTATTTAAATTAATTAAAAATAAACGAACGTCAATTATTTCCATGTCACACGTTTTACCTTCGTTGTAATCTCATCACTATTTAGATTAATCCTTTCATATTGAAACTGATGACGAGTTCATAAAAACAAAAATCCGAGACTTCTTCTTTTTCTTCTTCTTCCGCTTACTTTCAGTTAAGTACTGCTCGAGAAAACGACACACAAACGTGAAAACAAAGAATTCTGTTTTGTACAACTTATTTTCTTTTCTTCTTCACGTTGAACTCTCCAAACTTCGGTACTTTTTATGTGTATAACTTTTTCCCTATATTTATTCTTTTTTCAAATTGTATTTTTTATTCAATAGAAACAGAAAATAAAAAAAATTATGGAAAAACACCGTACCGCGATAATGATTGTAGCATATTAAAGTTTCATTTCATAAAACAAAAATAAAAACTCTTTTGGTGAACGGACAAAACGAGAGAGGAAGTTGGGAGAGAATAATTTAATTGTCAATATGGTGCCCGATAATAAGTAGTAGCGGCTGACTCAGTGAGATAAACAAACAGAATAACACGAGCGAATATCTAAAGAGTTGCATGTGAATATAAATAAATGTATGTGTGCTTTTTCTTCTTTATGTTTCTTTTTTTTTTAAGATTTCGCTTTGAAGCTCTCAAATTTCTTTTTAATCTCAGTTGCAAAAAATTGAGAGAGAAATTTCCCACGAGCTTTTGAAAGCTCTCTCTGGATATGTAAAGAGAGCGAAATGAAAATATTAACTTTTGGGTTGTTATGATAAGATTACGGAAGGGATTAGCAACGATTTAGTCTTTCAGATATTAATTAATTTTTTATGGTAATTAAAAACTTACCTAATGTTGTTCTCAAGAAGTTTGCTAACGATGGATGAGCCACATCTTGGGCAGTTTTTCCTTTTTTGTTCTTAAATAGTGGATCAGCTCCTTTATCAATAAGAAGCTTTACGAGTTTTTGATTACCGATACTGGCAGCATCATGTAATGGAGTAACGTCATCAAGTCCAGTTGCATTGACATTAGCACCGTGTTTTAAGAGAAGTTGAGCTACATGATAATGTCCATGATTGGCAGCTTCATGAAGTGGCGTCCAGCCTAAAACAGTCAAAAGAAATTAATTTTTGGTAAAAATAATGAAAGTTGTTTCATTTTACCAGCAAAATCTGTCACATTTGGATTTGTTCCTTGCTCTAACAGCTTCTTCGCTCCATCAAGGTCGCCTTTTTTGGCGCAAATATGCAAACCAGTTTCACCACGTTCGTTTCTATCTTTTGGCTTTCCACTTTGACTGTTTGGACTCAATTCTAAGGAAAAATAAATGTTTTGAGAATAACTTTAAAAAAGAAATTTATTTTCACTTACCAGCTTCACTGGAAGATGTCATTTGCATCAACAAAGCCATCTGTTGACGTTCGCTCATTGGAGCAGGAGCACTTGGACGTCCGGAAGTTGATGTACGAGGTCTTGGTGGAGGTGGCATATTTGTTCTCTACATTCTGAAATATTAAATTATTCTTTATTATCTGATTCTAAGTTTAGTGAGAAATGAGACACACAAAAAAATAATAATACACAATTCAATATTTGAAAGCTCACAGAAAATTTCCCTTTTTTTGGAAATGTGTTACTTACAAAGGATTTGATCGTGAGTTGTACAATTTCAATAATGTTTATAACAATCAACTTTATATAGTTAATAATTGAAAACAAATAGACCAGAGGGAAATAATATGACACAATTCGCTTGTTTCGATCACTCGGCGAGATTCAGGTACGAAGCGAATTGGAATAAATGAATGAAGCGAATTGGGCGAATCATCTGAAGACTTTAAATTCTCAAAAGACGTTAATTTTATTAACTTTTATTTTTTATGCTTTTCATTAGAGAAAATTATTTGAAATAATTTATTCGCGCTAGAAAGGAACGAAAATAAAAAATATCTACGTCAGACTAGAGTAGCAAGAAAATTTAATTTAATTCATCAATATCAATAATAATACAACATAAACATTTGAAAACACTCGAATATTTCAATTCAAATTTTAATTAAATCGATTCAGCTTGGAAGTTCATTAAAAGTATTATTTCGTATAAATAAATAAGTTCGATGATATTCGATAATTGAAACTAAATATCTTTAGGCAAATGAAACCTATTGAATTACGTAGTTTGATATATTCTTCCTCAATATTTTACCAATATTTATCTGAAACATTTGATTGATAAAAAAACATCTAACCTTCGTTCTAAACCTTCAATATTATGCTCTGCCCGAAGAGAATTGGATGAATAAACAATGTTTTCAACTGCAGCCAAACTTTAATTTTTTTTTTCAAACTTTGACTACAAAACTTTAAAACAAATCCAACTCGATGTAATCCTGAAAATTAAATATTTGATAACCTGAAGAAATTTATCTGTTTATTATTATAAAACTTCGCAATGTAAATTAATTATATCTTTGATTTATGTAATGAACAGACAATGTATTCATTAATATGTATCTGTTACAAGTTCAAATTCAATAATCTCAAGGCAGAATTATAGTTTCTGAAATGATAATGAATTAAGCTCTGTAACGTTTAATACACCTAAACTCAAGCATCATAAAACAGCAAAACAAATTTAAGATTGATTTTTTTTCTTCTTTATTTTTCCAGTTTTTGGTTGTTTCATTTCATTCATTAATAATCATTGCGAAAATTTCTTACCTCGCTATCGTTTACATTTACGGGTTTTATGAGGGCTTTTTTATTCTTTATGAAGATTTCGATTTCCATCTATTTAAAGTTTCAATTATCTGTTACTCATTTATGCCAGTAGATAAATACTTTTTATGTTTTCAAGGAGAGAATTGTCAATGGGTCAGTAACTTCATATTGATAAAAGCGTGGCTATGTATGTAGGTAGATTGAGATGGAAAGTTCTGCAAACATTTAAGTGTGTCCCGTGTTCAGAGGTCATTGATTTCAGTAAGCTGATAAGAGCAGAAGGAAATTGTCATTAGCAAGTCAATAATATAAGTGTGGGTTGAAAGGAAATCAGGTAGCGACGCTTAAAGGTGATAAGTCAAAAGTTGAAGTTACTTTCATCTCCAGATTGCTATGCATTATTGATGCATAGTTTCAATATTTCTTTTATTATTTTTTTCTTATGCCTTATGACTTAAAACTTGTATAACATGACACCAAATATTTGTTTTTATTTTCCTTAAACGAGATTGTGTTCTATTGCGTTTCAAGGTGAGAGAAAATATTTACGAGATAAAAAAATATGTGAATATTTTTATGACTTTGCCTTCCATTTAATTTTGCTTATTTAGTGTTTCTCGATATTATAATCCATGCTTTTTAATTAATTTTGATTTTTTTTCTTGTGTTATGCTCCATTGATCATTGATAAAAAAAGAGAGATACGAAGGAAAATAAATTAACGAAATTAGAAAGAACAAACTCGTTTGGAATTCTTAATCATCTCATGAAAATTTTCTCATTGCTGATAAAAGCGTTCGAATAATTATGAGAAAAAGGACATGAATAAAGAAAAGCAAAAGAATTTTCCTTTTATTTCTTTTTTCTTTATCTTTAATTTATTTTTTTCATATTTAGATATTATTTTCAGTCACTCTTTTCTGATCTGTCTGAAGTATTAGATAAATAGAAAATTTTGCAATTTATTCTCTTCATTATCCTGTTCTACATTAAAAGATTACAATTATATTGTGGATTAATTTGTAAATTATGGAATAACAGATATCTTCATCATCATCATCATCATCATCATCAATAAATTGCTACCTAAAAAAGAGCTCTCGCTTTTAAAGCTTCAATTTTTCACAGTGAACTGGTGGGATTTTAACATTTCATTTATTTAAAACACTAATTCATGTCGACACAGGGACTGAAACCATGGTGCTAATGATTAAATCATCAAATTATTTTTGACATTATATTTTTGGATTTTCCTAGCAGATCATTATTTAATTTCGCAATTTCACAATTTCACAATTTATTTTCGAAAAGAAAACTAAAAAACTTGTTCGTAATTATTTAAATTAATGATCAACTTTCAACACTTCAACGAAAACGAAAGAAAATTCTTGAGAGTTTTAAAGTTGATTTGCTTTCATGTTTCAAAATTGACTCCTTGAAGTTTCTGAATGACTTTTTCCCTTATTCATTTTAAATAAATGTTAGCAGCCATTAAAATTGCATACATGTATGTTGTTATGAAAATACGGGGAAATTAAATTTTCTGCTAAAACATTTTCATTCCGTTTGATCTTTTTAAGTTAAATTGGAATTAAGTATTGTCGTCTCCGACCTTATGAATTTTTTATGCTTTAGCAGTAAGATGACGACAAATGTATTTACAAATATGTTATAAACACAGTCTTAATTGCTTGCTTATGAAGTTTTTTTTTCTTTTCTTTGTTTTATGAAATAGAAGAATTAAACTTGAAGTTTTTCCAACTACGAAAAATAAACAATCGTAGAAGTTGGTTGTCATGAAGACTTGTAAGTTTTCTTTAGTTGCTGTTTAGATATCTAGTGGATATATCAAAAAGAAAGTAGGTAAGTGTTAACGCACTCATGATTTCATATACAAATATCGACCCTGTTATGGACAGTTTCAATATCCCCGCATGTTTTTTTTATTCTGTTAATTTACGTGTATAAATGTAAATATGCTCAATTTTTTTGGTCGTTTTTATGTTGAATAAATTTTTGTTCATTTCCTGCTTCTCGGATATCATATATAAAGCTTAATAATCATGCTTGCATTCAAAGGGCTTTTAATTTGGTAGATTTTTCTTTTATTATTTGTTATTTTTCATTAAATATTTGTTTTTAAAGCTTAAATTATTTAAATATTCAAATGAACTTCATACTTTGTTTGTTGTTGTTTGATGTTGTATAAAAGAAACCTCAACTATGAAATGAAAATTCATTAAAACGTTTTTGCTGTTTTTACTTCCTTCACACATTCACTCATTTTACTTTACTAGGTCAAATGAAGTTCTTTACTCAACATAATCATAGTACGATGAAACAAATTCTTTTTGTTGATAGCATAACGTTGGGTAGTTAATTTGATGTAGGAGTTGATATAAGAGAACGAAAGAAAAAAGAATTCTCGACTCAGAAAACTTATTTATTTAAGTTAACGTCACAACCACTATTTATTATCACTCTAAATAAGGAAAGAGATAGAAATGAGAAAGAAAATCGTGATCCATGAAAAAAGAAGAAGAAGAAGAAGAAAGTTTTTATTTTTTGTAATAATTTACTTTGTTTCTTGAGCTTTTGTTGTTTTATTGAAATAAACTGGTTCAATCTAGATAAAATAAGTTTTTATGTAAGTATGTAGACGAGTTTGCAGCACATCAATAACTGTGCAATGAATTACAAGGTTTCCTTATTCTAGTGATACTAAGATAAGCAGCACGAATACGTTTGTTGTTATTCTTTCACTTTGTGTGAGTTTCTGAGCTTTGAAATATCTTTGGTGAAACGAAAGGATAAAATTTATGAAATTATAATTTAGCGCAATGCATACACAAGTAAGTAAATTAATCTCTTAGTCGTCATTTAACTTTTGATGGCAAAACTTTAATGAATTTTCATGAATTTGTATGTTTATTTATGAATGTAAAATAAAAAAGGAAACTTTTGTCAAGGGATTTGAATTTTGATTTTCTTTTATGTAGCTACATGCCGAAAGTAAATAAATAATAACAAAAATAAAAGTATTTCACGCTTTCATGTCGCGGAAAAAAAGTAATTTAATGGATTTTACTTTCATATGCTGCTTTAAATATTTGCATTCAGCTAAAAGCTTTCATTCACCCCTTTTTTGGTTGCTTGATGTTTTTTCAATCCCACTTGCCAGCCTTTAATATCTTAATTAAAAAAACTTTCTCTTTTAATTTAGCTCTCGAAGCATATCCTGGGACAAAGAAGAAAAGTAAATTTCGTGAAAAATTCACGTTTTAGAAATCGTTTCATTTTTTTTTCTTCTACCCTCGATGACATGCTGTTGAAATGAAAATGTTAATGGAAAAGAATTGTAAGTAGGGGCGAGTAGGTAATTTCCTCACAGTGTAGTTTTATTATTACTTTTTATGTAGTGTGATGCTTTGAACATTCAAGCGTTATTTTATGTAACGCAACAGGAAACTAAATAGAATTTCTCAGAACTTCATGGCTCTGCCGATTGTATGGACAATTGTTAGAAATCTGACATGGAATCAACTTTATATCCATCTAATTAGGTTAGCAATTTATACTTAATATGAGTTTCTGAGGTAGAACGTAGTACCTACTAAATCCTCCTCATTTAACAATTAAGCATTTATGAGAAGTGAAGAAAATCCCAGTTTTTCCTCTACTGAAAATTATTGATTTTCTCCCCGGCGCTCGCGGCAAAAATAAAACTTTTTTTCCCATCCAACCTTCATAGAGAGTGCGAGCGGTAAATGTGAAATTCGTTTGTGAAAATAAATTAATTGGCAGATTCAATTTCTGGTTCTCATAAAGTAGAGCAGAGTAAACTGATTTGCGCATGAAAATGAAAGAAAATGGAAAAGGCAATGAGAATGTTCAAAAGATCGAGATGTTAACATTTCTTTGAGCTACACATACATAATATCCACTTTTCCAAAGGATGAAAAAATGAAATGAATAAGCAAGCATGGTAAAGGCGAAAAAACATAAAATAAGATAAGAAAAAAAGAAATCTATTTGTGCTTGTTACTTGAATGTATTAAAGAAAAGATTCGATCATAATCAAGATATCTCATTTTGATATTTTTTTTCTCTTCTCTTCTTATGTACATTGATCTCCATAAATTTTATGGAACTTTTGTAAGAAGCTTAGAAATTGCTGAAAACTTTTCACTTTCCTTATTTTTTCTTTACATTGCGTCATCGTAGATATGGAGTTGAATGAAAGGTTCAGAAAAAAGGAGAAGAATATCTGCTATGGTGATGATGGAATTTAAAGTAAAGCATTTCTTTTTTATCTTATAGTCAACGCATGACAAGTAAAAGTAAGTAAGCAAGCTAAGATGAAGATAGAAATCAGGTTAGAATGCTTATTTATTATTATTATACGAAGGGACGGTTTAGATAGAATATCTGTACTTAAATTAAAAAGTTTCTTTTAAGCTCCAAGTTTATGAACTTTCAGCGTTGAAGAAATTTGTCATTATATTTGTCATTGTGTAGATAAGTAGTTTGTCTACGATTGGAAAGGAAATAAGAAAAATATTTACTATTAATTAAGATTATTTTTACTGGTTATCAGGGGTTCTTAAGACAGTCAATAAAATTCAACTTTTTTTATCTTTTCGCGATGAATTTGTTCGATAGTTTTTGTTTACTGAAGATATTCTGCTTATTAAGTGTAAAAATTTTAAACGAACATTCATTTCTTGTATGTGTTAATTAATGATTCTTGCTTTAATGTTCGGATTTCCATTTTTTTCATGTCTTAAAGTTAAGATATTTCTTTATTCATTTCTTTTTTATTTGTAAGTTTGTCTCTTGTGTGATTCTTGACGTATATGGAGTAATAGCACGTTTCATGTCATCTTTCTTTGTCAATATCTCAAAGTTTGTTTTGTCTCTCATGCTTTTCTTATTAATTAAATTTAGTTAACATTAATTTTTTTCCTTTTATCCTTTTTTTTTGGTGGGACCTGCCCTTTTAAATATGATTCGAATTCTTAATTTTAGACATTAAATACTTTCTAAATTGGTTTTTTGTAATTCTCAAATTGTTTTTTAATCCTTTTAAATTTTTTTTTTCACGTCCAATGTCTAAATTCAAAAGTTGGTCACTTTTAAAAAGTTTTACAAAAATTCTTAATCTTTTAGTTATTCTTATTTCATCATTAATCATCTTAATACATTTTTAAAATTTGAGCTTTTTTTTAATTTATTTGGAAACACGTCAACCTTTAAGTTATGTTCGAGACTAATAAAACAGTCAAGGGAATAAACTTAACGTTGGTCTTTTAACTACTTCTTGCTTCGTTTTATTGGAAAAGAAATAAAACTTTTCGGGATTTTTCTCCAATATAGATTGAATTAAATTTATTTTACTCCTTGCGTTCATTTCATTTTAATTTCTTTTATAATCATTTTTAATAGTTTTGTTTTGGTTTACCTTGTTTTATTCTTATCTTGCATTTTGTGCCACAATATTTATGCTTCTTGCTAGTTTTGCTTTTCTTTTTGAATTCCTTTTCGTTATTTGCTGTGCCAGTTGTCTTGCTTTCAAGTCGTTAAGTTGGAAGCATCTTTCAATGTCGGAGGATTGTAAAAGTGAAGAATAAAATTCGGCACAATTTTCACATTTCTCTATTCGTTTGGAACACACACGTGATAGTGAAACATCATATGATGAGAGCAATGTGTTGTCAACTTCTGCAGTCTATCAGTTATGTATGGAACAATATAAAGCTTCACAGTTTGATGTTTCCATGACGGAATTTCAGTGTAAGCGAATCACATGAAGATTACAATTCTAGTGGCGCAACGTACCTGCAATTATTCAAATGAAAAACATTTTCTAAATTAAAAAGAAAACTCTCTCTCTCTCCTTTTCTTTTAACTACGAAATAAATAAGCAAATTTGTCAAATTGATGTCGGAAAATCTGCATATGAAAGCTGAGAGTTGAGTTGATTATAAACGTGAAGTTTTTTTTTGTAATATCGTGTTGAGACTTATTTATGGAAATAAATACATAGTTACACGTATTAAAATAAATTAAATTTGCTTTTACTATGCCTTTTCTCTTAAATTAGTAACTTAAACTAATTATTAAAACATTGCGCGGATAAACTTCATAATTATAGCTGCATGTGTCATTTGTTGTTCCACCTCAAACATTAATTAAATATAGCGACATTTCTAATCACGTAAAAGTTTCATTTTGCCTTTAACTACAAACGCAAAGGTTCATGAAATGTAAAAGGGAAAAAAAAAAATAGTTAAAGCTTGAACGTTTGTTCATGAAATTTTCGTGTCTGTAGGCTATGAATCTGTTTTATTCAATATTTGATGTGTCACATGCAATATTTTAAAACAACGTTCGGAAAATGTTTCTTATTCCACCCTCTAGCGAATGTTCATTTTATTAATATTATTATTTGACAATGACTATAATAACAGTGAGACAGTTGTCGTCACATCAATCAAACTGTTTTCAAACACGTTAAATCATATCAAATATCGAATTGAATAAAAACGCAGAAGAATTTCATCACTCACCTAATCCAATAGTTAAAACTTCAATTGGCAGTGAACCTCGTCGTCTTGTGACTGAAACATCAGAATCTTTACGACGTGACAATTCTTTCTTGAAACGATTCCATACTGATGAATCGCTTGTCGATGATGTGACAATTGATTCAGTCATAATAGGAGTTGTAAAGGTCTCAGCACCACCTGAAGAACGACGACGAAGAAGCTTCTTAGGATTGCGACGTTTGCCATTGACACTACTTCGAACTACAACATTTGATTCACATGGCACCGAACCACGACGTTGACAAGAAGCTACTGACGATATCACAGAGTGAGTAGAACTCTTATCCGATGGACCAACAAAGTCTTTGGCACCTATTAAAACTTTGTAAGTAAGAAATGTTTTTTTGATGGTTTCAATGAAATTTGCCGCACTCACTCAAAGTTATTGTTTCAGCGGGCACTGAACATCGGCGGACTTTTTCTGAAGTTTTAACTTGTAATGATGACATTGGATTGTTGTTGTCTTGTTCATAAGATTTTGATGGAGTTGCAACTGAGATTGGCGCTGAACCGCGTCGTCGATTTGTTGATCCTTTACGAATAATTGCTGGATCAAGATTTTCCTTTTGATTGGGTCCAGCAACGAAAATTTTTGGCCATTTACATGCTGCAGTCATCTTTTCAATATCATGTTCCGTCTCTCGCTTTAAATCTTTTTTTGGATAAATTCCATTTGAATTGTCAGGTGAATCTGACGATGAACTTGATCGACTTTCGAGTAAAGCTTCCGGACATGTACCAAGATCAGCTGTTGATGACATGTAACGTGTTCGAACGTAAGGATTCAATGGTGGAAATGTTTGCTGTCGAATTAAGTGCTTTGATGTTGTGCATAACATGTGCGGTGGGAAGTTAGTGGAGCCATGCATTACGATATTTAATTTATCTGCACAATATGAGTCAGTCATCGATGCGATATTTAAATCTGGTAAAAGATTTTCAGCGCTTAGCGGTCGTTCATTCTCATTACTATCGATTGATGAACGTGCTCTTTGTCCACTTTCACTATCAGATGACAAAATTGATAATGAATCTTGTTCTAATTTATTGTTGTGTTCATTCTCGTCACTTTCCAGAAACGGTTCAATTTGTTGACGCATTCCGCCATGTTCTCTTGGTGGTAGAATAATCTTTGGAACGTTATGAAGTGGCACTGATAATCTTCGCTCGCGATCTTTGAGTGAGTATGTTGGAATTTGAAGTGAACTTCGTCTTGACGATTTAATCTCAGGAAGAATCATTTCTGGACTACCAGCAAAACGCATACGACCATCGTCATCTTCTTCATCGTTTCCAACATCATCATCAAACTCATCCTCAATAATTTCAGCATCAGAAATTTCTGTTCTTGTTTCTTCAGCGATCTCTGCTTGCAATCGAGTGTCCCACTGCTTCTCATTATTCTTCAAGTGACGCATCATACGATATGAGAGTTCGGTCTTTAAAAATCGATGCCATTCAACCATTAAAGGCGTCACAACAAACTTGAAGAAACCAGTCTGTATTTTAGGCACCGTTGTTGTTTGACGATCGCATAGCGAAGTGACGGGTAAGTTGAGTTGACGCTCAAAATCACCTTGACGAAAGAATTCTTCGCACACTTTCAGACTCCATTTCTTCGATACATCCCATGGCCGGCATGGATTTGATATATCAGCACACTTTAATGCTATTTGTAGTATAAAATGTCTATGATCAGCATTGCGCATATTTAATGTATTATTGTTTAAAAAGTCTTTAAATGTTCCTATAAATTCTTGTTGACGTGTTATGTCGGTCGCTAATATAAGAGAGCTTATTTGCTTTTCCAATTCTGGTCGGATGTCAGCGATCTGTTCGGCTACGCCACTCTCAAGTAAACAACCTAAATGGTTATAGATTAGAGATTAGAATTAGCTTTGAAACGTGTTTTTCAGATAAAATTTTGAGATTATGCAGTGAAACTTTGACGATCCGATACCTCGATAAAGTAATAACCTTTATAAACCGATAAACGCTCGCCCGAATTTCTTTGAAAGATTGCCTCGATAAACCAATATTTTTTGTCTCCCTTGAGCCATCGGCTTATCGAAGTTCCACTGTAATTTGCTCTGATTATTCACACTCACCTATTGCCGAACGCCAATGATGGTTTTCCAGTACTGATGTGTTCTCATAAAGAGCTGCTAAATGATTTGATGTTGCAATGAGAAACGGTTGATTGACACCAGGATGATCGAGATCGTGACATACAGCACCCAATAAAGATGCCATTATTTCGAGCGGCGACAAATGCTCGAGAATCTTTTTCTCTTGCAGAAAACAATGCATTGCTTGTGTTACATCGGTCGCATGTATTGAATTATGATATGGGTTTGTGCTGTGATAACCCTCTTCGATTAGACTAAATAATTTCCATAATCTAACTACGTCTAGATTGAAATGGTCCAAAAGGCCGTACAAATGAAACAAGTGAACACATATAACAGGCAATGATCGTCCTGAAATGAAAAGTGAGAAAGAATTTATGTTCACCAGATTTTAAAAAGCAAGTTTCTTTTTACAACATTAAACAAGAAAAAAAATTATCCCATCCTCGAGCCATTAGAAACATTTTTCAACTTTTAACTTTGTAAACTTTCTAGAATTTTCTTTCATTTTTTATATTCGCCATTGTTGGTTTAGTTAGTTAGTTGAATGTCCCAAGAATATTTCCATTTCAGAAAATTTTCACTGTTAGCTAACATTTAAATGTTATTTTACCTCCTGTAACTGTTTCCAAGGTGAATGCATTGAAGCGCCAATTTCCCACTTGCCTCAAGATGCACGTTACTTGCCCATGTAAAATATCGTCAAGAACAGCTGGCTCGAATGCTAAACTTCTTGTTTGAAGCTTCTTTCTTCTTCGTTTGTGCATTGTTAAAAATCGCCCATTACAAATGTGACGTTTTTTTGGGCTGAGCGTATTCTCTTCACTTATTAAAGCATCAATTAAGGGTCGATCTCTTTCGGTGATTGACGCATGTTTACTAATGGGAACGTCGGCTGTAATAAGAAAATTAAGAGGAAGAGTAAGTTAGAAATTTTATTTAAGTTAGAAATGTTTGTGAGCTTTTTAATGTGAAATCTGTAAATTAACAAGCTTACGATTCGAGTAGAATCGAGTCGAGCCGTCTTGGGAACGAGTCGTAAGAAGAATCTCATCAAAAAGGAAAAGAGAGTGTGCTTTCAAAAATCAATAAAAAAGAAGTGGGAGTGGGAGGAATTCCGGAAAGCAAAGCCTCCCAAGAGAGCAATGACTCAGAAGCACTCAGCGTGGTGTGCTTCCGGAATATTTATTAGCTACTTTTAATAAATAAATTTATACTTTCGTGACGCGACTCCAACGAAGAAATAAAATGATAATTGATGAAAACAATTTCTTTCTGACATGTTATTTAAAATGGTGAAGAATGAAAAAAAAAGAAAATGGAAAAATAAAACAAATACAAAGAAATGAGACGAAAAGTTAGAAACAGGGAGCGCACATTCACTTTGTGTTGATTCTGTGTCGTTTTACGTGTCGAAAAGAAGCTTCAGGCAAAAACTTTTTTCCTTCTCTTGTGTTGTCTTATCTGCACGAGACATAAAATTTGTCACCAAATGAAAAACGATTGTTTCCCGAAAAAAAAGAAGGAAAGAAAGAACAAAAGAAGTAAAAAAAATCTCGACATTTCTCCCTCGATTAACTCTCAACAAAAATCACAGTTTCTTCATTTCTATTCTTCTTCTTTTTCGTCCTTTTTGTTTCTTGCTTTCTTCTTCCAAATCAAAAGAAAAGCTGCAAAGAACAGCGTGTAAGAGCTGAGAGTTTATGGCAAAAGAATTATCCGAGAAGCGTAAAAAATGTGTAAATAATTTCCACCCCACACGCGCTTTTCTCTTCTCGTGTTTTTTTTATTTGTTCGTGAAAATATAGAAAATATATAAAGAAACAAAAAAATAAAATAAAAGCTTAGGAGTGGAAAAAGCGATGATCTTTCGCTTCACTTAGTTTTTCATTTACCACAAATTGCCGGAGTCGACTCTTCTCGCATTAGATGAAAAACAATATAAAGTAGAAACAGTAATTCATCAATGATGTAACTTAAATAAATCCCTCGAAATATCATTCGAGAGTTGCGATGAATGAAAGAAGAAAAGTGAGGGAAAATGAAAACAGTCGACTCTAATGACATGATTTTAAGCAACCAGCCCTCATCATTCTCTTTCTTCACTCATTTTTCCTCATTCACGAGAATCCAAATGTCGAGCGATGAAAAACGAAAAAAAGATCCTGTTCAACATAAAATTTTCCTCTGCTTTCAAATTGAAATTTATTTCTCAGCGAATCATTGTGATGGAAAATTCAATTTTACGAAAGGAGGAAAAATTTCTTGTAATGGAAATTATTCTCCTAATTATTATCATGTTTTAAAAGAAGATAAAAAGAAAATGTAACTAAAATTATTTCAAGCTTTCAGTTCTTGATTTCATCAACATGAGAAAGAAAGTTTTTGAATAAATGTATGCTAACTTTTATTTAAAAGAAACATTAAACATATTTTACTCTTCCTTTTTGAAGTTCCTAACAGGAAAGAATTTCAGGAAAAACGAGAAACATGAATTTCCGATTATGCTAAGCTTGAAATTCATGACAGAAGCTGTTTCAACCTTCTCAGAATCGTTGAGCTTCTTATCTTTCTTATCTGCTGTTTTAAATTCATTCATTGAATACTTGAGGAGTAGGCGGTGTCATGAAAATCACTGAATATCAAGCATCCTACCACACAGTCGGAAATATTTAATGTCTCGATTCAAATCGAATGTAATTTCAATTTACATAAAATTTTATTTACACCAAATATCAGTGAGTGATATTCAACAACATAAGTTATGTTGTTGTGATGTTATGAAATATTGATGACAATGCTCGACGATGCATTCATGCATGATTGTTTACATCATTGATATCATATGAAGTGGTAAACCTTTCATTTCTGGTTGTTGGTGTTATCTTTCTACCTAGATATCGAAATATCTACACAAATACTTGTTTTCGTCATGTCGTTTAACACAAGAAAATGAAATAACTTATCGCGTTCATGTCATCCAATTATTGAAGCGATAATATGATAATAATTGAACACTTCATTAATATCAGTAAGTATTGTGAAAATTGTGAGATAATGAACACAACCACTCATCTGTTTGTCGTCGTGTTATTTCTATTAACTTTTAATCATTCATTTGATTTTTTTTACAGTTTATCTAACTTTGACTTATAATAGTCGAAATAATGAAGAATAGAAAATAAATAAATAAAAAATCACAAATTTTATTGATTCTATCGTTCAATCAAGTCACAGCGGGAAAAACAAATACGATAATAATCAACCTGTATGATATTAATCCGGAACGGAAGCTTTTAAATAGCAAGCGAAACCGCGATGACTGATGCATTCAGGAGAATCGTTCACGTTTATAATTCATGTGTTTGGAATTATCGTAGATGTCGATCGATTATGAGCATGTTGACGTATGCACAAATAAATTACATAGATATCTATTTAAATCTATCAATCGTTACGAAAAAGCTGCAATGCGTGCTCGTGTCTTTTCTTCGTGATTATCCACATCATTCAACAACCTTCATCTTCCCCATCCACTCGTTTTTATCCACTTAATCCTTCGACACAAATAACACACAACAATTATTTCTGTTCTGCTTCGTCATGAATGAAAAAGACGGGAAAAGTATTAATAGCAAATATAAAATAAAAATGAAATGGAATTCGTAACTGTTTTTATTTTCTTCCGTTCTTTTATTGATTGAAATCACTAACTAATACGTTTCATTGAGTTTACATTGGATATTTGAAGTCGTCTGTTTATTTGGCAGTCAACAGGTGACATCCATTGTATCGTATTTATCATGCATATTTAAGAAGATAAGCAAGCCAAGTACAACATGTGATCGAAACTACCAAGGTAGACATTGAAATATTTATTTTTAGTCGATTCCCAATCATTGTTGATTATGTAACATTTTTATTCTATTTAAGTGTCATTCCTGTCGGCATTCAATGAAATTTATATCTTATCGATTTAAAAAGTTCGGATTATTTACAATAAAAAGCTGAACAAAAGAAACTTACAATAACAACAACAGCTCATCATTTGCTCATGTGGTTGAATGATCAATAAATCAGAACAAAAATAAATTTCGATTCAGTGAAAATGAAGTGTCCCGTTAAAGTTAAATTATTTTTTACGACACTTTTATAGCAAGTTATTGCTATGAATAGATCGCCTGACTATAAAAATATTTACACCTACAACAAACAACACACCGGAGGTTTGCACAGGCACATACAGACGATTATTAAGATACGTGTTTACTGACTTCTGATATAGCGGCAAATATTTGTTTCCTTCAATGCTTCAGCTTAAGTCCAGTTCTGTTATCTTTCTTTATTTTAATCTTATTCGCACTTCTCTCACTCTTATATTTTAAAATGGGTTAACAGCCGAAGTTAAACCATCGATTGGCTTTTTATATGATTTAATTCCTGGAGACGCTATTCAGTTATATTCCAGCTATCAACTTGTGTCGACGATGATGAAGAAGGAATTTTTTTTATTGTTATCGATATGTTTGTCATTGAGCTTAAAAGTTGTTGGTGAGATTATCTTTTAAACGATTACTTAATGATTTATGGAAGCTTATTTAAAATTTAACAGCAAGAGATGGTTTCGGGGAATATCAACAAGATTGGGGACATGTTGGTAAAATTCTTTTTCTTATTTTAAATATTTTTCGCAATTTTTAATAAAGATTTTATTTAAATAGAGGTGCGTGAAGGAGCTCACATGTTCTGGTGGCTTCATTATACAATCGCAGAGACACCAAATGTTACTGATCGTCCTTTGATACTTTGGCTTCAAGGCGGCCCGGGATCATCATCTACCGGTTATGGAAACTTTGAAATTCTCGGTCCTTATGATTTAAACATGGAAAAAAGAGACTTCACTTGGATTAAAACTCACAATGTATTGTTTGTTGATAATCCAGTTGGAACCGGTTTCAGTTACGTTGAACACATTAAATATTTGACAAAAGATAACAAACAGATTGCAGAGGATTTAGTTGAATTGTTACGTGGATTTTATGAAGCACTTCCTGAATTCAAATCAGTTCCTTTACATATCTTTGGTGAAAGTTATGGTGGAAAGATGGCTATTGAATTTGCCCATGAACTTTATCATGAGATTGAGAATGGAAACATTGAATCTAATCTTGTTACTGTAGCAATGGGAGACGCTTGGATATCTCCAATCGATTCAACATTGTCATGGGCACCATATTTGTTTCAACTTGTAATAATCATTCAGATAAGAGTTTTCGAAAAGCTTCTTGAATCATTTCTTTCATTATAGGGCTTCGTTGATGAAGATGGTTATGAACGAATCAACAACTACGCTTTGAGAACCAAACGTGCTCTCGATGAAGGAAAATATTTCCAAGCGACCGATTTGTGGGCTCAAACAGAAGAAGTTTTACTTGGCTATAACATGGGCGTTGATTTTTATAACGTTCTATATGATACAAGATTTAGCAGCTCGGAAGATAATGCTAAGCAACTTTTCCACCACAGCCCACATTCAATTGCTTACGATGTTATGGTAAAGCGAAAGCGAATAAATATTGGCGATGAAAGTGATGATGAATACACTGACCCGTTAACAAGAATGATGCGCGACGAAGTTCATCCAGCACTTGGCTTAAGCGATGACGTAAAATTCGGTTCGCAATCAAGTGCTGTGTTTGATACTTTGGGAGGTGACTTTATGAAACCAGTTGTGAGCATTGTTGAGCATTTGTTAAACAACACTTCAGTGAAGGTCGTCGTGTATAGTGGACAATTGGATTTAATTTGTTCTACACCCGGCACTGTCAAATGGGTCAATGAAATGAATTGGTATGAAATTTTCTTTCTATTGTTTGAGAATGTCTTTCAAAGGAATCGATTTTAGGGTAGGAAGTAAGGATTATGCTAATGCACCTCGTGATGGCATTGGAATCAACAATGTTCTAGAGGGATATGTTCGAAAATATGGCAATTTCAGTATGTATTGGGTGAGTTACTAATGCTTTTCAACAACACAATAGAATAGCAATAAATTATGTCTTTGTTTTTAGATCAATAAAGCTGGTCATATGGCGCCATTTGGTGAGTACACTTTTAGATTTTTACACTTTACTCGTCTGTCGTCTGTTGAGATTTTATTTTGTGCGTTAATGTTTGAAGTTAGTCTACCTACTAATAAATCTTCTTTGGATGAAGATTCTTCAGTCTTTTAACATTTTTTCGACTCGTTTGTTTAATTTTTTTTATAAATAATTACTCCGATTCAATATTTGTAAAGGGTCTTAACAAGTTTGTTTAAGGTTTAAGATTTCTTTATATAATGAATAATTATCAGGGTGTGGGATTGAAATATTTGAGTTAGATAATATTTTTGTAGTTAAAATAAATTTCGAAAAAGCTTTTGAGAGGAAAAGGCGAAAATATTCATGCCAATGCCAATCCCTGTTATTTATAGATTAAAAGATTGATGTTCTTTAGCAACAACATTCTCGACATTTTAATTATTTAAATGTTTATTTTAGATAATCCACGTTGTATGGGATATATTCTTCGACAAGTTACGAATTTTGGATGATGAGATCAGAAGTTAAATTAAAACTTTTAAAATATTATGTCAAATACTAGTCTACAACAAATAAAGTAACAAGATACTTAGATGAAATGAAAATTAAAGCTTTTTACAAGTACCAAGCCTAGGGTTAAGATTTATTTTTGAAAAATTTACAGCTTAATGTCGCAATATTCATGACAACTTCACGAAAAATATTTTGAATTCGCAAATTCGCAAGTTCGTTACTTTGGAATTGATAGCGTGGAAACATGAAAAAATGCTACCGATGATTGTTGATTGTGCAATGGAGATTGAAGACGAATAAACGTCGCCTAAATTGTGTAATATAATGAAAATTCCATAAGAAAGAATGTCAAAAATTTCCTCAATTTGCTTTCATTCGAAACAAGGTAAGTAGAAAAAGATGATAAGCATCATGAGATGTTATCATGTAGATATTTTCCTTCCAACAAGAATGACGATGTCGTTGCTTAGAAAAGTTTATTTTCCTTCTCCTTTTTCTTTTTTTTGTCTTTGATTCTTTCAAATCGTATTCAAAAGTATTCGCATCAAAAGCTTTAGTTTCGCTTGTGGGGCTTTTTTCTTTCATATACTTTGCTTCAGATATAAACCCCAGTTGTCCCAGATTTTCATATCTTTTTTTCTTTCTTTACTTTTTACCTCAAGCAAGCCTCTCACCTTCACGCATGACTCTTATTTTTTTTTATCAGAGCAAAAAATTGTTTCAATTTCCGGTAACCGCAAATTTATGCTGGCATTTCTTTTCCTATTTTTCTTCTTCTTTTTAATGTTTAAAATGGGAAATTTGTTGCTGTAATGTGGTGAGAAGAAAGCAAGAGCTATTTTCGCTTCCCGTAGTGATTGAGGGAGGTGATTGCTTCAACTTCATCGACTGACTTGCTTTTTGTGCGATGTCAAAACCAGAGGAAAATATGAAAATTATTTTATTTTCTTCTCCTTTGCTTTCGCCTTTGATTTTCATTGGTTTAAGAACGACGACGACGACGACAACGACGGCAGTAAGATGAGAATTTTCTTGTGTACTGATGTTGTGAACCCAAAAACGATCGATTGAATGTGCTTTCGATAGCTTTTGTCTTTCTTTTCTGCGTTTTTTTCTCTCTTTTACTTTCTTCGTGCCTCTTACTTCTTTTCAATTAACAAAGTAAAGAAATTAATTATGATATTGGCTTATTGGGTTGCTTGTTGAAATGACTATCGTTATCATTAAATTTTATACTTTATAGAGATGGATTGCTTTTAATACCTCAATTGAAAGTTGAATTGTGTAAAGTTGACATAATGAAAAATCGCTTTTTGATGCCTGCCTCTGTTTTGTTTGCTCTCGTTTGAGTTGTTTCGATGTTGAGGTAGGCAACGACTGATTTAACGTGTCAATTCTTTTTTTTCATATGCTTACGACTTGACAGCCAAAGTATTGATGAAATATATTTGCTTGCCATGTCGTTGTCGCACATTTTGTAGATACGCTTGAGAATTGAAATAAAATGATGTCGTTTACGATTAGTAATAAAGTCGGGTGATAAGAAATGAGACGATTTCTTTCTCAGCTTGTTATCATTTAAAAGCATTTTGCTATCGAAGGTTTCGCACATTCATAAAGCTTAATATTTATAAGGTGAGATAATTTTTTCCCCATAATCTTCTTTTATTCTCGAGAGATCGAATATGTTGAGTATAATTTTTGTCACGAGTTTCAGGAACTCTCAAGAAATTAATTTGGTGTTTGAAGAAATAAAAACATTGTAGATACTCAATGGGAAGGAAAGGAAAAGAAACTTACGTATTAAACGGATATAGATTGGGTCCTTTGACGAATCAGTTATAGCTTCCGGTGCCTGAAACGATATAAGAATAACAACAAACAATTAAATATTTTATTTTTATAGATTCAGTGAAGGGTTTTATGATCTTTTTTATTTCTTTAATTCAATTTCTTCGATATATTCTTTCGATCAATTTAATGATTCACGAGCTTTCATCGGATGTGAATAAAAAGTTTTTCGTCACTCAAAATTAATGTTGACATTCAATGAAAATGAAGTTATCGAAATCAAACTAAAATTGATTTCTTCCGGAATAAAATTAAATGAAATAAAATAAAAATAACGAAGAATTTGTAGATCGCGAAGAAAGAAAATTTAATTATCTATCAGACACATTTTCTGTTTGCTTTCATTTTCTTTCCTATCCTATTTATTTTGGTATTTCAATAAATTCTCTCTCGTGCCATTCCATGGAACAGTCAGGCAGGCAGGCACTTCTTATCGTTAATAAAATCGCTTCTTTCTTCATCTACATTTTCGTCCTTCAAATCAAACAGCTACTGCAGAGCTTGTGAAGGGAAAAAATGTTGATTGGAGGGAAGGTTAGAAAGGTGGGCTTGCTAGTGTTTTTTTTTTATTCTTTTATATTTAAGTATACATCGGAGGGAAGGGAAGGAAGAATGAAGAAATATTAGAATTTATATAACTACCGATAAATGAAAAGAAGAATAAGAAGAAGAAAGAAAACTCTCTTGAAATCGATTAATGTAATTAATACCTTAAGAATTTATGCTATCATCTATAACTTCTAAGCTTATTTACGACAATTGAAACCTCCCGATTGAGAAAATATTTATCTATCTCAAAGCAATTATGTTTTTGACGTGTTGAAATTGGCAGAGGAAATAAAAGACAAGAAAGAAAAAAAATATTGGAAAAGTTTTGTCTGTCGATGTACATCTTAAGATTTCTGAAAAGTTCATAAGTCATCCTTGACATAAGCAGAGGGAGACAAAGAATCTTAATTGAATTGTAAAATATTGATTTGCATAATCACTTCAATGAAGGGCTTTGAAATGTTAATTTTTTCGTGACTTTGAAACAGGGAACGGAACAGGTTGCGATTTTCAGCAGCTTGTAATTTTTGTTACCAGTTCTTGTACCGAAAATTGGAGCCCGGTTTAAAATCAATAACAAAATTCAAATTATATTCCCAACCCTGCTTCAAAGTGTTCGCTTTTTTCTATGCTCATTCTTTCCCATGATTCGTTGTTGATGTGTTCTATCACATCGAGATGGACGAAGATTATGAAGCTATTCATTTCATTCAGCACTTGTAAACATAATCATTACTTTCAATGAGTTGACGACATTCTTTTTTTTTACCCACATTAGATTAATGTAGTAACGAGAGAAGGAAAAATTGACTAATTAAACATTCAAAGCATTGCTTCATAAATACTCGAACTTTGCTACTATGGCATAAGCACAAATTAAAATTCATAGACGATTCTTCCATTGTTTGCGTATTAATTTTACACATAAGGAGAGTTACATGGAGTTGTGGTCATTGAATGAATCAAATCAATCGTATTCATAATTTTTTTATGGATAAAGTTTGAATATTTTGGACTCACCATTGTATCAGCTAATTCCTGGTAGTAAGACTCCCCACTACCACGTCGCGATCCAACACACATCGCCCTTCTTAAAAGACTCGTTAACAGTGAACATAACCCACAACGTTGGACGACTCCCTCGACTGATCCTCGACGATTGTTGGTGGTGGCGCTTTCGTTCATCGTCAAATGGCCTCGTTCGGTCGAGACCTTCCTTTCCGACGACGCTGCCACCGTGACTAGACTTAAAAGCACCTTTGATGCGAAGACGAAAACTTGTAAATGTTTTCTTCAAAGTCGTTTAATTTTTTCTTTTTTATTTCCCTCTTTGATTTGAATCTTTTATATCTACTTTTTGACTACTTAATTAGTCACTTAAACTGTACACTTATTACACCATGATATCAACACTACATACATATGCCTTCTTCTTATCAAAGATTAAACATATTAGTTTTGTTTCCTTTTCTTAATTTTATTTCTTTACACCTTTTTTTTTTAATTTTGTTGATGTTGCCGTTGCTGCTGTTGCTTCACAAAATTTTATTCACCTTGAAAAGAATTATTTGTTGTTTTTTTATTATTTCTTTGGTTATTAATAATTGCTTTTGGATAAAACGCGTTGGTAAATGAGCTGCGCACGTATACTTAGATTCATCACACGAAAGATTGCTTTCAGTTAAACATATATTACACCACGCTTCTTATTTATTGAGCGAAACTTCAACGATTACCAATCAATTATGTGAATAAATTGTTTCTCTTTCTCGTTCGTTCATTCGCTCTCTTCTCGTTAGCTCTGAAGATAAATACGATGACAGAAAGCTAATAATGGCATCAATAAAGATACTTGAACGCGAATAAACTTTATTGAAGCGAACTAAGTACTTCATCGTTGTCAATTGTTATTCTAATCGATCGAAGGTCCGCAAATAAGTATCGAATAAAGTTTCCTAACTTACGACATTTTCATATTTTAAATTTCAACGACATTGTCGAAAACTTTGTACATAAACCAGCAAACTTGGTTGTTGTTTCTTTTAGATTAAACATAAATTTAAAAACAATAAATCATAATTTAACGAGCAAGCAAGTAAGCTTCGCTTCTCAAGTCATTGGTTGGTTTGTACGCTTCTAACTGTTTCTCTTGCATTATCCATAGGTCTTATGTATGTCTTATATTGTAAGAAATGGAATCACTTGTGTTCATATTTGGATATTTGGGTCATTTGTTGACAACTTGAAATAAGCCAGTAAATCTAGACTTTGAAAACCTCAACTGTACGTAAGGAAAAAATATTCTAAAGATATTCGAAGTGAATTTACATGCATGTTCTCGAGAACGACACTGACAAAGGTCGTAAAATCACTCATCACATCTATCGAGAATTACAGCTCAAATTAGATAAACGACTTTTTCAATTCGCATCATCTCGAGCATGTTTTGAGAATGATAGAGAAATATGGAATGACTTTTATGAGCTCAACATCAGCTTCATGGGTTTTATGCCTTTATTTTTGATAGAAGCTTGCGGTCGTAGGCTTAATTTTCAGGCGAATAAACCAACAAAATTCTTGTTAAGACCAACGGATTTTCTTTCGTAAAGCCTTTTCAGTTTTCCTTCGTTCTACGCTTTTTCCTAACCACATTATCGCATTAGGACATACTTTGTCGTATCGATTTGTGCATCAAATGCGAATTTTGTCATTGACCCGATAATCTTTTTACTTCTCCGCTCACCCTTCGTAAATTATTTACCGGAATGAAAATTGTTTCATTCGTTTCCGATATTGCAACATCACAACACGGTTGAGGGAATATAAAATAATAAATCAATAAGAAGATTTTGTTTGGCTCTGAAAGGATTTCAAACTTTATTTCTTCTCTCACAACACAATCATTATCGATTGAAATCGTATAAGTTTCTTCTCTTAACGAAGACAGAAAACAGAGATAAAACAATAAATAATTTTCAACTTAAATATTTATTTATTATCTATCTAGTTTTGATGTTTACTTGAACGGTATTAAATTCTCTTGAATTAATATATCAAGCACTAATTTAATGCTTTCAGTTATATGCTTTATCTTATCTCCTCTTCTCTCTTACAAAAAAAAATTTTTAGCTCGATAGGAACGTAAATGTGCAGTGAAATTAGCATTTTTCTTTTCTGTTCGCCTTGTCACATGGCAGTTTATCGATATTTACGTGAACTCAAATCAATTGAGTTCGTGAGAGAAGGAGATGGGAAAAAAAGATGTTTTTCATAGTACAGATCAGTTATCGAAGCAATCGTCTCATCAACATACATACGTTTTTTAGATATTTTACATTGACTCGCTTATTCGAAGAATTTCGCTTAAACTCGCGACTCGCGATCTCACCCTGACGTTTTGTTCACCTCATTCACTTACTCGTTCGCTGATGTAAGTAAGCTTCCACTTTTGTTTTTGTATTTCTCTCTAAATATGTCACAGTCATAAAATTACCTTCAAACTCTTTTTTTGTACATTTTTTCAGTATTTCGATTTATGAGTTTGTCGAGTTGCAGCGTAAAAATTCATAAAGCTTCATAAAAAAAAGCACGAAAACAGAAAAACAAAAAATTATAAATATCTATCAATGAAACACATTCAGAAATTGTTTGTACTTCATGTTTGTCGATTGTTTATTCAAAAGCCTCTCTCGGTTTTTCACATTTGCTAGACGATTTATGATTTTAACCCGTTAGTAAGTACTCACAATAATCTTTTATTATATCAAACAAGTGAAACACTGAGATGGAGAAAGTTTGTGTTGAATACAAATTCTGTACTGATCGCATTTTACTTTTCAATTCTCTGCTCCTAGATATTTCCAATGACATAACAAGCATGATTTTTTTTTCTTTTTATTTTGCTATTACGCAGACACCTACAACTGAGATAAATCTACAAAAATTATTTATCTTCACAATAATTTATAATAACCGTTGTTTTTTAACAAGATATCTGGTAGGAACGCGGATTGTGTAACAACAAGAAAATCCAATTCCGCTCATAGCTATTCATCTTTCATTCAAAAATATTTGTCATGACACTTTATTATTTTGTGCGGACTTGATTATTTTTAGAAAATATATCTAGATATACATAAAAATATGCTCCAAGTATTTAATTTAATTTTTCTTTTTTATATTTGCATTTGTGTCAGGCAAATAAACTCGTTCCAAGGATGCCATTCCATTACATTATTCCCATGAATTCCAATGTTTTTTTATCAGTTTCATTCTTTTCTACCTTTTAAATCACTCTTGATTTCTGCTATTTAATGCCAATCCCTCAACAATAATTTTCGAAAATTGGCTATAAGCTCTTGCTTCGACACATGTAGCTGACGATGAATTTTTTTTTATTTAAGATTGTGCAATCATTTCATTCTTTTCTTTATATTTGCCTTGGGTAAATTTCAACTACACACTTTAATTCTCGAGACACCGCGCGAGCTTTTCTTTCTCTTTATAGTTTTTTATTTTATTATTATTTCTTATTTTTTTCGCACTGAGAATAACCTCTTCACACCTTCGTAACTAAGAAGCTTGACTATTGCAAAAAAAGCTAATCCATAAACCAGAAAAAACAATAAACCGCCCGAGAGTTCACGTGCGTATCTTTACAAGTTAAGACATTTTAGACTACTGACAGATGATGGTCTGGTTCCTACACATTCTACTTGAAACTCGCTTTTAACTTTCGTGAGCGACTCTCTTCTCATCGTGTTGTGTTGTGTTGTTGCTATCATAATTTGATTGTGTAGAGCTTCACACATGACGAGCATTTTTGTTGTTATTTTTTTTCTTCAAGTATTTTTCTTCTTGATTTTCTTCACATCAAAAGCCAGCGAGAGAGAATTACGAGCGATTTTGAGAGAATGTCTTCCAGTAAGGAATCCAGTGCGCTTACACAATAAAACAACGTTTAGTGACGTCATAGTAAAATCATGTTTTCGCGTGTGTTTGTGCAATCTCCCATTTTCCCTTGGACGATGAAAAAAAATATATTTCAATGGCATTTTTATGCACCAACCTAATTAAAACTACAATGATGAACAAAAAATTTTGCTTGTTTTCCCATTCACAAAGCACCTTTTATCACTCTTATCAAAACTAAACTCCAAATTCCGATCAAATTCATTCAACAAAATAGCTCTTTATAACTTTCTGCCGTTCTCGTAAAGTTTTTCACGTACAAATGAAAAGATTTCGAAGGCACGGAAACATGAACGAGAAGAAAAAAATCCAAGGGGCTTCGAAAAAAGAGAATCGAGAATCTGGAACATAAAGTGTGCACTGGATTTTATATTATGTACGATGAATGTTCATGGAAGAGAAATATCTCTCTTATCAATCGTCATTCTCTTTATTTCCAAAGCTTTTTCGAAATGTGAGATGTGTGTTGGTAAGAAGTTAGAAAGAAGCTAACCGGGGTTTTGTGTGTAGCTTAAGCAACGACTGGAATAAAACAAAAACGAAAGAAGGTAAAACTCTTATACGATATACAATGAATATATGCAAATGAGAGAAGTATGAATGTATGTTTGTAAATGCAGAAATGAACTGTGAGCGAAAAGAATTACCCTTGTTTTCCCTCGCATTCTCATATCTTTGAGTTGGCCCCTAGTGCTTAAAGCTCAACCTCATCAACTACTTGCTATTATGCAGGTAAAGGCTGAATTTCGCATAATAATCGAGGGCGAATGTCGACAAGAAAATTGATTTATTTCTGATACTTATTTTGTAAGGGAAATCATTTTTATATCTTTCTTCTTATTATTTAGATTAAGTAACTAAGAAGAAATGAAATATCTCAGAAGTAAATAAAATACTTTTAATCTAGTTGATGAAAAAACAAAAATTGTTTTTATGAAACATAGACAGTTAAAGCTTCATTGATTAACTGGCATGTTCATGATGAAGGTTTGAAAGTATCTTGATGTGTAACAAGGGAATGAAAGGAGAGTGAATACTTTTCCAAAGAAGTTTCTTAAATAAAATTTATGATGAGATGACTGAGTAACAACAGAAAGCGTTGAATAACATTAATTTTGTTTTTGATTTATCATAAAATAAATACTTGAGAACTATCAAGTTTCAATACAAATTTATATTGAGACTACTCAACATGAAAATTTTCACTCAATGAGGTTAGATGAAAATATTAAAAGCACTCGAAACACTCTAATCTCATTTTGTATTCGCGTTGCCCATGTTCTCTGACAAACCCAATTTTCTTTTAATTTAAGTATGTTTCTATAGAGCTTGAACGGTTCATGAACAGAAAAAAGAGGGAAAACAAACTTTTTTCATACTTTATTCTTCTGTTTAACACTGCTGAAAAAAAAAGTTTTCTCATCATTCTTCTTTATTTTTGTGAGGGTTCTTTAAGAAGCCGAATTACATAAATGTGTTAATATCATTTCAGACGCCTGTCGATGGGATAAGGAATGCATTAAAACTTTTTTTCCTTTCTTTCTCCCTTTTTTGTACCATTTAGGTTCGTTCACTTCGTTGTAGATTAAATAAATCTTACACATCATGAAGAAAATTTCATCAGGAAGTCGGGAGACTTTCTCTTTTTTCGCTCGGATTAAATTGACATTTCTGTAATTTTGATATGATTTTCTAAGCTTAGATATAACGCAAACATGTTTTCCGGCCAATGTAGGTTGTGTTCATAAACTAATCTTCCTTTATTTTTTTTTCAATTTCTAACCTTTCGGAAGTTTCTTTTTTTCTTTTTTTTTCGAATGACGTTAGAGTTGAGTTAGGATTCAGATCACGGAACAAAGAGATCCTTGAATGATAATATTTTACGTTTTTCTATTTTTGAATTCAATTGAATTTCAAACCTACAAGTTTCAGATTCGCAAAAGATTTCACTTTCCTTCAATATATATTTCAATTTCATTTTATTTTTATTTCTTTCAACTTTTGCCTTCCAATTCATTCTTTTCAATCATGAAAAAGAACACATACGTCTGGTGAAATTGATAAGCGAACGAACGAACATTCTTCGTCAAAGACGAAAATCGAAAATTGAGAAGCACCGTCCGTTACATGAAGCGATTTTTCTCACGTTTCATTTTGAAATTAAATCGCACGAGAATTTTATTTTTTTTCCTCCTTTTCAGTCTTTTGAAATTTTGTTTCATACACAAAAAGAAAGTAAAATAAAATAAAAAGCTCTCAAGTGAAATGTCACACGGGAATGTTGTCATAGAAACGATTCTGAAACCTTTATACTGATACTTTCTTCTCGTCTCTTCAATATATGTTCTTATGTATGTTTTATGTTGTGCCATGCGATAGTGACATTTAAAAAATCTTCGTATACTTATGGTATCTTCTACTCTCTAACCATAATCATTGGAATTGATTTTTTCTATCAGAGATGAGAAGCTCATTCAATGTTTAGGCTATTCAATAACATTTTCAAAGGTTTCCTTCCGTCAATTTTCAAACGCTTTCAAGGAGACTTGTGACAATATAATTAATCGATATAACACATTGATGATGAACAGGACGATTGACGCTTTTATATTTCTTTCTTTTCAACTTCTAGAGCTTCATATCGAGCTGAGAAGGTGAAAAGAAGCTTCTTTGTAGGGTTGAAAGATTAAAAGTCTGAGTTCGTAGAAAGTTCTTTTATATTCCAATAAATCGATTTAAAGATCATTTTTCTAAATCTTCAAATCATCATCATTATTTTGAAACACGACAATAATTTTATTTATTATTTATTTTACTTCTTTATAAATAAGGAATGTTTATTTCTCTCTTCATTATTTAATTGTGTACACGAAAATGTGAATTCTACTTAAATCTCTGAAAAGTTTTGTTTTCCTTTCGTGATATTTGACTACAGAAATTATTTCTTCTTTCACAAAAAAAAAATCCATTTAAACTCGTTTTATATAGTTGAAGGAAAAATTTACAGTCACAGGAGGTTCATTAAGTATGATAAGAAGGGAGAAATTTTCTCATAGCCGATTATGACTCTAATAGAATTTTTCCTGTTTTGTGAGGAAATTTTTCTATGTTTTCTCTTCTATTAAGTATCAAAATATGGTATCATCGATTCCAAGCATTGTTTGTATGTTTGTTTGGTTGTTTGTGCAATAGAATAATCTTTTAAAATAAATCTTTTAGTTTCTTGTCTCATCACGTTTCTTTAGAATGTCAAATAAAACTTCAGCTGACTTACTATCCATATCGTCATCATCACCATTAGTATCTGAATCATAATCAAGTAACGGAACCTTCTGACCACCAGCATTATAAGCAATAACTACGCTTGTTCCATTGTTCGTCGATGCTTTCGTTTCATTCAATGTTTTCGCATCAAATTTAGTTGAATATTGATTGTTCATGTCATAATGGCACTCAGAATCAACTTGCACACGTTCAGGCGTGTTGTCAGTCAGCATCCAATATTTGTAAATCACATGACAAGTTATTCCACCCAAGCATAGAATCAATCCAAAAAGATTGTACAAACTCAACACTTCGCCATTTATCTCAACAGCAAGAACAAGCTGACAAATTTCTTTGAATATTCCCGAGACTGAAAGTGTTAAGCTTGATGTGTGCGAGAGAACAAGAAACTCGCTTATCTCCATGAAGAATGCCAAAAAAGCGCCAATTGATATTTTGGTCCATAAAATAAGAACTTCATAATATTCAAGTTCAAGAAACTGGTTAAAATGTGACATAAGTCGACCTGATTCAAAAACAACTGCAAATGGCAAAAGTGCCAACAGCATATAAGGTTGCATGTAGTAAATCATGTCTGAAAGTAATTTAAATTATTTAATTTCCCTCACTTTTTTCCATTCTTTCTTCTTACCAATTGGATTGTGTAAGCCAAGTTTTGATTTTTGCATGAGCATTTGAGCTAAAGTCCATCGTGCTCCACTACTGAAAGATGCAATCAGTAGAAGAATAAATCCGTGTAAATCAAACTCCGTTGATTTGTAAGTAAAGAGAAAAAGACCAGCTGATATCATAACCACAATGACACCAAGAGACCAGCTCTGAAAGAATTTTATTCCAATTAAGGTTGAAAAAATATAAATAATTTGCTTTTACCTTCTTCTCCAATCTAAATAAGATTGCAAAGAAACTTATGAAAATTATAACAGTTGACTTGGTCATCGTGTAAAGTGCTACATCTACAAACTCCAATCCCCATTGGGAAAAACCAATATCAACAGCACCAAAGAAAGATGTTGGTGCAACTTTTCTTATCCCAGTTGATACAGAAAGTTTTACGCGTTGTTTTCCCGTAAACATCCGATAGAAAATTCTTATAAGCGTAGACATGACTAGTTTAATAAATAAATGATAAATAACAACAGAAAATGGAAATTTATAGCCCTGAAAGTATCAAAAATTATGATTAATTTTCACTCTTGATGTTCAACTCGAACAACTCACTTTTAAAAGCCATCGCTGGTAGAATGTTAGTCCAATGGAAAGAATAAAGTAGCATAAAATTAGCAATCCAGTCAGCATGATCGTTCTCATAATCGAATTACTGCGTTGTGTAGAATGTTTCATTGTGATGTGGTTAACGTCATTATTAAGAGGCGAGATCTTTACTTTAGGAAGAATATCTTCTTCATCTTCACTATCGATTGTCTGCAATTGATTTCCATTATCATCACTGTTGTCGTGGTCTGTGATTGTTGATCTTACTCGTGCATATCGAACAGTGGTCATATTAATTTATTTTTCTTTGTTGTCTTTTAGAATGAATCCTTTAACAGTTGTTTATATTCATTTTTCAATGTTCTTCATCTGAAAAATCAACAGATGGCACAAATTAAATTTGTCAATTGTGTAAAGAATTTTGTTTTTCTATTCTATTATTATTATCACTTTTCAACGCTTATCATTAATTTTCTATTTTTAGTGCAAAAAAGCTCTTGCTACGTGGAGTCAATCAAAGTTTTTTTCTTTATGTTTACACTCAGTTGATTATCAAAAGTTTTTATGATTCGCGTCAACAAAAAATTGATGTTTAAATATTGTGGATTGAAACAATAACTCGCTCTTTTTACTATTAAATGTTTAAAACTCACTAGTATAACTTGAAGATATTTGCTAGCGGCATAAATTAGCAGTTAAAACAACTTTACCTGTTCCTAAGTTGAATTCTGCAGCATATAAGCTTCCATATGCCGTCCAAACTAAACAACAAGAAAGAATTTTGAGCAAAACGGCTTTTACATCGATAAGAAAATGAACTTTTGTATTACTTATGCTATATAAAAATTAATGATGTTATATGTTTTAATTAAGAAACTCTAAACAGGGAATTCGGTAGATAGCGAAAATTTGGAAAATTTTTATTGATGTTGTAGAGCTGTAGAGTTTGTAAGGTTCTCAAGCAATTTTCTACTCAATTTGTACACCCTGTACTTGTTTACATTGTTCGAGTTCGTAAATTTTATGTTTCTTTTTAATTAATTACTTAAAATAAAGCTTAATGGCAGCGAAAAAACTTAGTGAAGACTATGCCAACTATTTTTTGAAGAATAATGTTGCTAAAGAAGTAAGAGAATCGTATGCGATAAAATTCTTTTCATAAAAATATTAAAAATTTTTAAGGTCGCACCAATGATATCAACAGTCGAAAATATTCACGCAAGATCAAGTGAAATTGAAAGCATATTTCTTCCAACCATTCAACATGATACTATTGTGCTCAAAGATAACATCAATCAAATTTTACAATGCAAAGAAGAGTTTGAACATATTTTTTCACAAATCGATAATCTTGAACTTCTCGTGACCAGAGTGAAGGTTGATTTACAAAAGTTAGAGACACAAATCGAAGTTGCTGAAGAAGAACTTGATATTCCTGAAAAGAAAATGGATATATTCTTAAAATCGATCAATATTTTTGCGAAACCTCGAAGTACTCAGTCAACAAATCTAGATGAAGATGGAAATTATAAGCCAGTAGATATTTTCAAAGCAAAAGATTATTTTAATGAATAGATAATCAAAGTCTTTTTTTAATATTATACGACAAACATTTATTCAAATCAAATAATGTGATTCATCATTTTAGACATTTAACTATAATACATCATAAGTTTCTTAATTTTCTAGAACTAACACTTTATGCTGATACTCTTCTTACTTTCTGCACTCCAAATGAAAAAAAAACGAAATGTTACAATGTCAAAGACAAATGAGAAACAAAATGTTGCCTTAAATGACTCTCAGAGAAGGATTGTTAAGATTAATGATAAAGTTTCTTGTTATTTTCTTTCTATGTTATCTACTCTGCATAATTAAAGTGATGATATTTATGTATCTATAGCATTTGTTAATTAAATAAATTGAATCATCAGTAACTTAAATAAAAATTTCTCAATCATCACACAGTTAATGACTTAAAAATTTTACACAACACAATGCTTTGTATCGAAAACTATTTCTGATATTAATGTAACAAAGCACATCCCGAAGTAAATTAAGATAAACTATTAGACATTTCATTGACAGAATATTTTTTTATATTAAAATGAAATAAGAAAAAATTATTTTAAAACGTTTAACTTAAACACTTCACTGTATCAATACTTTTCACGTTAAAGCTTATCTCAATTTTTCATGTCACGTCACTCAATCATTTCAAATCTTTCTTAAAAAATATAAAAAAAAGTTAAATGCTATAAAGCTATCTTATCCTTTCATTGTTGTGACATTAAGTTCATGATGAACTTTGATAGCCAAAAAGTTTCATCGTCGTGTTGCTTTAAAATTTCCCACTTCCTCTCTTCTGACTTAATTTATTTTGTGCCTTTGTCTGCGGTTGACTCTCATTCTGCGACGATTGTCCTTCGCCTTCACTCGAAGAGATTTTCGATTTCAATTTTTTGATTAATTTATCGATTTCTTCTATTGTGTAGGTAAACATAAGTTTGCAATTATTCGCTTGAATACGATTGTTATTGATGTATTTCAACGAATGTTTTAGACAGTATACTGTTTCATCATCGTCATCATAATGTTCAATCCAAGATATGTGTAAGTTTGCACGACAATAATTACATTCAAGCTCTTCAGCATTCACTTTATTTTTCGTCTCGTGTATTTTTTCTGTTTTAGTTACGCCAGCATCCTATACATGAATAAAAATATTAAATTAAATTCTGTTTTGACAGCTCACGTTTTCACTACTCACTTTTAAAGCTTGACGATTTTTCTTTTCAGAATCATAAACTTCGCTTAACATTGGAAGAACTTTCACAATTGTTTCTTCTTTACTTCTCTGATCATTTGCTATGGCGAATAATAATTGTTCTAATGAGAACATTGTAGGTTCGCAACTTTCTTGTATATCCTGATTTGAAAAACATAAATTAATTTTTTATAAAGGCATAAAAAGTTGTGACAAACCTTAAAGTCAAGATGTGCAGTATTAAGCCAACTATTTGTTGCAAAATAAACACTTTCAGAAACTGTGTAGCCTGTGCAGACGCTTGAAGTATAAGCTCTAGGAAAAACAATCACAAATTGTCCCGGTTGCTGTTCTGTACGACACAAAGACACATTCCGATCAGTCAACATGTAAGGTGGAACCTGTTGATGAAATTTAAATTTCAATTTCATTACAAAAAGTTTAGTTTTAAAGATTTTACCATAGCAGTATCGCAAGGCAACCAAATTGTTTTGTTCTGACAATGTGAAGGAACTAAAGATGTTAAAGCCGTTCTGAAGTTGGAACTTTGATTATCCGGCACTGCGTACCAAATTTTACTTGCTCCAGTGTGTAAATATTCGATCCATGGAAGTCCTGTCAAGATTAAAATTCTTAATTAATTAAAGTCAAGGAAAATTGAAGAAAAGACAAACCTGTTGGATCACGATACCAGCAAACAGCACTAAAAAGCATTCCAACATGAAGTGTCGGCACAGTGACCCCCATAACAGGTCCAAGCGATCTCAATATTGATCCACAATTATTTGTAAGAACTTTCAAGTTCCACGGATGTTTCGAACATGGCGACATTTTTGTTTTCGATCCCGGAACAGGGAAACCGTAGCCATAGCCACTTGAATCAATTGATCCATAATGAACGCAAACGTGACTGTCTCGAACAGCAACATGACGCCAATATTCGCTTTCAATTTCAGACACAGAAGGTTCAGGTGTTTTAAACCATAATGTCACCATGTTTCGTGCAACTCGATAGAATTGACTTAATGCCATGCTTCGTCCTTTTATCATACACTCCATCGATGCATTGTCATCTTCATCTTCTTCATCACTCTCTTCACTTTCTTCATTACTCTGCTCATCAGAGTCAATTCCTTTATCAGCATTTCTTCGAGCTTTTGCTTCACGTTTCGCCCAATCAGCTTCAACTTCATCGAAAAGCTTTTGGCGTTCGCTATGTGACAATGTGTCGTAAGGTAACAAATATTTACAGTAAATATCATCAAGTTTAGTGACACGATCGTGAGCTGTTTTTGGAATGCACATATCTTCAGCTACTTTAGCCCATTTCTTCTTCTCAATGACTTCTTTTAAGCCACCAAGCTCTTGCACAGTGTGATAAAGACGAGGAAGATCAACTTCAATTCCAGCTATTAATGGTGGCCTTTGAAAAACAATACTTTGTGTCGCTAAATATATCTTAATCNACTTAAAAAAAAATTTCTCAATCNCGTCATTATTAAGAGGCGAGATCTTTACTTTAGGAAGAATATCTTCTTCATCTTCACTATCGATTGTCTGCAATTGATTTCCATTATCATCACTGTTGTCGTGGTCTGTAATTGTTGATCTTACTCGTGCATATCGAACAGTGGTCATATTAATTTATTTTTCTTTGTTGTCTTTTAGAATGAATCCTTTAACAGTTGTTTATATTCATTTTTCAATGTTCTTCATCTGAAAAATCAACAGATGGCACAAATTAAATTTGTCAATTGTGTAAAGAATTTTGTTTTTCTATTCTATTATTATTATCACTTTTCAACGCTTATCATTAATTTTCTATTTTTAGTGCAAAAAAGCTCTTGCTACGTGGAGTCAATCAAAGTTTTTTTCTTTATGTTTACACTCAGTTGATTATCAAAAGTTTTTATGATTCGCGTCAACAAAAAATTGATGTTTAAATATTGTGGATTGAAACAATAACTCGCTCTTTTTACTATTAAATGTTTAAAACTCACTAGTATAACTTGTAGATATTTGCTAGCGGCATAAATTAGCAGTTAAAACAACTTTACCTGTTCCTAAGTTGAATTCTGCAGCATATAAGCTTCCATATGCCGTCCAAACTAAACAACAAGAAAGAATTTTGAGCAAAACGGCTTTTACATCGATAAGAAAATGAACTTTTGTATTACTTATGCTATATAAAAATTAATGATGTTATATGTTTTAATTAAGAAACTCTAAACAGGGAATTCGGTAGATAGCGAAAATTTGGAAAATTTTTATTGATGTTGTAGAGCTGTAGAGTTTGTAAGGTTCTCAAGCAATTTTCTACTCAATTTGTACACCCTGTACTTGTTTACATTGTTCGAGTTCGTAAATTTTATGTTTCTTTTTAATTAATTACTTAAAATAAAGCTTAATGGCAGCGAAAAAACTTAGTGAAGACTATGCCAACTATTTTTTGAAGAATAATGTTGCTAAAGAAGTAAGAGAATCGTATGCGATAAAATTCTTTTCATAAAAATATTAAAAAATTTTAAGGTCGCACCAATGATATCAACAGTCGAAAATATTCACGCAAGATCAAGTGAAATTGAAAGCATATTTCTTCCAACCATTCAACATGATACTATTGTGCTCAAAGATAACATCAATCAAATTTTACAATGCAAAGAAGAGTTTGAACATATTTTTTCACAAATCGATAATCTTGAACTTCTCGTGACCAGAGTGAAGGTTGATTTACAAAAGTTAGAGACACAAATCGAAGTTGCTGAAGAAGAACTTGATATTCCTGAAAAGAAAATGGATATATTCTTAAAATCGATCAATATTTTTGCGAAACCTCGAAGTACTCAGTCAACAAATCTAGATGAAGATGGAAATTACAAGCCAGTAGATATTTTCAAAGCAAAAGATTATTTTAATGAATAGATAATCAGTCTTTTTTTAATATTATACGACAAACATTTATTCAAATCAAATAATGTGATTCATCTTTTTAGACATTTAACTATAATACATCATAAGTTTCTTAATTATCTAGAACTAACACTTTATGCTGATACTCTTCTTACTTTCTGCACTCCAAATGAAAAAAAAACGAAATGTTACAATGTCAAAGACAAATGAGAAACAAAATGTTGCCTTAAATGACTCTCAGAGAAGGATTGTTAAGATTAATGATAAAGTTTTTTGTTATTTTCTTTCTATGTTATCTACTCTGCATAATAAAAGTGATGATATTTATGTATCTATAGCATTTGTTAATTAAATAAATTGAATCATCAGTAACTTAAATAAAAATTTCTCAATCATCACACAGACTTAAAAATTTTACACAACACAATGCTTTGTATCGAAAACTATTTCTGATATTAATGTAACAAAGCACATCCCGAAGTAAATTAAGATAAACTATTAGACATTTCATTGACAGAATATTTTTTTATATTAAAATGAAATAAGAAAAAATTATTTTAAAACGTTTAACTTAAACACTTCACTGTATCAATACTTTTCACGTTAAAGCTTATCTCAATTTTTCATGTCACGTCACTCAATCATTTCAAATCTTTCTTAAAAAATATAAAAAAAAGTTAAATGCTATAAAGCTATCTTATCCTTTCATTGTTGTGACATTAAGTTCATGATGAACTTTGATAGCCAAAAAGTTTCATCGTCGTGTTGCTTTAAAATTTCCCACTTCCTCTCTTCTGACTTAATTTATTTTGTGCCTTTGTCTGCGGTTGACTCTCATTCTGCGACGATTGTCCTTCGCCTTCACTCGAAGAGATTTTCGATTTCAATTTTTTGATTAATTTATCGATTTCTTCTATTGTGTAGGTAAACATAAGTTTGCAATTATTCGCTTGAATACGATTGTTATTGATGTATTTCAACGAATGTTTTAGACAGTATACTGTTTCATCATCGTCATCATAATGTTCAATCCAAGATATGTGTAAGTTTGCACGACAATAATTACATTCAAGCTCTTCAGCATTCACTTTATTTTTCGTCTCGTGTATTTTTTCTGTTTTAGTTACGCCAGCATCCTATACATGAATAAAAATATTAAATTAAATTCTGTTTTGACAGCTCACGTTTTCACTACTCACTTTTAAAGCTTGACGATTTTTCTTTTCAGAATCATAAACTTCGCTTAACATTGGAAGGACTTTCACAATTGTTTCTTCTTTACTTCTCTGATCATTTGCTATGGCGAATAATAATTGTTCTAATGAGAACATTGTAGGTTCGCAACTTTCTTGTATATCCTGATTTGAAAAACATAAATTAATTTTTTATAAAGGCATAAAAAGTTGTGACAAACCTTAAAGTCAAGATGTGCAGTATTAAGCCAACTATTTGTTGCAAAATAAACACTTTCAGAAACTGTGTAGCCTGTGCAGACGCTTGAAGTATAAGCTCTAGGAAAAACAATCACAAATTGTCCCGGTTGCTGTTCTGTACGACACAAAGACACATTCCGATCAGTCAACATGTAAGGTGGAACCTGTTGATGAAATTTAAATTTCAATTTCATTACAAAAAGTTTAGTTTTAAAGATTTTACCATAGCAGTATCGCAAGGCAACCAAATTGTTTTGTTCTGACAATGTGAAGGAACTAAAGATGTTAAAGCCGTTCTGAAGTTGGAACTTTGATTATCCGGCACTGCGTACCAAATTTTACTTGCTCCAGTGTGTAAATATTCGATCCATGGAAGTCCTGTCAAGATTAAAATTCTTAATTAATTAAAGTCAAGGAAAATTGAAGAAAAGACAAACCTGTTGGATCACGATACCAGCAAACAGCACTAAAAAGCATTCCAACATGAAGTGTCGGCACAGTGACCCCCATAACAGGTCCAAGCGATCTCAATATTGATCCACAATTATTTGTAAGAACTTTCAAGTTCCACGGATGTTTCGAACATGGCGACATTTTTGTTTTCGATCCCGGAACAGGAAAACCGTAGCCATAGCCACTTGAATCAATTGATCCATAATGAACGCAAACGTGACTGTCTCGAACAGCAACATGACGCCAATATTCGCTTTCAATTTCAGACACAGAAGGTTCAGGTGTTTTAAACCATAATGTCACCATGTTTCGTGCAACTCGATAGAATTGACTTAATGCCATGCTTCGGCCTTTTATCATACACTCCATCGATGCATTGTCATCTTCATCTTCTTCATCACTCTCTTCACTTTCTTCATTACTCTGCTCATCAGAGTCAATTCCTTTATCAGCATTTCTTCGAGCTTTTGCTTCACGTTTCGCCCAATCAGCTTCAACTTCATCGAAAAGCTTTTGACGTTCGCTATGTGACAATGTGTCGTAAGGTAACAAATATTTACAGTAAATATCATCGAGTTTAGTGACACGATCGTGAGCTGTTTTTGGAATGCACATATCTTCAGCTACTTTAGCCCATTTCTTCTTCTCAATGACTTCTTTTAAGCCACCAAGCTCTTGCACAGTGTGATAAAGACGAGGAAGATCAACTTCAATTCCAGCTATTAATGGTGGCCTTTGAAAAACAATACTTTGTGTCGCTAAATATTTCTTAATCGCTGAAAATTCTTTCGCACTTGGACCCCATCGATGCAGCATTTTATGAACATATTGATCGTAAGCTGTGAAACGCATTTCATCACTTACACGACATTCAGGTTTGAAGCTTTCAGGTGGAATAATACGACAAATGCCAAATCTTGATGCCATTGGAGTAATTCTTTCAATATATTCGATTGGATCTTGAAACTCTTTCTCTGTTGGACGAAAGACTGGAGCTTCAGTGAGATTTCCTAGTTTAGGTGTTTGTTTCGTTTTCGTTGTGGCAACTAAAGATGACGTGCTTGGTTCTGGTTCTGTGTCGTTTGATTTGAAACGTGGTTGAACAGTCGCACATGGAACTGGCTTTGTCGTGGTTGTTGATGATGTCGTCGTCGTTTCTTTGTTAGCCATCAACGACTTTACAAGCTCTTGAACATTATTAACAGATTCAGGTAATGGCGTTGTGTTAGCTCGCGACTTTGTGACAAGTTTAGCATGCATTATAATCCTTTGATTCGGACCTTCAGCTCCTTCCGTTCCCAACTTCACAGCAACACCTTGAATTGTCTTACTTCCTGACACGTTCGATGCTTGCAAAGGAATGTAGAAAGTATGACCCTCCGAATCTGAATCGTTTTCACCATCTCGCTCCTTATTCTCCACTTTTTCATTTTCCTTCTTCACTTCATCACCACCGACACTAATTGCAGCAGATTTTCGGTTCTCATCCGGACTTAATGTCAACGAAACCTGCGATTGCTGTTGTTGCTGAGACATTTGCTTGTTTGGCGTTAATGCGAGTTTGTTAAAAGCATCGCTCTCAGTTTTTGAATTACTTCGACGAAATGGAGTTGCTGGAGTTGGAAGATCGTCGTCTTCTCTATCAAATGAATAAATACTGTGTTCGTTCTCAGGCGAAAAGGCACCAAAGCTTTTGGGTAACATTGGAGTCAACTTTGAGTTAACTTTATTGTCAGTTTTGTAAACAGGCGTTCGACGTTTCTGTGTTTGTTGCTGCTGCTGCTGTTGTTGTTGGTAAATTGGAGTTTTCTTTTCAGCAACGCTACTCGATGGAGATTTCACAGCTTTTTCTGACATCTTCGAACCATTCGCTTTCTGTTGATTGCCTTTGACAGAGTTTGACGGCTGCGGTTGTTGTTTCTTTGACTCTTCATTCTTCAATGGAAAATTTGATTTAATTTTTTCATCAACTTTCGCAAGAAATTTAGTTGTGATGAGTGAACTTTCTTTCTGTTGTTTGCTTTGTTGTTCAGTTTTGCCACTTGTTGATGGCGATTGTTGCACAACATTTTTCTCTCTTATTAAACTCGAAGATTGAGAATCATCACCAGATTTTGAATGTCCAATACTTGATGTCGAAGCTTTTGATGTTGTTTTTATGTCAACAGTTTCCATTTCATCGTCCGGAATTGGCGTCCATGAAGCTTCTTCCAACCACTTTTGAATTTGTTCTCGACTCATGTTCACTTTACTCTTACGACGATCTTTTGGCGAGAGACTTGCACCTAAAGCTGACTCAGTTAGAACTGGTGGAGCTAATGGTGGTTTATGAACATGAACTGATCCACATTTACCCAAAGTGCACTTGGTGTCTAAAGGTCCACAACTTTGTGCAAGTGTCACACTCGCAATGCCGAAAATCTTTTCAGATTCTTCTTTACTTGGAAGTAAATTTATTGACGACTTCACTGATGCCATTGGTTTGGCACCAGCTGAATCAAATCCTTTGACAAACTCATCATCATCAGTCTGAAGAATTTTCGGTTTTTCTGTCTGACGGTTGTGCGTGTTTTCCGCTGATTGTTTTTCTTGACGTGAAAGCTCTGAAGCATTATTTTTGACTTGCTTTTCATTTATTTTCTTTTCACTTATTGACAGTTTGGCACTTGGAGATTGATTTAATGAATTCTTTTTCGACTCACACTTTTTAGGAGGCGATTTTATTTGTTCGGCTTCCTTTCTCTCATTTTCCTTCCGAGCGGCTATTTCAGCAAGTTCTTGATTGCTTTTCCGTCCACGTTTCTTCGGTGCTGGTTTCTCCGGAGGCTTTTCCGACGATTGTTTTGTCAGCTTTGTTGCAAGCGGCTCTTCGTCGGAATCACTAAAACTTTTTTCTAAAACCTTTTCTTCCTTTATTTTTTTCACTTCTTCTAACACTTCTTCGTCTTCCCCTTCTAATAATTTTTTCATCCCGCGTTTTCCTTTTAAGTTTTTTGCATCAGTTTTTCTCTTTTGTTCGGCTTCAGCTTCAGCTTCTTTGGCCTTCTTTTCACAATTTGCTTTCAATTCATTCTCAAGAAGTTCAACTCGTTTGAGATTTGGAACTTCAAGACTATCAAGTGAAGAATCATTGTCAGATGAATCACGCAATGTTAATTTGCGTCCTATTAATTCCATATAAATCGTTGCCGCTTCTTTTGTTTTTCTCATTGGTCGTCCACGCGCTTCATTTTCACTTAAATCTGTCGTGTTGGCTTGCGAATTTGCAATTTCTTGATCAACATTTGTCTTCTTCTTTCTCACAACTTTCTTAATTTCAGGCGATTTTTCACTTTCTGGTGACTTTTCTTTTGATTTTTCAATTACAATTTTCTTTTTTCTGCCACGATTTGATTTGACAACACTTTGCTTTGAGTCATTCTGCGAGCTGTTGTTATGATTAGTCAACGAAGACTTGTTGACATCAGAGCAAAAAGATTTCATTAAGTCAGCATTGGACTTAGATTCCTGTAACTTTAATTTCTTATTCTTCGGTTCCGACTTGATTAAAGGCTCATCGTCTTCAGATGAAGAAATCGACTCTTCAGATTCCTCTTTTTTCAAACTTTCCTTCGGTGTCGATGTTGATTGTGGAGGATTTTTAATTGCAGATAGTCTTGTTTGACGTTTCTCAGCGTTCTTTTTAGTTTCCTCTTCCTTATTTGACTCATTATTTAGCGTTGAATTGTGAGGCGAATCCACTTTCACAGGTTCAGAAAAAGATGAATCCTGACTTGTATCTTTCAATTTTTTCGTATTTTTATTAACACTAACATCATTTGTGTTGTTTGCTCTTGTCGTTCTTGGTCCATTCAATGACTCACTTGTAGAGTCCAAGTCTTGTTTCTGTTCTTTTCGTTTCTTAGTCATCAACTGCAGCTTTTTCTTATCATTTTTAAGAGGATGAATTTCAGCTCGTTTACGAACTGCGAAAGGCATAAATCCAGTTTTAGGATCTTTTTCTTGTGATGTTGAAGGTTTCGAAATCTGCGACTCCTTTACAACTGTCGCATTTTCCTGTTTCTTTATAGGAGATTTTTTCTTAATATCTTTGTTCTTTTTATCACTTCCACTTTTGTTTCCTTTTGCCGTTGTGCCACTTGTCGATGGCCTATTGAGGGTATTTTGAAAATCGCACTCTTTAGGAAGAGCATTTGTGCCACGATAACAAAGAAATGTAAGAAAATCTTCTGTGTTTGGACGTAGATTTGGCAACAATTCTCTTTCCTGTGATTTCTCTTTAACTGGAGTTTCACTACCTGATGTTAGATTATAGGTGAGATATGCTGAAGAAGGTGGCTGTTGTCCCTGTGCAAATTTACGTTGCGCTTGGATTTTTGTTCTAAAAAAATTCAAGAAAAAAATCTCAGAAAGCCATTAGCAAATTTTCACAAAAAATCGATTTTTCCATCAAATCGAGTTGAAACCGGTCGAAATTACCTTTTTATTTCTGGAGGCGCTGAGGCGGGCTCCTTGACATCCTTCTTGCGCTTCGAGACCACCATTATATAGATTTTAAAATTCTAATACTTTTACTCGCGTCCTTTCATCATAAACTTATGAATTTTAATATTTTTAGCAGCTTTTTTTTGTTAAGATTTCCGCTGTCAAGTGATATATGCGTTTGAATGCGAAAGATGCAAAATATTATCGTATACATGCGAAAATTTCAAAACAATGCGATTGACTTAAAAACAATCGCTCGATTTTACATCACAATATCATTTTAAAATGCAAAAATGTTAAAATTATGGAAGCAAATTAAATATTTCGAATAAATTAAATACTTGATGGAATTTAAAATGCTTATTTCATTAAAAATTTTAAATAAATCGAATATGAAAATAACGGTTAAGATCATTTCATTTCAAAACTACATTTGTAGGGTTTTCAAAGGTTTTTGTGCAGAAACGCAAACCAGTAGCCGGTTGTAAACATGTAATAAAATATTTTAAGAAAATAAGTAATAAAGTGCATTGATTTATTATATTTTTTATGTGAAAGTAATTTATATGAACTAAATTCTAGATTTTCTTGATAATTACCACAAGATAATACTTTATAAGTTTTAATCTTTTTAATGTTTTTGTTGCGGTATTCGAATCTAAAGTTTGTGTACGGTTTACATCTCCTGTGTCCTTCGCATCAAAATAATTCTCAAAAAGTTAAGCAAATGTAAAATAAATCGCAGAAATGTCGAAATCTCTTATCCAAGATGACAAGAAGGGTGAGATTGTTCTTACAGACCGTTTGAGTGATGACTTGAAAAACTTGTACTTGTCGGAAAACTACAGCGACGTTACTTTCGTTGTTGAAAATGAAAAAATTCCAAGTAAGTATTCTGCGTAATTAATTTTAGGAACAAAAAAACGACAATAGACTGTGTTATTGACAAATATTATCAATGTTTCAGGTCATAAAGTTATACTCGCTGCACGAAGCGAGTATTTTCGTGCTTTACTTTTCGGAGGCTTAAATGAAACGAACAAAAGCGAAGTAACTTTGAAAGTTCCTATCAAAGCTTTCAAAATTATCCTAAGATACATCTATACAGCAAGAATAAATCTGAGGACGATGCAAATGTGTGATATCTTAGATACGCTAGGTCTTTCAAATCTTTTTGGATACGAGGAACTCAAAGATGAAATCTCAAACTTTCTTAAAAATTCTCTTCAACTTTCTAATGTTTGTAACATTCTTGACGCGTCGAGACTTTATGAGTTGAACTCACTCACTAGCATTTGTTATAATTACATTGACAAGAATGCTGAAGATTTGTTAAAACACGAATCTTTCAAGTTCCTTTACAAAGATTCGCTAATCATTTTACTTTCTCGAGATTCATTTTTTGTGCCAGAAATTAATATTTTTCAAGCAATCGAAGGTTGGATTAAAAGCAATCCCGAATTAACACCAGACGACATAAGAGAAGTTGTCTCACAAGTTCGTCTGCCATTGATTAGTCTTGAAGATTTACTCTCAATCGTTCGACCGACGAAAATTCTTGATGCAAATTATCTTCTCGATGCCATTCACGTTAAAACCAAATCTCGTGTAAATCGTTTACCTCATCGAGGACGAGTTTGTCCTGAAGAAAATATTTTAACAGCAAAATTCGGAGCGAAAGTCATTACAGGGCATTGTGATGGTTATTCGTTACTTGATGCCAGTGATCATCCATACGATATGGAGAAAGGCTACACACGACACACGATAACAAAGAACGACGAGGGAATTATTGTTGAACTTGGAACTATTTTCATTATTAATCATATCAAATTATTATTATGGGATTTGGACGTTCGTTCGTATTCATATGTAAGTAAATTCCAATGTTTCAGTAAATTAATTTAATTAAAAATGTATTTTATTTGTTCAGACAATCCACGTTTCTGTTGGGAATGAGTTTTGGGAGAAAGTGATTGATTATTCAACGTTCCATTGTCGATCATGGCAATACATTTACTTTGAAAAGCGGCCAGTTCAATGCATTAAAATCACCGGCACACATAACACAGTAAATAAGATTTTCCATCTTGTGTCACTCCAAGCGATGCTTTTGACGAACGTACCAGAAACAATCGATGGGATTATTGTCCCAAAAATGAACGTAGCAACAGTTGAAAGATCAGCTTCGGTGTTGGAAGGCGTTTCAAGAAACAAAAACTCACTTTTGAATGGAAATGTTAAAGATTATGATTGGGATTGTGGTAAGTTGGAATGAGAATTGTTGTTTAAGTAATGAAATGTTGCACGTTTTGAATTTTTGATTACAGGGTATACTTGTCATCAGCTAGGCAGTGGCAACATCTCAATTCAGTTGGGTCAACCTTACATGATTGGATCGTTTCGAATTCTCCTTTGGGATTGTGATGACAGAACTTACAGTTTCTACATTGAAACGTCAGTTAATGGAGCTGATTGGGATTTAGTTGTTGATAAGAAGAATGAAAGACTTCAGTCGTGGAATTCATTTTCATTTGAGCCACGTCCGATCAGTTACATTCGAATAACTGGAACTTACAACTCAGCAAATGAAATTTTTCACATTGTTCACATTGAATGCCCTTCGCAAGTGATGTAAAAGTGAAGGAAAAGGAGAAGACGAAGAAAATGGAAACAGGGAAACTCAGAAATTAATGTACCTCTTTAATTAATTAGTTCTTATCTATTTCAAATGAATATCAAAAAGCAATTTTCAAGATCAAAAAGCTTCGCATAAATTCGTAAGTTTCTTAGATTTACAGAAAAAAAAATTGAAAATTTTTATTCCACAATCTGAAATTCAACTCAAGTTTTTATTTATTTGATTTGTTAATTTGTGAATATAATCAAAGATCAAAGTCCTAATCAGTTAAAAATTCGATTGTTGAAAGAAGAAAAAACTTTTCTATTTAGTTTCGTAAGGTCAAAAAGCTGATTTCAATGTAATGTGTTGAATATTTAATAAATCATTTGTATTTATAATTAAATTATCTTTAAACGATTAAAGATTTCTTTGAATCCATAAGTTATCGATTGAGAAAGTTTCTTAGCTTTGGTCTTATGCCAAGTTTACTTTGGCATCTCGCCAAATTGTCTTCCGCATTTGTGGCTCGATCTTTTGCAATTTCAAGCTCTTGCTCAAGATTACGAATTGTTATCGATGACTTTTTGGATAATTTTTCCTGAAATATTAAATAGTTTTAGTTGGAAATAATTAAAAGAATTAAATTTTTTTCTTACATGTTCTTCGAGATCTCGTTCACACTTCTGAAGACTAAGCTTTGTCTTTTTAAGCTCATCTTCGAGAGCTTTTGCATATTCTTGTGAATTTTGACATTCATTGACGGTGTTTCTTAATGTATGTTCAAGTTTTCTTAAAATTTCTAATGTCTCGAAGTTGTTAATTCTTTCTGCTTCAAATCCACGATTTAAATAGTGAATGGCATCTCTGAAATTGCTTGTCGCTCGTCTCAACTTTTGCCCATATTCAACTTTTGTTTTGTCGAGAATCAAGCAAAGCTTTCTCACTTCCGACAGAAGAGATTTTCTAATATCTTCAACAATCACAACACGATCTAATTTCTCTTGAATTTTCTCGTCAGATTCCTTCAGTTCAACTTGATTTTTCACATCTGTTTCATTTAATTTGCTGTAATATGTCAATAAATGTTTGTAATCTCTGACCAAAAGATTAAGCTCAGTTTCAATTTTAGGTAAAGATTCTTTCAAATAAATGTTATCAACTTCCGACTCAATTTGATTTAATTCTTTCTCAAATTCCGTGTCAAAACCGACACTTTCATCGGGTTCAAATTCACGTCTCGATCGCACTGTTGGTTTGAAGTTCCTTAAAACTGATGCAATTTGAACTGAAATATTATTGACTTGCTCTTCAGATGTAACTTTTTCTATAACTTTTAAGGTTTGAAGTGGAATATCATCCATTTTTGATGAAAGCTCAAGTTGAACTGACAAATTATTCATTGAATTTGGATTGAAATCAAGAAAAAAGCTTTTTTCAAATGAAATGTTTTCAAGGTCGATCCCCATTTAGATTGAACTGAAAAATAACAACAACATTCAATTGGGATTTTTGAAGAAACTTTTATAAATGTTTTTTAGTTTTTAATTTACAATAATGTTTTTCTTTCGTTTGATAAAAACGAAATCAACTCGAAACAGCAAAAAAAAAAATCAACAAAATAAAGGAGATGTTGGGACGATAACAAGCTTTAAAGGCACACGTAGTTAATCTCTAAATTCTCATCGGACTTTCCCTTAAATCTATTTATTCTTCTTTTAAAGATGATTGAAAAAATTTTCTTCTTGTTTTTTAATGTTTGTTTGTTTTCAATAAAAAAGAATACAAATTAAATATTAAAAAATTCAATTTAATTTAGTCGGATAGCTTTTAATGTTGTTTTCTTTTTTTTTCCAAAGCTTGCAAAATCTTTTATTTATTACAAAATAATTTTCTATTTGCTTCGATGTGTGTTTAAATAATTCCATTGATCAAAAATATATGAACTTTTGTCCTCCAGCGTCATTTCTCTTTCTCTTGCTTCTTTATTTGTTTTTCTCTCTTTGTTTGATGGATGTGATGTTGGCTGACGATTGAAAGAAGTACTTTGACATGCATGCAATAAAAAATATTTAATTTCTTTCAACAGATGATCGGCGAATGACAGTTTCTGAGACTAAGTAGCCTTGACCTCCGGGAACTGTTGATGTTGTGACAAATGTGCGGTGCTTAGCGCGAACCATGTTCAAGTTGCTTTCGGCAACCTCAGCACGTTCTTCGGCGGCTTCCAATTCACGTTGGACGCGCTTAACACGTGTGCTGTTTTGAGCTGTGAAGCCCTCCTGAAATTTACGTTAAAATAAATTGAAACTGATCTAAAGTCATCATAAAATTTCTTACATATTCGCTTAATTGACGCTTATATTGTGCAAGTCTGGCATTTGCTTTGTCCAATTGTTCTTGGAACAACAAAACATTCTTTTGATCTTCTTCGCATTGGATGACAATTTCTTTAACTGTGCGTTCCTTCTTTCTCAAGATCTTGATGGTTTCAGCATGATTTCTCTTCTCTGAATCCAATTCAAGTTCCATGTCACGAACGCGAGCTTCCAATTTGGAAATGGCACGCTTAGCACCAACAACGGCGTTAGCTTCAACTTCTTCAAGGCGGACAGAAAGATTCTATAAAAAGAATTTTTTATTAAAGTGAATGTCATGATGAATTGAGAGTTTAACCTTGATTTCGACTTCCAAAGACTTCTTGATGGCTTCAATCTTAACAATGCGTTCTTGTTCTTCATGAAGAATTTCAACAGTGCTCTTAAGCTCCACCTTTAAATGAAAATTTAATTCAATTAATTTTCTTTTCAATTTCATTCGTCAGAAGATTCACAAACCTGTACTTTCTGGTAGCGCTCATCACTCATGCGTAATTCTCTGGTGACTTCTTCGTAGTCAGAGGCCAAAGCTGAAAGTTCACCTTCAAGTTTAGCGCGAGTATTTTGCAAGCTGATGTTGATGGTGTTCAATTCACTGTTACGTGATTGAGATTCTTCGAATTGCAATTCAGCGTTACGTTTTGAACGAAGGGCTTGTTCGTAATTGCCACGCATTTCTTCCAATTCACCTGACAAAGCTTGAACGCGACGTTGAGCGATGTTGTATTGGTCCATTGTTGTTTGCAATTGACGTTGAAGTTCTTCATAATGAGCAGTGATTTCTGTCAATTGGAGTGACTGCTTCTTAATGGTCTTCTGTAAGTCAATGTTGGTCTTGTTGGCAACATCCAAAGACATTTCCATTTCAGTGATTTGAATCTGGAACTTCTTCTTGATGCGTTGAATTTCGGTCTTCAACCTAGTTTCAGCTTCCATGACACGTGCATTGAGTTGTTCAATTTCAATGCTTGTCTGCTTACTGTAATAAATAAAATAATGACAAATGAGCGACATAAAACATTTATTAAATTAGGAAAACCCGAGGAAAAAGAAATTTCTTAATTAATTTTTTATTTCAATACAAAAAGAAAATCTTTGGGAAGTTCTAACAATCATCATCGCAATTTTCGGATTTTTCCTCTTCTTCATAAGCTTTCGAAAGCATCTGAATACGTTTATGAATTTTCTCAATTGAATCGCAATAACTTTTGACATCTGCAATGGCATCTTCACGTCTTTTAGTAATTTTGTGTTCACAACTTCTGTGGATGTCAGTGATGACTGAAGCTGGTTTCACTTCGTCTATCGACTCATTTTCATCTTCATATACTGGTCGAGATTTCTTTAAATTCTTCTCGTAAAGTTTATTAACTTTTTCAATAGTTTCGTCAACTGTTCGACCATGAACAACATTTTTGTATTTCGGGAAAAGCATTTCATGTCGATTGTAGTCGTAATCTCTTGCTTTCTTAAACAAATCTTTAGCTTTTTCATAAGTATCGTGAAGCATTTCAATTTCACGTTCTTGATTTTTACGCTCCACAAACTCACTCGGAGTTTCTCGGAGCTTCCATTGTCTTGTTGGTTCTGGTTTAATTTTTCGTGTCTTTGGAAGAACAATTTTCTTTGATCGTTCAATAATCTCCAAGCCTGGATCTCTCATTCGAGGATAGTAAGCAATCGCATATCCATAACGATCATTGTAAATAACTTTCGAGATTTCTTTTCTATTCTCAGACATTGTTTCTTCCATTCAACTTTACAATTCAAAATCAATTCATCAACTGAAGTATCAATCCGTGATTAATAAATAAATTTAAAGGAAAAAGTTTTTCCTTCGATAAATTAATCATCAAATATTGTCTAATTCAACCTCCAAAGTTATTGACAGTTAAAATGAATGAATCCTAAAGAAAAACAGGAAACTTTCAAATTTGGCAAGAAACCAAACAAAGTTTTTAATTCGATTAAATTTTCTTTCAATGATTATAATGAGATAAGAAAACTTCTGCTGAATATTTTTCTTCTTTTATTTTCTCAAGCATTTTTCATCGAACTATTTGCTTAAGAATAAGTTTCTCTTAATCTTCGAATTTCATTTTTCATTCGTCTTAAAGTTCGTCCGTAAGTTACTTCAAACAAAAGTGCATCTGATGCTCGTTGACACATAACTTCTAAGTGTCGTCGTTTAAGTGCAGAATAGTTTTGCAAGCCACATCGTGGTGGATTTGGATGAAAACTTCTGTCAAAAGAACTTTCGTGAAGTTTCTTTTCACATCGATTTATAAGAGCTTTTGTCAATTCCTTCACGTCATCATCTTTCTTGTCAATATTTTCGTTTTCTATATGAACATTTTCTTCCTCTTTAACAGCATCCAATTCTGTTCCTTTTACATGAAACTTTTCAATTGCTTTTGGTGCTTTTGCAGCTCGTCTTAAAGCAGCCACTGCAAGTTTCTTTTGAGTTTTTCCTTGCTCTTCAAGATTTCTCTCATAAACATAATCAACATTCTGCATCACATCGTCAACTAAAATGTCACAAATCTCGTCTGATGATTTTCCACGAAGTTTACTCTTAACACGTGGAGAAATTGCTTCTCGTCTCTTCATGTCAAACTTCTCAGCTTTTTTATAACATTGACGGATGTTAGCACAAGCCTCTCTAATCTCATCCATTTTTCTCTCGATAATCTTTCTACGAATGAAATCTTGAGCTGCTTCGTAATCTCCTGGCCTTTTATACTCTCTTTTTACTTCAATTGATGCAACAGGTTTACCAGCTGGTTTCAAGCATGCGATAGATTTTCTCTGAATTGGAATTGTATAAGGCAAGTCAGACATTCTAAGTGGAGGGATTTTAGCATCCAAGTCGTAAATCGGATCGTAAAAAATTATGGCATAGCCACAACGGTCGTTGTAAATCACATTATTGACTTTACCGCGATTATGGGTTGTGTTTATCGACATTTCTTCAAGGCTCTCGTTCCTCGAATTATTTTCACTTCACTGAAGATTCTTCACACTGTTCGATAGATTTATAAACTGAAATGTCGTCAACATTCATTTATTTTATTGTTCCTTTTATTATTTTTAATATCCGGAAAAGTTCATTGCAGTGAAGTTTTCGAAAGTTTTCAGGAAAGGAAACGTCGTCAAAAATAGTTTCAATTGTAGTCATTAAACAAGCTCTAGATAATTGACCGACAGTTGTGACTAATCTTTCTTTTATTTTTAAACTTTCTCTCAAGCACAACACAAACTTGTAAAATAGTTTTTTGAGTTTTCAAAAGTCTAATGAATTTGTTCTTGAGGAAAACAGACGTTTATTGCTCAGACTGAGATAACTTCAAATTTATGAATAATTTTCTTTATTAGATGTTTGGGAAATTCTTCTTAAAGTGACTTTTAAATGGGGAAAATTTTATTAAACATTTCATTAAACATTTATCGCTTGTAACGTTCAAGTAAATTTTCTTGCTTTCTTAAATTGCTGTTAATCAAATGTAATCTGTACCTGGTGTCGTTGAGAAATTCCTCCGTTTTATTAGTGAAACTTGTAAGTTCCTTTTTAACATCATGTAAAGTATTGGACACATTTTTATTTGCACTTTGCACAAAGTCAACTTCTTCGAAGGTTTTTGGTCGTGTTTCACTTAAAGATCTCGCGTGACGTTTAGCACGAACCGTTTCATAACATTGACGAAATAAAAGTGCTTCTTCTTCTCTGTCATTTTCAATATTCTTTTTACTATCAGCAAGTAAAATTCGTTGAATTTGATTTGCTGATTTTCCTCTTATCGCTCGCTTTAATGAGATTGGAAAGTTTTCGCGTTCTTCTTCGATGAGAAGACGTTCACCTTCCTTATATCGATAATAAGCATCCATTTCCAAGTTTTTTATATCTTCAATTATCTTCCCCACGTCTTTTTTATAAATATGATCCAATGCACTTTGTTTCGGAAGATTTTTAATCAATTTTGTTGCATCAGCAGTTGGAATTGATAGAAAATAAGAATTTTTCACGTCAAAATTATTTATGTTTCGCAATGCTGCGTCTTGAGACTTTTTCGCGAGTCTGTCGCCGTTTTCTCGATTATATAACTTTATAGGATTTTTTGGATCGAACTCTTTAATGTAACGCTCATTTGTCCAAGGCAAATGCGGCAACTGTAAGTTTTCCCGTTCTTTTTTTGATGCCGAGTCTCGTTTATCCAAATAATCGATCATTGGTTGGTAGTAGTTCATGTTATATCCGTAAGTATAATCATAGATCTTTGAGTGGGGATGGCCAGGCTTGTATTCGATCTTCGCTCGATGCAAATCCGATGGAGTTATGTGAAGGTGCGCCATTGCTTTCTCCTTTTCTGTTCTCTCAAACTCTCACAATTCTTTTTCCCGATGTTTTATGATCACGAAAAAGTTTTCCCCTCGTTTTTCCTAATTTTAGCTTTCGATCTTTCGCTATGAATTAATTGACGTGAGAATCGGATTTCTTCAAGCAACAATTTTCAATTTGCTTCTTCCAATCGCAATGAAACGATTCATTCAATTAATTACTTTCAACAAATGAAAATCTCTTTTAACGAAAACTTTTAGGGGACTTTTGTGATGGATGGCCTTGAATGCGTTCAGGGCGATTGATGTCAATCAATTAAATTAATTACTTTAAGCTATGCAAGTGAGAAGTTCTTCATATCTCGTAGTCATTGACCACCTTCTAATTTTTCAATTTAAAGAATCTTTTCCAGAAGAAAAATCAATTCAAATTTTCAAAGTCTTAAACGTTTCCCTTCATTTAATTGATTTCTTCTTTTTTTTTCATTTCAAGATTCATCTGTGAACTTTGAAGGTTAATTAACAAGAAAAAGATTTATTCAAAGCTCTCGAAGTTAGAAAGAAGAGGAAAAGAGACGCTAAAAGTGATAAAAAGTTTATTTTAAGTACTCACCGGATAGCTTCGATTTCTTCTTCCTTGATGGCGATGCGACGTTCTGCTTCATGACGGAAAGCGCCGTATTCAGAAGACAAAGCTTGGGCGCGCTTTTCTTCAGCTTTGCGTCCCTAAAAAGTTTCCATTAATTAAAATGAAATAATTGAAAATGTTTTAAAAACTTACAGCTTCAGCTTCTTTGTAAGCGGCAGTGAGTTCTTCACGTTCGTTCTCAAGACGACGGATTTCAAGTTCATATTCATGAAGACGACGAGTCAATTCACTGATGACATTCTTTGATTCACGGAGGTCATCTGTCAATGATTTTTATTCATTTTAAGTTTTAAATAAGTATTTGAAGACATCAACTCACCTCCCAATTTCTTGTTTTCACGACCCAAAGCATCTTTTTGTTCACGAGTCTTGTCCAACTCTGCAGTTATACGTTGAACTTCAATTTGCTTATTTCTGAGATCACGTTGAGCGATCTCGTACATTTGGACGGTTTCATCCAAACGTGATTTCAATTCGAGGTTGGTTCTTTCGAGAATCTCAACACGCTTTTGAAGATCACGCACAAATCCATTGGCTTTCTCCAAGTCGATGATCAAAACTTCGATTTCAGTTGTCAACTTGGTCTTGAGTTTCTCCAAGCTGTTGATCTTTTGGACTAAAGATTCAATATGTTCTTCTTGTTCCTGGATACGGATGGTGAACTTGCGACGGAGTTCTTCAACTTCTTCAGCGCGTGCAACGCATTCAGTTTCGTATTTGTTCTTGAACAAGGCAACATTTCCATTGGCGTTGTTCAATTGACGTTCCAAATCCAAACGAGCTTCAGATTCTTCTTCCAATTGAAGACGGACAGATTCCAAATCTGTCTCGCATTGACGCAATGTTGCTTCCAATGTTGCACGACGACGTTCGTCTTCTTCCAAGCGACGACGGGCATCTTCCAACTGTGAAATGACTTGTGATCTTGAGTAGGAGATGCTTTCAATGTTGATCTTAAGATCTTGGACTTCTTTCACCAAGTCGAGATTTTCTTGGGACAAACGTTGTTTGATTGAAGTGATGTCCAAGATTGTGCGGTTCAATTCCTCGATTTTAATGTTGATCTCGGAAACTGTAATCTCGAGACGCTCAATTTGTTTAATGTGGATAATTTTCTCCTTGTTTGAGGATTCAACAGTGGCTAAGAGTTCGTAGATCTCAGCTTGGAACTTCGCTTTTTCTTTCTCAGCTCTAAAAGTAATTAAAAGAAGAATGTGTAAGATAAATAAAGAATCTGGAGTTGCAACCTTGCAAGAATTCGTAAAATATTCATGCAACAAGTTGTAAATAAGAAAACGTTACATCGCTTTTCTTGTCTTCTTCTTCACCTTCTGAAAAGAAATATCTCACATCCATTAAGTAATTTTAATGTAAGCAGAATGAGAAAAACACATAAGGCCGCGGCTCATATTTGGCCCGGAGCTGAGAGCAAAAAATGAAAATCTAAAAATAGTTTCGTAGTTCTTCTATACACAAAATGCCGTTCGAAATACTCAACATGAAACAAGTATTAGCAAAAAATCTATGAAAATTAGATTCGTGATGAAAATGAAATGTTACGAGATCAGTGCGTGGATGTTGCTTGGAATGATGATTTTGATGATTAATTAAAGTGTTTCGTGTTGTTATATCTGCGTTTATTGGATAAGAAAGTTAAAATTATCCGATAAGAAATTAATTTTCTAGAGAAATGTTCTTCAGACATGTTTGAAGGTTTTGTTATTGTCTATGATATCGAAATTCGATAATTCACGATCAAAAACATAAATTTAAGTATGCACTTGAAAATTTATGGATGGGAAAATATTTTTCTTACTAAATCAAAACATAATGGAGTGTTGATGTCAGATTTTATGTAGGTCAATCAAATGATTCAGCTTTCCAATCAACAACATTATTTAAGTATCACTTTCAATATCACCTTTCATCAAAATAACATTAATGAGAATCATAACAATTTGATGACCCAAATCTAGGTGTCAATGGTGAAGAAGGAAAAGCGTAATATTTCGAAAGAACATTTACCTATTTTTAGCTTTAGAGAGTGCTTCAATTTGTTCATTGAAGTCAACAACGATTTCTTGATGTTTCTTCTTCAGTAAGTGGGCTGTTTCTTCCGATTCCAAGTGGACGTCTTCAAGGAGCTTTCGCAATTTGCTTAACTCAACATCACGCTTGCGATTAACTTCAAACTACCGAAAAGAAAATTATGTTCACTTAAAATTTAGACTTCAAGAAAATATCTTTTGATGTTCATTACTTGACATTCAGCACCACCTTCGGCTTCTTCCAAACGCTCTGAGAGTGAAATGACTTGTACACTCAAGTCGGCCCTTTCGCGTTCAATCTAAGTAGATAAAAGTAATAAAAGAATATCATAAATTTTCAATTTTCAGTTCATTTATTGTCAAGTGTTTGAATGATGAGAAAAATTTTCCAATTTCATAAAATTACACATAATTTTAAGTGAAATAATTTTCATCAATCTTAAGTAGGTAGAAAAATATCTCATTTAAAATAAAAACAAATAACATTGACGGGGAAAAGTTCTGAATCATTTGTGGGATTATTATCGAAGATTCAGACTAAAGTCATCGATGAGACATTTTAAGAAAATGTTTCACACGTTAGCACTCGAGCTTGATTACTCATCAAACGAGTAGAGGAAAAAAGAGTTATGAATGTGAGGTAACATTCTATATTTAACATTTAATGAAATAAATTCCTTCGACTTTCCATCCGTGAGAGCAATGAATACTGTCTTAAGGTAATAATTACAAACACAATCATGCTTTGTGCACTCACACAGGTAAAGAGAATTTTCTCGAAAAAACTTTGCATAGAAAATTTCCACTTATTTTCACATATTAGAAGAAGCTGTGAATTATTTTTTTCACCTCTTGGTGTTATTAAAACAATTAAGAAGATAATATTAATCATTAACCGTAGATAATGATTTGGGCATTGAAGAAAAGCGACGAAAGCAAACAATGTTGAGAGACAAACATTAATCTTTAATTCGTCTACAAATCACTCATGAAAATATTTTTAATGCATACTGTAATGTTATGAAAAAGTATTCCACATTTTGTCTAAACGTTACAAGATTTTTCAGCCGACATTAATGTTGAAGTATCGCGTTTAAAAATACGAAACGCTATGCCGCCCACGCAAAACATTCCACACACTCGGGGAGAATAAATAGGATTTACCTAAAAATGATCATGGATGCATATATCGGGAAGCGTGAGTAGACGGATAACTCTTGTGAAAATTTGCTGGCGCTCAGGTAAAATAAAATGAAAATCATCCCACTCAACAAGCAGAAAGTTCTCACTTAATAAATTTCTTGCCTAACTTCATGGACTTGGAAGTAATTGAGTGACTAAGGATGATTGTGTAAAGTTTTTTGTTTTGTGACAAAATAAATAGTTTGTTACAGTGGCAAAAGTGCTTAAGCTAAAAATAAACTTTAAACAATCTAAAATAGGAAACATGTTTATGCGCAGAAATTCCCCAAATGCTCGAAGCAAACGTGAAAGAATCTTAGCCGTATCGATTTAAAGGATGTTGAACTTCAAGTGTGGGCATGAAGACTTTGATATCAATGATCATTTCATGAAGTTTATTTTTGATAAAATGTCAGGTTGTTAAGATATTTTTGAAATAATATAAGCCATCGACCTTTTCCGGCTTTCCACTACCCAATCAAATGGAGCGTTACAAATTTTTGCCTCAAAATTTTCACACAACAGAATATGAAGAAAAAAAATAATTTTCATAAAAAAGATATCTGGGAAGAAAGACAGTGCGAAAACAGTTTATTTATAGAGAGATCGTCTATTTTTTGTGCTTTCTGTGATGTTTCGCCCAGTAAGAATTTTGAGTTGCATGCGATCAGTTGTACTGAATGATCGGTTTTTCTTATGATTTCTTTAATAGAACTGTCGTAAAATTTCAAGAATATCGCCTCGCAAAAATATTTTTTCTCAGTAAGAATTCAACGTCGTCTACTGAATGATGTAATTTATGAATTGGATAATTTTTTTTTCTTTTCAAATTTATTTTTAACTTTTTTCGTTACTTACTCTTTGGCGGATTTCTCTTTCAGCCTCCAAATCATCCTGGAGGAGACGAATTTTATCCTAAAAAATTTTTAACTTTGTTATCTCTTTCATGAACAATTTCCTTTTATTTTTATTTATTTAATTAATTTTTTATTCTATTTTCACTATTGAAGCATTTTTCTCGTAATTTTCAATTTGATTTTTCTTTTTCAATTTCAATAATTTTTCCTGCCTTTTTTGCACACTTCACCAACTTTTAGATTTTCTCATAGTTTTCCATTTTTTTACTTCTTACACTTTTCTTTTATGAATTATGCAATTTTCACGAGATTTTTTATCATTTTCCACTACATATCGCTCTTACCTCCAATCGAGAAAGGGCACTTAAGTCAGCACTGTATTCAATGCTAACATCGGTGTTACCGCCAGCACCTCCTGAACGGTATGAATAGGTTTTGGTCGTTTTAACTGCTGAGGACATTTTGAGTTTAACTCTTTTCTTTTTTCTGAATCAAAAAAATTCACTAAAATTTCACTTTAAATCCTTTTTCCTTCGTTTATCCGAAAAACTTTTTTTTTCTTTTTCGATGCCAGAGGAAAAAAATTATTTCTCTGAACAGAACGTCGGGAACCAAGGCTGGTGATCTACTGAATCGTGTGACCTCAGTCGTTCGAATTCTAAAACCGAAATGTGACTGTAAATTTACTCGCAGCAGAAGAAAACCCCGTTTTCTCATGAAAATTTTCATATGAAAGCAAAAAGATTTTCACACGATCATGGAGCAACCAACACGAAGGAAAAACGATCGCGAAAAAGCCGCAAATTTCCAATGAGATTATTGTAGTGTTGGTTCATATCGGGAATTGAAGAAAAGCCTACATGTTGCTGGTGTACACACTTTTTGCCCTCACGCAGGTGGATTTAAAATTAGCGGAAAATATTCATAAGAAAATGTTTTACTCTCAAAATGTGATGAAAACTTATTAAAGAAAATCTCAACTCACACATTTGAGCATGTAATTTTGTTTACGAAAGTGATAAAAATAGATTTGAATTCTTTTCAACCAAATATCTGACTTTTAGATATCATGGAACGTGCATAATACTTAAATAATTAAACTTGCAATGGGAACACCAACATATTCGCAAAATAAATATTGCGGAAGAATGAATGAAAGTTTTTCCTTCATTTTCCTTATAAATAAAAATCGCAATGGCTGCTAATAAAAAGAAATGAAACATCTTTTTCATTTTAATTTAATTTTTGCAAAAATCATTAACAAATAATAAATAATGAATTGAGAATTCTTCTGTGAATAGGTAAATATTTCAGTCTGTATGACTCTATTAAAAAATGTCTGAAATGAAGCTGAATAGAAAATTATGCATAGTAGGAACTGAACGGCAAATTACTTTCAAAACAAAATCGGAAAAGTCTAAAAGCTTTTTTATCATAAATATTAAAAAAGTTTGTCATGTTTCCTTCGTGTCTTCTTTCACTTGTTGAAAGAAAGAAAATGATTGCACTTTTAAAAACTTTCTTCTTTTTTACTGTTAGATGCTAAAAAAACTGTTTTTCTTTATTCTCAGGGAAATGTAAAAATATAAGCAAATTGAGATCCTGATTCGTTTGATGTTTCTTTGAAAGTCAACGGAAAATTCAAAACATTTTGCAGTACTAGACTAGGTTGAAAGCTTTTTAAAAGCTTTTTCCTTAGTTTTTTGAAGTTTAACGATGATAATGTTAAAATATTCACAAAGTTAGGCAAACTTTTCCCTGAAGTAGCATAAACAATTTCTCTAAAAAGTTAAACTAAGTATAAATTAATTACTGGTAGTTTTAATCTTATAGATTATTATTTACAAAAGTTTTGCTAAATACAGAATTCCAACTTTACAACAGTAAAAACAAAAAGGTTTACTTCTCCACATTATTAACATTGTGGAGTTTTAAAATTTAATTTTCTTCAGATTTATTTTTAAATCATGTTTCGAGCTCATCACTCTCTTTTCTTTTCTTTTACATGATCAAGCTGAGCGTTGTTTCGGGAAGAAAATGTTCAAAGTTAGTTTCTCGAAATACTTTTTCGCGTGAAGTTGAATTAAAAGAAGCTGCGGAAAATCGGATTTTAAAGAAGAAGGAGTGAAGAAAAAAAATTGAAACTGCCGAAGAAAAGAAAATTTTGCAAAATTTGTTTAAAATTTATCATCATCGATGCAGATTAAAGGAACAACTGGAAAAGTAAATTATCAGAAATTTTTTTAACACATCAATAGCTTGAATAAACCAGATTGAAATAAACAAATGGAAAATTGGGTTAACCTGGGCCAACCCATTTCATTTGATCGTGAGGATTATGGTTACTGTTCACCAATGATACAGTTTTATTAGCCTAAAATAATCTTATGAGTATGAGCCAAGACAGTGTGAAAACGTCTGCAAAAACTTTTATAAATTGTTCTCATCTGTGAAAGCTTAATGTTGATTCACAAACGGTATCTTTCACTCGAAACAGGATGAGTCGAAAAATAAAATCATTTTAAAGATATCTTGAGAAAGTGATTAAGCGAAAAACGACTTCACTTATTTGCAATCATCAACCCTGTAAGTAAGAAACGCGTCGACTTTGATTGGGATGGGAACTCGGTGAAAAGAAAACCCGGAAAAGTCGAGGAAAAATATTGATATGAAGAGTTTTTAATGATGTCACTAAACTCAACGCTTAAAAATTTACAACCAACTAATTGAGATGAAAATCTTATAACGAGAGTTTTCATATCTTTTCTGTTCATACTCTCACTCTCCTAGACTTGACGTGAAAAAAAAAAGAAAATGAAAAATAAAAACACCGATGATCAATGGAGACGACTTTACATTATTTTTCTTTCGAATCTCATGCAATTTTTCGAGAAAAGGAGAATAATATACTTAAGGAAAGAAAACATCTTGAAACATGACGATTTAGTGAAGAATATGACTATTCAGTTGAGCGCCGATCTTTCACAACCGCGAACAAATTTAATCCGAGAAAATCGAAACCGAACGAAAATTAAATAGGAAAACTCTTATGTAGAAATTTCTCTGACATGAGACGAGCGAAAGTAAAAGAATTTCACTTTAGATTGTGTGTGGATAATTAGTTAGTAGCGTTATGTCTCTTGTATCACTGAAATCTGCTTTAACTATGAAAATTTGTTTCTGCTTGTGATATGGGAAAATAGAAAATCTTATATAAGAGAAAAATCTCATTTAGTGCGCCCGCCACCGTTTGTTTCAAACTCAAATGTGTAGATGGAGAAAAAAATGTTTGTAACGCCAACGCCTGATCACTTTATGGAAGATTTTGCAAGTGATGAAAGCGATAACATGAAAAGCGTTTAATAATTTTTATCAAAACATGAAGAGAAATGTGAATGAAAAAAACTACAAAACTCCAGTTTTGTTTTGACTATTTAATCAACGAGCGTTTCATTTTTCAACATCTGGGTTAATAAAAAGCATAAAAAGTTTAAATTCTAAACAAGTGATTTTATGACAAACAGAAAATCGTTTTCCTTCTTTCATAAAATAACTTCGCAAAAAAGTCTGAAGGAAAAGTTGTGAAAAATCTCGCGATTCATAACTTTTTTCTCTTTATACTTTGTGCGATGTTTCAGCAAATTCTGTTGAGTTTTTTGAATAACAAGAAAAGCAAAACGATATAATATTGCAAAGAATGAGAGAAGAATCTCATGTGTGATGCGATATTTTTAGATGCGGTCTTTGAAACAATTTACTTCGTCTTGAGATAGAAAAATACGCGTATTTTTTAGAGAAAAAGCATTCAATTTATTTCAATATTTGATTCGAGAGTTTTGACCGGAATATGATAATTACAAAACATATTTCAACATCTTACATTTTTAATTATCGTACTTAAATGCTTTGAAGAAATACTTTGGCGAATGTATAAATAGAAAATTTGCAGGAAGTGCTACCTAGGGTTGAAACGAAAATATTTAATTTACTTACAAGATCAATCCAATCTTTTATTATAACAATTAATGAATTGAATTGCAATGAAAAGACTGTAAACAGAGAGTGAAATAAAGTTTATGATTACTGACCAAACATCACAAAAAATTAATTATTAAAGATTATCGAAGAAGGAAAGTTACGAGCATCAACAAGTGATTCGATGAATATTTAGAGAATGTCTTCATATCGAAGTTATGTAAGTTGGAAGAGTAAACTATAAGTCTGTAACTTTTATGTTTGTTACAACATTTATTAACTATCTATCTACTCAGAAGATGAAGTTTTTCTATTTCCCGAAGATGATTTTATGTTTGTTTCATTCTCTTGTTCTATTTACTTACTCATGTGAAAATGAAGAGGAGAAAGAAAATTTTTCGTGAAAATAAGGAAAATAAAAACGAAATGAGCGAAAACATATAAAACTGCCTGATATTACTCACTCGAAAATTTGGGTCAGTTAAGTTTTGTGGGGGTTTTCCGCAAGCGACCGGAATTAAAAGAGATTTCGGTATTGAACGAAGAATAACTCGTTTGGAAAAGGAGAAGAAAACGATGGATATGATATCCATTTGATTATTAAGCCTCGTTTGTTTCAATGATTAATTGACGTTGATAAAAAAAGTAATTTTCATTTGTAATTATTATTCAGGAAGTAAAATTTCCTTTGCCACTTAAAAGTTCTGAAACTTCTCCAACTTTCTTATCTATCACAAAAATTTAAGCAAATATTTATGTACCTACTTAATTATTTATCGCTTATTCAGTGACGGTATTATTTTGTTATTTAAGACAACAATGAAATCGATAAATTTAATGATGTAAACAGAAATTTTCTTGAAAAGACGTCTCAAGGTGACGCTACAAATAGTCGATATATCATCACTAAGTAGAATGGTGTCAACGAGCACTTAGAATAGAATGCAGCATAACTGTTTTGCTCATCTTCCATGCATATGTAGGCATATGTATAAGAGAGAGATAAATGCGACTTCTATAAATAGCAATAGAGAGAAGAATCATTTAATGAATTAATGGTTAATGAACTTTTGGTTTGCGAGTTAGTGAAAGGCAAATAAAAATCGTAAAACTATTTTTAATTTTACCTACAAAGGTTATTTGTTAGGAGGGGAAAGTAAACATAAATTCTCACTTCTTTAAATAGATTCAATAGAACTTTCTTCTTACACTTCTGATGTATGCTATTAAAGATGGAAATTAGAAAAATTCCACACAAAACATAAATCGAAAATTGTCTATAGTTGGATTGGAAAAACGTTCCTTCGATAGATATTTTCAAATATAAATTGTGAAAAACTACTCGGGTCAGAAAGGAACAAGTGAAAGGACAACATGTAGAGATGATTTATTGGATGATATGTCACGATGATTACGAAAAAACGAACAAGGAAATTCCTTGCGTGCTTACAATGTGTGTCCATTGAATAACATTCTGAAAAATCTCAGAAGCGTACTATAAATATGTTGAGAAAATCTTGTAAATTTTTGCTTGTTTCTTGTTTTTGATTGTCTTAATTACAACATAATCTTTTCACAATCAAACGATAATGTTTTTGAATTTTTTTAGCGAACATGGAATTCTAGTCTCTCAAGTTATTCATCGCCAAGCAATTATCGAAGTCGAGTATGTATGATTGCAAAGTAGTTTAACTATGTAGTCGAAATAAATTAAAAAAATCTTTAAATTGGCATCATTGGTATCATATTCGAACAAAATATATTAAAAATGGTCATAAAATACGCAAATTCATTGATTTCAATTAAAATATTTAATGAGGCAAATTAAAATTAAATTAATTAAATTTTTTAGTACGGAACTGATGGGTCATCAACAAGCACATCATCAGCTTCAAAATTTAGCTCCATAACTCCATCAACATATCGACCATCATATTCATCAACATCTGGAACTTATAGAGCTTCTAGAGCGCCACCAGTTTCATCAACAACAACTTCAACGCCAAAGTCTTACACGCGAACCTACACGACACTCGGAAAAATTTCTGACGATGAAAAAGATAAACAGAAATCTTACACACGAACGTACTCAAATTTAGGAAGAAATGAAAATGATAATGAAAAGTCATCAAAACCTTACACGAGATCATACACGACATTGAGTGGAAGTAAAACGTCAGACGATAAAGATAAGAAAGAACCATCACCACCTAAACGAGTTTCATCAAGATATGTAACAAAAGATTTATCAGCTGAAACGAGAACGCGATTATCAAGCACTTATGGGAATTCTTCAGTTAAAAAGGATGAAAAAGGTCCACCAATAACATTCAACACTCGCTACAAAGTTGCATCATCAACACGGGGACGGTCAAGAGATCCAAGCCCAGCTACTGACAATAATAATCAACCACAAACAGCACTGCAAAGATTATCAGCAGCTAGAGATCGTTCACGTGATCCAAGTCCAGCTGTGAAAGGAGTCTCAACATATTCAAAACTCTCGACAGGTTCGAGATCGAGAGATCCAAGTCCAAGCAGTTTGTCAAAAAGTTATTCTGACAATCTTCAAAATAAAAATATTCTCAATCGAAGTTACTCAAACAGCACAGCAAATGGATCAAATGGATATAGCAACAGCAGTCTTCTTAATTCACAAAACAAAGTCGAAAGAAGTTACACATCATCTATAAGTACGTCAAGAAATGCATCGAGAGAACCAAGTCCATCACTTTCCACAATACGACCTTCAATCACATCAGCTTATCCACGTTCACGTGATCCAAGTCCAGTTGACAGCAAATATCTTTCACCTCAATATCGATTGTCAAATGGAAGAGAAAAATCACGAGATCCAAGCCCATCAATTACAACACTAACTGCAAAGCTTCGAGAGTCAAGTCCTTTGAGTGGAACATCAAGATATTCATCGTCGTCCATCAATCATTCATCAACATCACCACAAGCGCGACCAACTGACATTTCGATTTCTTATATGACTGCAAGTGAAGCAAGTTCAAGACCGTCAAGGGCGAGTTTCATTAATCGATATTCACCTCAAAAGGACAAATCGATGATTCCTTTGAAAATTGACAAGCCGACAACACCTGAAAATCTAAACAAAAAACAGCAGAAGAAGGAAAGCGAAAGTGAGTCAAGTTCATCCGAAGATAGCGACAGTGATGAGTCTGATGTGAAGTCAAAGAAATCAGAACCGAAAATAATGATTCAAGTGACGACAATCACTCGTGGAACATCCCCAACGCCAACGTCAACAGTCTCATCTGGCATTCGTTCTCGACGTGCTGAGGTTGCAAAAATGATTGAAAAGGTTCGTGAGAGGCCACTTCAAGGTCCACCAATGTGTGATAAAAGTACGCAATCAGATCGAATGGATGATTCAACGCGCTATTCACGCTTTGGATCGACTTCGTCTTTTGCTTCTTACAGTTCAAGTCCAACAAATTATTCATCTCGATATTCTTCAAATCTCGGAGTTTCGAATAAATACAGTCGAGAGACGAGTGAAAGCATTTCAGCAAACGAAACCGACAAAGAAGAATCCTGTGATATCAGTCGAGGTTCATCAGCTCATAAATCAGGCACAGAAAGTTCCGAAAGTAAAGAAAGAAGCTTACAATCGAAATCGAAAACTCCTGAAAGTGGCAAGATGAGTTGGCCTCAGTCACCGCCAGCAAGAACTGATTCATCCAAAAGTAATTCATCGAAAGTATCCAATAAAGACTTCAGAAAGTCTGCTTTGAATATGGGACCAACAGATCGCACCAGACGATCTAAATCATCGTCATCAGAGAATTCATCGTTGACAGTTGAAAAGACTCGAATGCAATTTCAACAACTTTTAAACAGTGAAATTCAAAAAGCGCCTTCAATCTCCAGATCATCAAGCACTGAATCAGATAGCAGCACAGAAAGTCTTGAAACGCAATCACAAATTGAAAGAAAGCCATCAGAAGCACAAAATCATCCAACGAAAGAAGAAATTATTTCACATAAAGTTGAAGAAGCGAAATCATTCTTATTGAAAACTTTAGGCAAGCCAGCGAACAGCCAATGGTTGAATGGCACGAGAACTGAAAGTCCATGTGCTACTGAAAGCAGTGAGAAAAGCAAAATGTTAGATTTAGATTTTAGTAATTTACAAAAATCCATATCTGGCGAGAAGCCATGGTGGATGGATGACAAGCAAGAGACTCATGATACTGAACAGAACACTGAACAACTGGATAATAACTTTTCCGAACTAACGATTAATGAAACAACAAGGGGTCAAAATGAACAAAATTCTACAAAGTATTTGTGGGCGAATGGGGAAACAAATAGTTTAACTGAAGGTTTTCAGAAGCTTAAGCGACCGAGTTCAGAGGAGAAGCCTTGGTGGTGTCAAAGCCCTGAAAATAAGCAAACATCTGATAACCATGCTACAGCAACAAATCTTGATAATGGCTTTAACAGCAATTGGGAACAAGAAACACAAGCTGACATTTCTGAACTTCAGCAAGATGATGAAATTCGTCAAATTAACCGAAACTTTTTAAGTCCCATGTCGAATGTTTATGGCATGAAGTCACTTGGCGATAGAGCAAGTCCTGAGGGACTTGAATCTCATCTCATGGATAGGAAATCATTGCATGATAGCATGAAAGGCACAAATTATCATGTAGAAAAGTTGACAGATTTTAATGCTCGTCCTCGACTTTTCATATCAAAGCATACAAACATTGACGATATTTTAGGTGAAACTTTCAGCTTGAGTTGTTGATGAAAGGTTTTCAAATATTTAATTCAATTTTATTACAGGTGGATCATCTGTATTCAGCTCGACTTCGTTAGATCTCGCATTAATTAGTCCCGAAGCTGTCAGAATTCATGGCACAAATTCACCACCAAAAATTATTCTGAAGCACAAAAATGATGAAAATGGAAATGAAAAATCTGTGAGAAAAAATGAGAGAAAATTTATTCCCCTTAATTGAATTAATTTTCATTCTTTATCAGGTTGAGTGTGCTTATGATGACAACTGTCATCGTAATGTTGAAGCAGAGAATGGAAAAGGTTCATATTCGAGGTAAATAAATCTTCCAACAAGATTTTTCTCATCTCAAATATTTTTATCATGCTTTGCATCACTTCCATTCCAGTTGCAAGACTTCTCCACTTTTACAATCACCTCTCGGTGTCAGAGTTCATGGAATCATTGGTGAGTCTAAAACTTTATTTGTAAATTTCTTTAAACATGACAAATGCTTCAATTTCTCTTAATAATCAGCAAGAATTCTCCAAAACATCAAAAGCAAATGATAAATGAAAGTTAAATTGAATTTTTGAGAATTTCTACAAGATAGAAAATGTTCCATGATATATTGCCTCAAAAGAATGTGAAAAGAAAATTTAAAAAGAAATCTCCCTTGTGAAATCAATGAACAAGACTCATAAGCACTCTTCATTTGTTATGTTTTCTTATTTTCCACTCCTCCCCCCCACAACAACAATATCAAGTGGCCCACACTACAAACTCATGCTTTCTGTTTGCAAACATAGAAAGTTCTTTCACAATTCAAATACTCAATGGAAAAGTTTTCTTTCAACTTCATTTCAGAGCTGCTTACATGTCGTAGCCTACGACTCTTGTTCCGAACTTTTTTCTCCCGTTCAAAAGACTAAATATTTTCATTTTCCAAACAACAAACTTTTCTTTTTCCATTTCAATATTTGATTGATGATCTTAGTTAATTTCTAACAAAGTGAATTGTGTAAGAGTTGCATAATTGATTAAGAAAAGCGAAGAATGAGAAATGGAAGAGAAGAGATTTGCTTCTTTGATTAATTACATTCAATTATGTCGAATGAGGACAAACGAGAAAAGCGCGTATGGTTGGCGATAACAAAAGTGTTTAAGAGTCTATTATCGTGCTAACCACGTCTCATCATAGAGACTGTTGAGATTTTCTTGTCTTCGAGAGATTTATGAGAGTTGAATTATAATTTTCTCCAACGCCTTGCATTATTTATGTGCGTTAATAAGGAAAAAACTTTATCTTCATTTTGTTTAGAAAAACTTTTGACATCAGAAGGAAAGGAACTGAGACGAGCTCTGTTCTCATTGAAGCAAATATTTCAAGAGGATCAAGATCTTGTTCATGGTTTTGTGGCTCTGGGTGGATTAAATTGTCTTGTGACAATCGGTAAAGGTGCTGATCAGAACTTTCAAAACTTCATTCTTCGTGCTCTTGGTCAGGTGGGTGTGGCAACATAAACAACATAAATAATTAAATAATTAATTAAATGACAATTTCAATTCCCTAAATTATTTTATCGCAGGTGATGTTATATGTTGATGGAATGAGTGGTGTAATGGAACACAGTCCAACTGTACAATGGTTATACATGCTAATTGAATCGAAATACCGACTCGTGGTTAAAACAGCATTGAAACTTTTACTCGTGTTTGTTGAATATTGCGAGGGAAATTGTTATCTTTTAGTAAATGCAATATCAAAGGTAGATAGTACGCGTGGAACTTTGCCATGGTCGAGCGTAATGAAGTAAGTTTTGTTCACTTTTTTTTAACAAACACAGTAACATTAAATTATCACTCGATTAAAACTTTCAACATGTGAATAAAGTTTCCTGGTTTGTTTGTTTTGTACATTCTTTTGTTTTCTTTTTTATGACTTTCCTTCAGGCTCCTAAAGGATTACGAAAATGCTGACACAGAGCTTTTAATTTATGCAACGTCATTAATAAACAAAACTTTATCTGGGTTGAATGATCAAGATAGTTTCTACAATGAAACTGACTTTCTTGAAGATCAAGGGATGGAGAATGTGATTAAACGATACACGTCACGAATTAGCACAGACCTTGATTTGCTCGATCAATTTCAATTTTATGAAGCAGCTTTAAGGTTTGAAGACGATGTCTCGGATGGAATCGTTCGACTGATGGATAATTCGATTAGAAGAACTTTAAAGAAGCGTTCGAGTAGTTTAACACCAAATAGGAAATCGAGACGTTATAATTCAACTATAAATATTCCACCACCCCCGCCACCGCCAGTGTCATTGTATCAAAATGTACCTCCACCAGTTCCTTCCCTTCCATTAAGTTACATGCTTCAACAACATCATCAAACGCCTGACAATGACAGTTCAAGTTCCGGTGGTGGTGATCTCAATGGGTTTGGCGACCTTAAAATCAGAGATGGGGGTGCTGGTGTCACTCCGGGATTGAGAAGACGAAGAGCCGAGAGACAGAAAACCTTCCATAAGGATTCTGAAACTGGCATGAATAGCCTGAAGCAACAAGATAGCGATGATGATTGTGGTAAGAGAAAAAAGCAGAACAGAACATTAAAACGCTTTTTTTATGTTCGCTTTCTCATTTCATTTCTCTGTCGAATTTGTTTCATGTTTTTATATTTTTTTTTCATCGTTTTATCTTCAACATAAATGTTCATTGTACAGAATTTTATTTTCCAAGTGAAATCCTTTTTTTCTCATTAGCCTTCACTAACATGTTATGTCGTTCTCTCACAATTGCTTTTATTTGAAGATTTTATAAGCAATAAATTTGATTCACGTTGTAATTTAGAATCATTAAATTATTAGAAATTATTTTATTAATCCCATCTTTATGTGAAATTGTGACAGATTTTAACTAATAAAAGTTGGAACTTATGTTTTCAGTGTGCTGAGAAAACTTTTAGATGAGTCACATGAGAATGAAATTGATTTAAAATTTCTCGTTTTAATTTAAGTGAATCTTTTACATTATTCAAATTAATCTAAAATTTATCCAAGCATCAAAGAAAAAGTTTGAAATTGAGCCAAATTAGAAGGGAATTTAATTTAAAATTCATACACTAACTTTTCCTTTCTTGTTTTTGTGGATTAGCGAAAACAGAAAAAAAAAGTTCATGAATTAATTTCTCTTTCAACTTCTATTTATAGACACTGATAACGAAGATAAGAAACTTCTTCTACAAATGAATCGAGAACAAACTGTTAAAGATTTAGCACAAAAGCTCAGCAATTTACCGCTTAGTCCACAAGAAGACAAATCAAATCGCATTGGTGACATGTCAGGATTGATATCAAAAGCAAAAGAAGAATTAGAAAAGAGTAGAAACCGACCTGATATCAAAACAAATGTTGAAAACGATCTCAAAAAACCAGAAGCAAAGAAATCTGAAATCGAATTGCATTGGGAGGAATTGGTGAAAAATATGGATCGAGATTTAACATTATGTGACTTGGATTTCACTGATCTTACGGAAGATGATGAGGTTAATATTTTGGCTGCACGAGGTGTTAATGGTTCAGCATCAATTCCACCCCCACCACCACCAAATCGTATACTTCAGAATCAAACTTCACCCTTGTCAAAATCAAATGAACATCAGAATGGCGATTCACTTAGCAATGATTTGAATGAACAAACCATAAAGAAAACTAAGAAGACGGTAATAAGCATAAATATTTCTTTACCATCATTTAAGACTTAAATTGTTGTTTCATCTCCAACATTCCGTAAACTTTTAAACTGTTAGGTGAAATTGTTTTGGAAAGAGGTTCGTGAAGACATGATACCGTCAACAATAGGACAAACAATTTGGGATGAACTTCCAAAAGCTAACGTTGACATAATGAAACTTGAACATTTATTTGAGTCCCGCGCCAAAGACTTGCTGACTAAGGTATGTGCGTGTGTGTATATGTGTGTTCATGTCTTATCACATCCTATCTTGCTTATTTGCACTGTGTCAAAAGGACCTAAATTTAAATACGTTGTGTGTTCTTCATTACTTGTGTGCATAATGAGTGTAACCCTTTTAATGTCTTGTTCAACTTTCCTAAGGAAAGCTGTTTTTGATTTCCCTCAAAATATCTTAGAAATGTTTAATCATAAATTTAGGGTGGTTTTCAGAAAAGTACACACAAGGGTTGCGAAAATTATTTTAAATGTGTTTTCTTCTTCCACTTTAAAAGCCTTTTTAGAGAAAATTTATTCCCATTAAACAGCCGTTAGGTAATGTTCGATGTTCCTTAATAAATTTTGTGTTTAATATTTGCCCGCATCGATGTTGATAGAAAATGTATGCACAAACCCAAAAATTTCTAAACATTTCTCTGTTTCTTTCATCTCACTCGTTCATCGTGGAAAATGTGTTTTCGGTTCTAATGAAAATCCGTTCATAACTCATCTTTTTTTGGAAAACTCAGGAGGTTCGTTGAAGCTTTAATGTCATTTTAATTATTTCATATTTTTCTTATTTCTTAAAAGGTTTTTGATACTCAAGATAATTAAATAAAATTTTTTATGTTTGCATCTTGAATGTCAATAGCCTGAAATTTTTTTCCTACAAATTTTAATCTCGTATAATCTTTAATCACACACAGAAACAACAAGAACTCAATAAAAATAAAGAAGTTATTGTTCTCGACCACAAACGTTCGAACGCCATAAATATCGCCATGACAAAACTTCCTCCGCCTCGTGCTATAAAAACCGCAATCTTGAAGATGGATTCAACAGTCGTGACAAGAGAAGGCATCGATAAAATTCTTTATATGCTTCCAACTGAAGAAGAGCGAGGAAAAATTCAAGAAGCTCAATTACTAAGCCCTGATTTGCCGCTTGGAAGTGCAGAACAATTTCTTCTGACGTTATCTTCAATCAGTGAACTTGCAGCACGACTAAAGCTTTGGGCTTTCAAACTTGACTTTGAAAATATTGAAAAGGAAATTGCTGAGCCATTAATGGATCTTAAAGTCGGAATCGATTTATTGAAATCAAATTTAACATTTAAGTGCATTCTTTCGCATTTGCTGACAGTTGGTTGCTTTCTCAATGGCCAAGTTGTGAAAGGTTTTCAAATCGAATATTTATCGAAAGTTCCTGAAGTCAAAGACACAGTTCAAAAGCATTCTTTGCTTCATCATTTATGCTGTATGGTGATAGAATCATCGCCAAGTACAACTGATTTGTATTCTGAAATCGGCCCAATAACAAGAGCATCAAAGGCGGACTTCAGTGAATTAGCACATAACATCAAATATTTAGAAACTGAATGCAAAACGTCTTGGGATCGTCTAAAGCTGATAAGCAGACATGAAACATCAACGCAACTCAAGCAGAAACTTATTGATTTTTTGGCTGATTGCGCTGAGAGAATCATAATACTTGATACTGTTCACCGTCGGGTCATAAATCGCTATCGAAAGTTTCTTCTCTGGCTTGGCGTTTCCCCCCATCGTATTGCGGAGTCACGACCGAACGAATTTTGTCGTATTTTATCTGAATTTGCATTAGAATATCGAACAACTCGTGAACGTGTTTATCAGCAAATTGAAAATAAAACAAATCTTCGTGATCGACATAAAATGCGTGGAAATGGAAAACTGGTTTTAAATGTCGTTAAAACGAAAAGTGGCATTCCTTGCAAAATATCTACGAAGGAAGAAGAGAAGGATGCAGAGTTAAGGTGAGTTAAAAATGCTTTAAATGCCATTCACAATTCATAGAATGTCGGAACATTTCGTTATTCAATCCGACATAATTAGATGTACAGAAACATGTGTAGGTTTTATAAACTATTTTCGACATAACATTGAATTATTCAATTTGTAGAGATGTCAAAGTTCAATGAATTTTAAAAATGTTTGTTTATTAAATTTCGTAAATATTCATAAATTAATTAAACTGAGATTTCAAAAGATTCGTTCTATAGAAAATAAATTGAAACTCATTGAAAGGAAAAGGTTCGCCATTCAACATCTCTATTCATAAACAAACATTGTACAATTTTTTTGTGCTAGAAAAACTTTACTAGGTCAATGTTACATTTCAATAGGCAAAAAAAAAAAACGAAGAGAATAACTGAAAAAACATTTATTTAAAGTTTGAAAAAGTTTTTTTCTTTCTTCTCCTGTCATGCTTTCAATTTTGTTTCCCAAATTAGGCAATTACTTGGAACTACACCCGATTGTGGTGGCGAAGTAAACGGAACACTCAATTTTAGAAGACGTCGTCAGGATAATCTTCGCTCACCGAGTATTTCCAATCGTGATGAGAATTTTCCGAATGGTAATGATGATGGTGAGATTATGGAGTCGATTGTTAAATCAGGTAGTGGAAACTTTCCTTACTTTTATTTCTTATCGATTGAATCAACAGAAAACTTTTCTTATTCTTTTCATTGTTCTTAGTTTCTAAAAACACCGCTCCGAGACAAGTTCAACGAGAGAGGAAACGATCAAGAAACGCTGATAGAAAAGCTTGTAAGTCACTCTCATTTGATTAATGATTCTTTGAAGAAACTTTTCAGCTTTTCTCTTCTTTTCAGTGGTCAAGCGATCTCGCACACGAGAAGGTTTCACACCACAAAGATCTCCATCTCCTGGTTGAAAATTGTTTGTCAACCAATTTAAGTTTCATCTAAAGATTGAAATTAAACTAATTAAAAGTTCTTCTTACAACTTACTTTTAAAGTTGAACATTTGTCTTAATATTTGTCAAAGAATATCATGAAACGACATGAATTTCAATCTCTCATTTAACATAAAAAATATTCCCTTAATTTTGGTATTTTTAATAATTTATGCTTTTGCATAAAACTTTCTTTCTTTCTCATTTTTAAAAATATATCTAATTATTCCATAACAAACTCTTCTGGCCAGTTGTCTATTTAAAAAAGGAATAAATTTAGAAATTATTTGAAATTTATTATCATTAAATTTGTTAACATCACAAATCATAAAACTGACCAATCAATGTTAAAAATCTGACATAAAATGGAAAAAATAAATAAAAATTTCTATGAAAATCTTTCCCAAAATTAGGATCTGAATACGGTTAAGAAAGTTTGTATTGTTTTTCGATTTAAAATAAATGTTTTCAAAAATAAATAAAAATCCTCGCACTACTTTGGCTTTGCTTGCAAAATCAGATTGAATTCCATTTCAGTGAAGTGCTTTGAAAGCTTGAAATACTTATTGGGGTTTAAAATTCCATTCCATCGCATTTCAACATTGAATCGAGACTTTTCAATTTCATCCCTCTTTGTTGTTGTATATTAGAAAGAAGAAAAGGAAATTTATGAAAGCTTTTGTTTAATGTTATGCTTTAAAAAGCAATGTTAATGTTTATTATGATGGAAAAGTGCTTCAAACATCTGCTGCTGTCTGAATTACATTTATTTTCGTTCTGATGCGGTATGATTAAGAGATGTTTCGTGCTCATTTGAGCAGAAAACAAGAGACGTCGAATCATGAGCTTGAGCTTTATTTATATAATTATGAAATATTTAATAAAGTCAACAGCGAAAAAAAAATTCCATCACGTAATAATCACACAACATTGCAAAACATTTGCTTTGCACTTAACACTGCACGCTTACATCAATTTCTAAATGACATCAAACATTATTTCGAGTTCAAATCAAACAAAATTTTAAACAGCGAACAATTTTAATTTTCCCAGACACTCAAATGGTGTGAATACGTTTTAAAATTATTTTATGCTCCAATAAATTTTAACATTTTTAATACCAACCAGGTCGCACTCGCATCGTTGATAAAATTGAAAACAATTCATTTTTGATTTGATATCAGATGTGACGTGTATTGTCTTGCTATAAAGTTTAAAGTTTTATTTGATATTAAAGTTCAGAAATCAGTGGCAAGTTCTATTTATTTAAAGTTTGAAATATCTTAATTGTGTTGTATTGCACCATGTTATACAAAAATTGAAGCTAATAATGTTCCTTTATGTGCATATCTTCTTAGAACCACAGCAAAATTTACTATCTTCATAAAAAAGAAACGAAGCATAAAAAATTCACGTGTTATGTTCAAAAAAGACATTGTTTCCAATGTGATGAACATGCAAGTTTATGCGAAAACTAACATAATTTTTTTTTGAAAGGGAGAAAAGAAAAAGAAAATCTCGCGAACATATTTTTGTGGAATTTTATTCCAAATGAGTAGCTATCATGATATCATGCATTGTTACACTTTCTCGCTTACGTTTTCATATGCTATGAGCAGCATAACGTATGTTTATTTTTTGATGTTGAAAAATCTTAAAGATTACAGTGACGTTATTAAGTATCTACACTCAATATTATAAAGTTTAGCAAATAAGAATGTTTGTTATTACGAGATTTGATTGTCATGTCTAGACATTTTAGTTGTTTTTATAAATTCTTTAAATGAAGCAATTTCAAACATTTTTATTTTTTGGTGTTGAAGATTTAGAAGATTAGACTAACGTCATTATTTAGATTAGAGATTATAAAGTTTAGCAAATATGTTCTCATGCGTAGATGTTTGAACTGTTTTTATAAATCGTTTAAGCAAAAACTGATCCATTCCTGAAATTATTATTCATTTCGTAAATGTCATTAAAGAATTTCCTTTTCTTTTTCCTCTCTCTACAACAGTAATTTTCACAACATAATATACGGACTGACATTACAAGGCATGAAAAGAGAAAAACAAAATGCCATAAAACCGACATCATTATAAATTCAAAAGCAAAGCGGCAGTAAAATTATTTTGCTGCAGTCATCAGGTGTTAACGGATGTATTTCGCGATAAAAGTTTACAATGAGAAAGTGAAAGGAAAATACTTCGATTTGAATTTAAGAACATAAAATTTGAGGACGGAAAAAATTTGAAAAATTTAAATTGAAAATTTAAAATTGTGAATTGTGAGATAAAAAAAATGGAAAAGCTTTTTGTTCTGAAAATGTGGTTGAAAGTGCTTGGAATAATCTGTTGGCTGAACTTAATTATGTTACCATGTGAAAGTGCTGGAATATCAGATATTTTCAGGAACATTGCTAATCCATTCAGTGTCAGCAGTAGTCCTAATGACAGAGCACGATGTGAGTCATTTATCAAATTTACAAGATAAAACTGACGTCATAATTAGCGCTTTCCTTTTCCATTAAAGGAAAAGGCCGATAAAAATTTATCATAGCATAAATTGAATGTGAGATGAAAGGAAAACAAAATTTGAATAGAAGGGAAAAAAATGATGAAGAGTCACTCAAGCATCCACTAACTGACAAATAAATTTCTTAGAAAATTAATCAATACTTCTAAATGGGAAAATAAATTTTCTTTCTCACGATAGGAATTTCCTTACGAAAACATTTGGTTAGTTTATTCATCTATGAGCATGAAAACTCGTAAAAGTTGAAGGAAGAGAAACGAAAATATATGTGAGATAAATCAATAAAATGTCTTTTTAACTTCACAATACATTTATATTTGTGGTTGGTTAGATAAAGCTGTTTAAGATCGATGACAATGTAAATAGAAAATAAATTTCATATGTAAGCTTTTGAATTATTCATTCTTAGTCATTTCTTTGATGTTAAAAGCTTATGAATCTAGTTCAGTTATTGTTGAAGCTTTTCCAAATGTATCTTAGAAAATATGCCTGCAAACATTTAAATACTTTTTGAAATGTGACTAAAAGTATTCAAAACATTTCTTCATTGAAAAGTTTCTGGAAGATTTATTCCGAAAATAAACAAACAAACAAAACTTAAACTATTCACATTCACGTCTCGTTGAGTATAATTTATTTATTACCTAAAATTATCAAAGAAGAATTTATATTAAGCAATTAGATATTTTGTGAAGCTTACATTAGATATTATGTGTAAAAAAATATTTACGTGACGATTCGCTACGACAACGATAAACAATCGCACGCTTTCTCAAATTCCGTGGAAAAAAATTATTTTTGTGTATTTTTATCTGATCTGATGCATGCATTAATGGAAGAGCTCATTAATTGATATTCGCTTCGTTTGTTTTATTTCAAAGGGCTTCCTTTAGTTACGTTTATTAAATGGGGGGCTGGAATATGTGTTGTGCCTTCGGGGGAGTCAGGAAGCTGCATTCCAGCATCAGAATGTCAAGTAAGAGGCGGGATAGCTGGCGGACAATGTGCAGGAGGTAATCACACCACAAAATTATATTAATTAAGAGTTTAATGCTTGATGGTAAAACTTTTATATTTGATAAATTTTGTCTACATAGGATATGGAATCTGCTGTGTGTTCATGGGTAAGAAATGTCGAGTGAAAGCATCGTCATCGCATTTATGATAGTGAACATGCAATTTATTCATGCATGAGATTGGCGTCTATGCTTTCGTTCTTGCATGACGATGTTGACTTTACAAATGCAAAAATCTTTTCAGCCAGCTGTGGTGGCATTGCACGAGAAAATGGAACATATTTTGTAAATCCAAATAGTCCCGACGTTACAGGTTTGAATGCTATTATGAATATCATTATATCTCATTTGAAAACTAATTTCCTTCCTTTCATTTTCAGATGGAACTGGAAGCTGTCAACTATCAATTTTGAAACTACATCCTGATATTTGTCAGCTCCGTTTGGATTTTGAGAATTTTGCAATAGCTGGTAAATTAGAAAATAAAAAAGCGAGGAGAAATTTCGATAACAATCGGTTGATGTAATTGAAAAATTCATTTATTTCTTAGGTCCGGATGTTTTAAATCATATTTGTAATACGGATCAATTTCTTGTGTCGGGTGGTTCAACAGTTCCGACGATATGTGGAACAAATCACGGTGATCACAGTTAGTATCTCGTAGGCTTAGTTGGCATATTTAATCCAGATTTATTGTATCGTTTGTGAATATTTTTCAGTGTACATCGATGCTGGACTGGGACAATCTAATCCTGTTATCTTGTACGTTATTTCTTATTGGAATGCAATGATTGCAAGTAATCCCTAACATTATCTTTATAGAACGGTTATAACATCCGGACCGACATTTCCTAGATCATGGCGAATAAGAATATCGCAAATTCATTGTGGAAGTCTGCACAAAGCAGATCAGGGATGCTTACAATACTTTACTGGCATCTCGGGACGAGTGAAAAGCTTTAACTACGATTCACTTTCGGGTCGACAACTTTCAAATCAAGATTACAGCATTTGCATTCGTACTGAGAGAAATTTCTGTTCTATTCAATATACCGCGTGTGGTGATGCAATAGATTCAGACCGAAAACGTTCATTCACACTTTCGGGTAACAGCAACTCAGTAGTTCCAGCGATGTTAGGTGGTGGAATACAAAGTCAATCAAACTCGTGTCCAAATGATTGGTTGATGGTTCCGTGTGCGAAAGTAGCTGGTAATTCTTTCTATTCCTTCTTTTGTTTCAATGAAGTGTGAATTGAAGATTTATGAACTACAGAAACATATTTATTTTCCTCTAGATCGCGTGCCACCAGCAATTCAATGCGAAGATAAAATATGCGGTGAGTTTTCCTTAACACGAATATTCAAAAGCTTTTGCAACAAGTTGTGGAAGGCACTTGAATTAATGTTTTCTGTTTTATTTCTTTCTTATAAAAAATGGATGAATAATTTTACAGGTGGAACTTTTAACGCTGAACCATCTACAACTGAACGAACAGTTTCGAGTAATATTCGACCATTTAGATTAGCCTTTCATACTGACTCTGTTGAAGCTCCCACTGATGTCGACAACAAAGGATTTTGTTTGGATTATGTTCAGCAGCCTTGTACAAATGCTTAAGCTTTATGTTCTACCTTTTTGTATTCTTTTCTACATAGATTTATCTGAAATGTTTCAAGCAACGAAGAACATTGATGACAAGAAAATAAATCGATTTTTATGGACAAAGAAAATGAATTTTATTTGAATCTTTTAAGGAAAACTCTTGACATGAGTACTTCTCATCTCATGTTAACATTTTAATGTTTTAAAACCATTTCGTTGTGCAAAGTATACGCATCATGGTTGAATTCTTTTATTTTATTTTATTTTGTTTAAAAACTTGTGAACTTATTACGTATTCATGTTTTATGCATAAAATTCAACGCCTTTTACATACAACCGTCATCATTACTACATTAAATACATAAACAAAAGATAATTATAATTTATATTAATTGATGTCATGAATCCGAAAAACAAAACCAAATCCAATGATGGAATTATGAAATCACTAAAAGCAATCGCAACTTTCTCGTTTGGTAAAATTACTCTTCGCTTTTCGTTACAGCTTAGTAATTAGTAATTAAATCAAATTATCTTTTATCAGCCATTTAATTGAGTTTCCTCTATCATAATTCTGTAATCAAAACTCAATTATAAACGCCATCAACAGCAGGCGATACTAAAACAATCCAACAGAAAAGAACTTCGATGTCAAAAGTCGAAACTTCAAAGTAAAAATAATGCTGCTTTTAACACATCACACGCTCTATTATTCTTTAATCTAAACTCTTTGGCTTTCAGCTTTGTCAGAGGGAGAAGAAAAAAAAACGTATTTGTGAGAAAATTGATATTTTCAACAAAACTCTTTACATAAGAAAAAAAACTTTTTCGATTCAGTGAGGAAAGGAACTTGAAGGTTTTTCGTTTCCTTCAAAGGTTCCGGTGGGGTTTACAAATGCTAATAAATTTCTTCCTTAAGAAAGGGAAAGGAAAAAAAGGCAAAGCATCAATGGAACTTTATCATGTCCTAAGATTTTATCTTAGAAACAAATTTCAAATGTAAATGTAAAGAGTTGAGAAAGTTTTTTATGCTTCTTTCTTTTGTTTTTCAAAGTTCAGCATTTTTTCTAGAATGAATGGACGAGAGTTCTGTTTTAATAAAGTTCACATAATGTTATCCAAATGATATCTTTAAAAGAGAAAGTTTTACATTCATGATGAATCTCGATTAGCTATGAATTTACGCTCGTTAACTTTCTAATCAAAATTCAATTGTCTTTTATGTTTTGAAATTTAAAGGCACAAAATACTTATAACAGACATTGATAAAGAGAAACAACGAAGGATACAAACTCTCATACATACATATTACAAAATCAACAAAACACAAATATTTGGTCATCGTTTCTTCTTATTCAAGACTATCTTGGTCGGTTTCTTCGATGAAATTTGCAAACTTTTCTCTCAACTTAATGTGGGTGCTTTCTACTTATGTTTACTTTCTCATGAAGAACGTCATCATGTCAATGGGCAAAGGGAAAATAATTGTTGAATTTTTCTCTGCTGAAATTGTGTTTAATGTCTGGAAATAAACGAAATAATTATAATTAATATTGTTAAGCTTTCCCATTAAGATCACCTGAAGATATCTCAGCTGAAGTGCTGCTGGCGAATCGCCAATAATTTCTGACGCTTCTCGTAACGCACGCGATGCCTTTTGTTCACCTTCCGATGCAATAATTTTCGCTCGTGCTTCTCGTGATGCTTCAGCCTACATAAACAAATCGGATCAAAATTCAATTATTGAATTCATAGAAAATCGATATGAAAATCTTTTACTTCTGCCGCCATGGCTCTCTGCAACTGAACCGGTAATCGGACATCTTTTCTGCAATAATAAAAAAGAAAGAAAGAAAAAGATGCGGAAAAGGAAAAACAAGATTTAATTAAACTCGTGCCATTAGCATAAATTTTGCTTTTTCCCATTTAAAATTCTGATTTGAATAAAGATTAATGAAAACAATTCGTAAAGAATTTCACTGTCTACTTAGCTACATTTTCCTTTCTAGATATTCTACTCACACTTCAACTCGTTCTACTTTGATACCCCAACTTTCGGTTGCTTCATCAAGAACAAGCTTTAAGAAGAAGAAAAGGAGAGAGAGAAGAATAACATTAGTTTTAGAATCACGGACGAATGAATGACGCTTTAAAAGCCACCTGCATACTCCCAGAAATGGTCATTCGTTCACTTAAGATCTCATGCAGCTGACGTGTACCCATTGTATTCCGAAGTGTTGTTTGAGCAAGCAATCGTGTTGAATGATGTGCATTCTCAACATTTGCAATGGATACAGTCGGATTTGATACACGGTAGTAAACAACAGCATCAACGCTTACTGTTACCGAGTCTTTTGTCAACACCTGAATATGAAAATTTAAGAAGGAAATTTAATTAGAATTTGGTTTAACACGTTTGACCAGACACAAGATTGCTTCAATTTATTAATTATTGATAAATCAATAAATAAACAGTGGCTTATGTTGTTGGAAGATACTTAATTCTTGCGGTGGTACATCATACGTGCGAGTTCGTAAGTCAACACGAGCATATGCGTCAATACAAGGCAAAGTGAAAAATATTCCTATGAAAATATTTCCATGTTAGTGTTATCTGAACTGATAAACATTGATAAAGTATTTATTATGTGTTTCACCTGGTCCCTTTGCACCACCCTGCATCAAACGTCCTAAGCGGAAAATAACAGCACGCTCGTATTCTTGAACGACCTGAAAATATGTGAAAATTTATTGCGTGAAATTTATTATTCGCGTGCTTTTTGCCAAGTTCTCAATAGCAGCATTAGCATCATAACGTGTTGAAATATCTATTGAAGCTAACTAGCAATTTTGAATGCAATGTAGACAATGACTTTGGAAATGAAAACTGGGAATGACGTTAGTGTTATGTGAAACTATGTATAATGAAAGTTCAAAGAGATGCCTGAACTCATCGATACAAATTTAAATGAACATCTAAATTTTAGTGTTATTTTTGTCATTCTATCCTATAATGTTACTTACCTTAAAGCAAACGAATAAACTGAATGGCATTGTAATAAATACAAGAATCCATGAGAGCAAAATCAAAACTTTTCCACATGTTGAAGCTTCTGTATTGTCCGCTTCATCCACTTCAAAAAACAAATTTTTAAAACTTTAATTTCAAGCTGTTTTGATAGTTTTAATTTGAAAGATGAAAAAGGAAAATGTTTCTTACAACCACATAACATTTAAAATGAATTGTTGAAGTTTTAAAGTGTGGAAAAATACGTGGAAAGAGATACCAATAATAGATAATGTGAATGTCTCGTTAACGTCACACATCGCAACAAAATAATTTCATCGTTTCTATGTTCTGTGTTTGGCATTTTATTTTTCAATGGAGTTGAAGCAATATATTTAATTTTTATTGTCATAGCAATCTATTTAGTAAATGTGAGAAGGAGGAAAAACAAACTAAGAGAGAAAACCAAACAAATATTCGGTTTACAAGCGCACATCCACATACAAGCGTTTTTAATTTAATTCAACTTCCATTAAAATATTTTATAGGGGAGAGGAAGTTATTTCTATGATATGAGACGGCCGATCGTTACACGATTTTTTTATTGATTTGTTAATACGAAGTTATGAGTCAGGTGTGTAACGTGCTTTTAAAAATGTCAGTCAGAGTTAAATGTCCCTTGAACCTTGATGAATGAAACATGATAAAAATGGATGAACGGGAGCGGGACATGAAAATTGGTTTTTTATTCTCTCGCTTTCTATTTGCTACTCTCCTTTGAACCCTCTAAAGATTTAATATAATAAAACATTGTATGGCTGCAAAGGCGTATCGCGACTGGATTTTAATTTTCGTTTTGGGAAGCACTACGAGCTGAATACAAAAGAATAATTTGGAATTCTGTAAGCTACAGCTCCGACAGCTATTAATATTGAAATCTACTGGAGCCCAACCAGTAATGATGGAAACAAATCTTCCATTTTTAATTGCCTTCATGTTTAACGGTCCGCATTAAATTCTTCTTCCTTCTCTTTCCATTTCCATTTGCTTCCTTTTAAAACTTGAAGAGTGGTGACTAAGACGAAGACAATGTTATTTTACGTCAAAGTTCATGTGAAAGGTTGTGAGTTGCTTAAGTGCCCATTAATCAATTGTAGCAATAAAATGAATTTGACACAAAAAAAGAAACTTTCAGCATTATTGCAAACTTATTCTAGAATTAATGAACTTCTTAACCGCTACGATGATTTATCGAGTTATCTTCTTCAGGAAACAACTTTGAATAAATAAACTAAAACTTCTATCAATCTAATTTTGTATAATTTAAACTGCTACTTTATCTTTCAATAAGAACTTTAAAACAAAAAATTTGATTATAGAAAATGCTTTTCATTCCACTTTGTCACAATCAATATAAATTCCAAATCAACAGTTTAGTAATAAGAAGTTTGCAAGAACTAATTAATTATCCGAATAATCAGCATTGTTTCTGATTTCTCCTTATTTAATCACTTAACTACCTTCAACCATTACTCGATTATCTTCAGACATCAAAATAGATTCCAATCTCAATATTCACTGACGACGAGAAAGCTCTTTGAATTGTAAAGCTTCAGATGGCACTGTCCATACTAGCAGTGAATAAGGAAGGCTATTTGACTTGAAATTCCCTCTTTCTCATTCATATGAAATATAAATATCGCACATACATATACATAAAACCGAACGATAAATGACAACGGCGTGATAGAAAAACTCTCAGCGTTGTACACACAACTCGAACAAAAGACAAAGGCTTACAGCACTTAATGGCATGCAGTGGAAAATGTGTTGGGATAATTATTTCTAACTCAAAATAAATATCTACTACGACATTAAAAAGTTGGTTTGAGTTGAAAAGAAAATACTGCAGAGCATAAAAACGAGAAAAAGCTCTCTTTTGCTCACAGTTGGAGCTTCCTTATTCTCAATTTCACGCTACCGACCGCGTTTATAAGGATAACAATGATGTGTCTGAACAGAAGAAGAAATATTCTTTTTGTTACAATGCGTAGCGAAAATTTCCGGCAGTTTCTTATTGAATTTGAACGAAGGAAAGAAAAACGAAATTCCTGAGTTTTCTTTCCTTTTGAAATGCCTGAAAGGATAAGAACGGAAATGACTTGCAAACTTTTCTGAAAGAATTTTAGGCTTTTCTTTGATTTCCTACTTAAAGAGGATATCAAATCTATTCTTATTCCATATTTTTCCAGAAGATAAACATTTACATTCCGAGTGAAATTAAGACAACCTTTCCATAAATCCTCAATTATTCATTATAAGAAATCAATAAATTCTTGATAAACCAAGCATGTCAAAACTACTTTCATTCCCTTCCCAATATTTTCATTGGTAAGGAAATTTTCCTGAGTTTTCCGACCTAAGATATTCAAAATTCTTGATACTTGCAATTTTCGAAAATGTTTTCATATTTTCGAACTTGATCACTTCAAACTTTTATAACAGTTTTTCGCTTTTCTTTCACCCTTTCATCACTCTGTAATTTTATCTGTTTAAAAGCGTTTTGCTGAACAAATGATTGCATAGATAATATCAAATTACACATTTATGACATCGAATCGATATCCATAATTTTTCTGTGAATATCAGTCAGTATCTTGTTACATTATAATTATTTCCGAAGGTGAAATTAAAATTTAATTGCTCCACAAAAGCTTTTTCTGACAACCAATAAACTGATGATGAATAATTATTGAAAATAATGAGACAAAAATAGAAATTTCGAAATGAGTACAGTTCAATTACCGTTGATAACGATGAAATATCTATCGACTCTTGTTTCAAAATTACCCAAACTTTGACATACGTGAATGTGAGTGATATTTTTGGAAACCACGTAGCTCTACATGTATCTTCCGAAAAACGTGTAAGAACAAACAACTAACGAATAAATTATTCGAGCACCCACAGCAAACAGGAATTTCCATTCACATACACGCAGCATAAAAGGAGTAACATTTCCGACAGCATCTATCACATGTGACATGTCCATGTTTACCAAGAGCTTTTGAACTGTTTAGCTCCATTCTTCTGTTGACTTTTATCATTTTTCCTCGAGGCTGACAGGGATCAAAATGATTTTTGTGTATGCATAAAAAACAAAAATCTGATGAAACGAAAAACATCACCAAGGTATTTTATAAAGGTAAACAAATATTAGGAAATATTCTCGTTTATCATTGCTTTTTATCATACATATCTCTTTCACATTGTAAAGAAATCACTTTTGAACTCTCAAGAGTAAAATACTTGAGTAATTCGATAAGGTTGTGAAATATGTATGAACATATTGACTGTCTAAAAGCATGTGTATACACTGTTAAGTACAACATTAAAGTAAAAGAAAAAGGATCTCATCTATGTTCTTGAAACAAGTGAAACAATCTTGCCAGAAATCCCATTGGCGCCATAAACAAAATGAGAAAATTCTGAAAATGAACTCTTCAAGAACTTTTTTCAAAATTTCTGACATTTCCATCCTTTTTCTAACCAGACACGATACGCAACAAGATGAATTGATGATGTTAGTGATGGTGTGTTGAGTTTTAAGAGAAAATGAGTTATGAATACGGCATGAGTCTATTGTTTAATCTGCACAATTTTCGAAATCATTTCCACACATTTAAACAATTATAAATTATTTCTTCACAATTTCTTTGGTTTGAGATAAAGAACTTTAAAGTTCATGTGGTTGATTAACGTGTACTAAGTATAACAATCCTAATTTTTTTTTCAGTTCTTAATTAAAACTTACTGATGCTAAAGTCTGAAGTTTCTGTTGATAGCTCATACATATTGATTTTTCGAGAAATGATCATTATCATTTAACTTTTTTATTATTTCACTTGAACTTTTAATCATCGAGGTCAAACTATTTATTTTAATTTTCAAGCTAGGACAAAATTAACTTTTGAATGAATAAATTATTAAACAACAAGTTACAAGCTCGTTAACTTCACTCTGTACAAATAGTATTGAATAATAAATATTGCTGATATTCAATACCCAAAAGGAGTTAGTAAAACACTGACAAGTTAAAATAATCTTGTTCTGAATCCATCCACAGCTTATGCAGAAATATCTATGATATTAGAGCCTAGAGATATTTTCCGACCTTACTCTTCATTGTGCAACTAGAAGCAATATTATGATATTATTCTCAGGAAACAGCTTCATTGCTGCAACCGACGCGCTTGCGTTTTCCCCACTATGTATGTTTAATACACTTCAGAAATCACATTAAAAAGTAGTGAATATACTGCATCGTTAAATAATTAATCATGACAAAACTTATCCTCGATCTTTCCTTTCTTCTTCATACTTCTTGATACAACATAAAAGCATAAAATATGTACGAATTTGAAAACTTTTTTTATTCTCTCAAAAATGCTTGACTTTAATTTGATCTTAAAGAAAAATTTTGATACCTACATAATCTGTTTCATGTCATTTGAGTGCATGACATGAGAACTAAGATCGTAAAAAAAGATATTTTGAGACATATTGAGGAAAAGTTTTTTCTGTTTCACCATTAACGAGAAAAGTCTTTGCAAGTACTTCAGTTTTTAATCTTATGGGAAGTTTCTTCTTGTTTCCTTTGATCAATGTTAGAAAGTTTTTGAAGACAAGACAAATTGTTATCGAATGAACTTCTTCTTTCTTAAGGCACTTAACTTTGTATCTTCATGCAGCATAGTTCTCCCCATTTGCTTTAAACAAAGCAAACATTTATCTCTACAACATGAATACATACATTTAATAGCTCTCCAATGCTTGCTTTTTCGTTAATGAACCATGATAAACGGCAACAAAGCGTATAAATCTTTTCCAATCTCTATATACGAATAGGAATAATAAACAAGTTTAAAAATTATGTTTATCCGCGTTGTCATGAAATAAATAAGCCGACAGACACAAATTGTTCTTGTTATGTCAGAAATGCATAAATGAAGCTTTACAGAAAAGCTTTTCAACCCATGAAGGAAAGGAACCTTCGAGAAAGGTCATTTTTGTTTTTATCGGATGCCTTTAATGGGACGTTTACAGTTCACGTTTGTTACAAACAAAAACGGCAAAAAAATTTCACTCAAATTGATAACAAACATTGTGAATGGTTCCCAGATTCAGGAAGCTTTTTATATTAAAAAGTACGATCGAATTAAGAAAAATCCTGGGTAAAACTTTATAAACATACATAAGCATTCTTATTAGATCTGTTTAAGCTCATAATATTTTGATAAAGCTTTGCTACCTTCCGAAAGGTTTTAACTAATTTTATCATTATTTTATTCCAAACAAATTGGGTTTTACAGGAAAAATAATTCAGCAATTCTGTTTGGTCATTTATAAACAACTTATGTGGTAAAGTAACATCACTCATACTTCAAAAAGTTGTGATTTTTAAAGCGTTTTAAATCAAAAAGTGTTTCATACCGTAAAAGGTTTATAAAGTTTTATAGACTAATAAGCATAAAAATCTTGATAGCTTTTGTTTTAATGAGATTTCACTGTAGATTGAAACTCACATTTCAACCTCCATCCAATAACTGTTCTGTCTTTCATCCGTAACTTTAAATCTTTTGGCATTTCTCCATATACAATCCAATTTTTATGCAATGAATGCTTAAAAAAAGCATAAAAAACTGTGCATAACAATTTTTTGTGACCGTTTTAACTTGTCTGAAAATAATTTCACACAGCCAAGAAGAATTAAGTCAGGAAAATGCGATAAATGGCTTTTACTTTCCCACAGCGAAATGAACTTTTCACTCCCCTAATGAACTAACGTTGAGAAGCTTTTGTAAAGCTTTTAGAGTGAAGTTTTCTGGAAACGATTAAATAAAGTAATTTAATAGCTGTGTTGTGAAACGAGCTTTAGAATGAGGTAGACAAACATCCCAGCTGCTTAAATGTTTTAACAATAATCGTCTTCACTCGATCATTAAGTAAATCGACTATGAATTGCACGAGATTTGATTGAATGTGCATAATAAATCATCTACTGTAATAAACTCAAAATTTTCTAAACATTTTAAGTCATTAATCATATATTCGTGACATAAATCTCTGAATTGGGCATTTCAGTTCAAAAGATTAATTCTCATGCATCGTTTCGTCTAAATTACGTTTTATGGTTTTTCTTTTCACCCTTCTGTGGTTCGTAGAGCATGCAAAATGAAAGAAAAAAACTCTCCAAAGTTTTGCATTTTAATTTTTCTTTTTTCTCTTTTTTTCATCGTCACACCGGAAATATTTGAAAAGTTAAATTTGCCAATTCAATCAGAAAATGATTCCATTGTACACAGAGAAATGTGCAATCTCTGGGTAAAAATAGGTCAATAGCATTCATTCTTTTTTTGTTCATCTCCACATTAAATAGATTAGTTGTGTGTGTTCACCTATTAAAGTTCTATGAATATAAAATACTTCAGCCTAGGTGCGAGTCAACTAACATTATTATTTTAACTACGAGGTCAGTTGAACTTTAACGCTTCTGTTAGCATTGAAAATAATTTTTTTTGTCCAACAAATAATTTGAAAAGTTTTGATAACTTTTCTCGTTCCTTCCACAGTGTATAAGCTTGCAAACATACCTACGGTAACAGAAATTCAATTTGCAAGCCACAGTTTTATTTTGGACATTTTTTCCTTGTTGCGGGTAGCGAATTTTCATTTAACAAAAGTTTACGTTGAAAGGAATTTTCTTCTACGTTTTCTTTTGTCTTTTTTGCTTTTGGCCAGGCGTCGCACAATTTTGTGGGTTTTCTGCAGTGAAAGCTTCAGAACAATTAAAGTGAAAGCTTTTTAAAACAGCAAATGGATGGCAAGGATGAAGAAAAGAAGTTTGGTATTTATTTCCCGATGCTATTTAAAGACTTCTCATTCGACTTAAGTGCGAACATAAAACCACAGAACGATATAATGAAAGGGTTTAAGATTTTCTGACAAACAATTAAAACTTTTTCTTTCTTTTTTGAAATCTTATTGCCATGGGAACAAGATTACAAGATTTTAACGACGTCAGACACGCTCTTTATGGCTGTGGATAGAAATACTTTAAATGTAGTCATTTCATACGGTCGACTACGTCTCAATTTGAAAATAATGTAATGAATGTTTCCGCCGTCTGCCTGCTTTAACTTTAATCTCTTGTTGATAGGAAAGAATGCAATAAAACAATTTGCTGCCTTAAAAAGACCCAAATTATAAATTATTCTCTGAGAAAAAAGCTCTCTGAGAAAAAGCTTTCGCATCGTTTTGCATTTAAACGGCAACCACTTTTCCAAACTTTCCTTCTTGGCAACAGACAGTGGATTTTATTTTTCTTATATTTGAGAATCAAGAGAGTAAACGCAAGCGCGTTGTCTGTAGTCAACACGACGAGGACGAAAAAAGAGACACAAATCGAACAAGAATTCTTCTAACAATGTTCAGAGTGTAATCAAACCAGCAACATTATAAAGTCGAAAGTATTTTTTTCATTCATTTCTGTTTAGTCAGAGGGAATCATTTCAGTTCGAAAAATGCTTCCTTTGCTTTTTTTGTTTTAACTGCGTGTATTTCATGACGTGAATGTGAAGTGATCTATTTGAATATAAGATTAAGATTGAAAACAGAAAAAAACAGTCAGCAAGAGTCAAGAAAATATTTGTTGTAAAAATAAACGTGACTGCAATACGATTAGAAAGTAAGAGAGGAAAAAGAAGAAAAGATACGACGATTGTATAATATTGTATCAAAGTGCTGTTTTTCCAAACTTCTCAATATGTCGAAATTTTAAAGCTGACATTCAAGAAACAATTTCGTGTTCTTTGTTCATCGAGTTTGTGAAAAAACTCAAAAGGAAGTTCATTGAACTTGACGGAGTCACAAAAGCTATCCTTGGCCAAACTATTGCAGCAAATAGCCTAAAACTTAAAAATAGAAAAGTTTCTTTTATATAAAAATTGCTGCGACGTCTGCTGCAAATCTTTTAAGTGTAAAATATGGAAATGGCTTCAAGATTTCAAGAACCACACTTGCCAATTAAATTAATGACAATATCGAATGCAGAAGACGGGCGCCGTAATTCAAATCGTCATCAGGTTCTATCGGCTGCAGGATCTCATTCAATGTATGGTGGGAGTAATGGTGAGTGACTTAATCGTATTTTATTATTTTATTAATCTTTATGCGACATGTCATCAGCAACACTGCACAATCAACATCTAATAATAAAAACATCTCGCCATTTCAATTTTATTTTATTGATACTTATAAATATGACGGCGCCACTTGAAAATTGCCGCAACATTCTTTTAACTCCCAAGCTGTTCTGTTAAGAAGGCAAAGAGCTGACGCAAACACTGGAAACTTATTTTTAATTTATAGGCTTTTTCATCACTGTAAATATGTCTTTGTTGTAGATAAAAAAAAAGTTGCGAAAATGCGAGAATAGGATATGACGTCACCATCGCTTTAAAGACAGAATTTAATAGCAGAACGAAAGAAAGAAAGCAGAACTTCAAACAACAAATGTCATTTAATTTTATGCTTAAAAGACGAGAAGGAAAAATGCCTTTTCCGACATAGCCTTTTAATAATTGCTCTCGTAGTTTTGCACACTTTTCCTTATCGTATGGAAATGTGCCAAGCTAATATTTAGTGCTTTTCTTTCCCTCAAGGGAAGAAAAAGATACTTTAAGGCTTCTTCCTACGCAAGTCATCAGTCTCCATTGTGAAAACATTTTTCAAAAGCATTTCCCATTCCTTTTCAGACACTTTATTTTGTTCTGTTCATTTATTGAATAATCAAAATCGATAAAAGCATGAAGCTGTAGTCAGCATTAATAGCCTTATTCTAGAGAAGTCTCAGAATTAATCATTTTTTTTTGTCTGTTTATAATTCATAAGCTACGATAGGGCAATTAAATCATGATTGAACGTTGTGATGATGCATATATCATCTGCTCTTTACACCTACACAAGAAATATTCTTGTTGATTGAATTTTCGCTTCTCAATGAAATATACTCGATAATGAGTGGAAAAGCTCAATGAAAAGAGAAAATGTACAACATAATTATCATTTAAAGTGTGTCACTGTTGTATATATGTACACCTTGTATTTATGGAGATTCATTACTTTAATGTATACATTATTTTCCTTCTCCTTCATTTAAGTAATGGAACGACAATATTCATTATGCTTTCTGCTAGATATTTAATGAATGACATCGTTTCTTTTAAAAGAAGAATTCCAAGAGACAGATTTCTTCTTTTTATTCATGTTATGTTTGAAGATGAATTTGATTGTTTCGTGCGAAACATTTCCATGTTTTATGAAAATAACACGGAAAAAAATGTTTTCTTTTGTTATTTGCTCGTATGTGATTTTAGTTTTATTTTTTGAAATTAATAGACGTGTGTAATGCAAGAAATAATAAAATACATTGCGTGGTGATGTTGCTATGATGAAATAGTTTACATAAAAAGGAAGTACGTGTTTAATAAAACTGCGGGTAGATAGTTAATAATTCAAACAATGGCGAAGGCAGCACGCGCAAAACTTCTTGAACTGTATTTATATTTTTCTTTTTTTTTCCCTGTTATGGCACCTGTTGAAGTTGCTTTACAAACTAATTTTCTTTGCAATCTTTAATAGCTTTTTGATTCTCCCCCCTTGACTGCGCTCAATGTTTTAATTCAAGCTCATTTATCATTTTTCTTTTCTCGCTTTTAAGACGTAATAAATTTGATTGCAAATGGCGATAGATTATTTTCATTACACTTTATTATGATTATGATTGTAACGAGTCAAGTATGAGTGAACTTTCTTCCAAGACTTTCAATCAACAACCAAAAGAATGGACTGCGTAATAAAAGATCTGTTGGAAAAAAAGCTGATGTTTGCAAAACACTTGAATGGTGTCACCAATAACTGATCGTAATCCCGAGATTTGCTTTCCATTACATAGAAAATTCTCTTTGAAATTGTGGAAATTAATTATCACAATTACTTCAATGCAGTTATTCAATGTAGTATTCCACAAAAGAAAATTTTTCATAAGAAAGAACATCGAAATGAGAAAGATTCATTCCTGTTTTGGAAGTTTTCGCGCAGCCTCTTTATTCTCTCATTTTTCCGTTTGACGTCTGCATGATTTTCCGAGCTATTTTCATTCTTCTCATTCTCATTGTGGAAATTGGTGGAAATGTTGATGGTGAGAGAGAGAAAATTTGTTTCATATGAGAGGAAAAAGAGAATTTGTTGAATGAAAATTTCGGCTCTATATTTTCAGTACACAATTTCCATTACTAAAGTAATGAAAAGCGATGAGGTTTCTTCCGAGTTGATTCCTCCGAGTTTTTTCACCCTGTCTAACATCCGCAGTTGTTTTTTAACACTCGAGGAGAACGGTTAGAAACAAAAGCATTCCACATTGTCAGTGATTAGAAAATTTCATTAGCTTTTGTGTGAAAATATTTTCTTTTAACACACCATAGAAATATTTTGCGCCAACACCAAAAAATATTTTCTTGGTGAATTTTTGTCTTAAAAAAATATATATTAAAATTAAGAAAGAAATTAAACAAAGAGGAGAGAAAAGGAAAAGTTCAAGGGTGATTTACTTCCAACCTCAGCAAAATTTTTATCATCTGGCGAAATCAGATACTAAAAGTGAATTACTTTGTTAAACAAAAAGAAGAATAATCTTTAACTTAAAACTTAAAAATCAGAAAGGAATAAGATGGGGACTGAAGGTAAAGTCACTTTTGAGAAAGGCATACAGCAATAAAAAAAGAACGAAAACATTTAATCACGATGAGCAGCAAAATATTTACGCGGCAGAAATTTGTAGATTTATTCTGAAATCATCTCGTTTATTCGCCGTAAACACATTAGGGACTCTTTCTTTTTTTTCCCTGTGAAACAAGTCGCCCTTCACAGCAATTAAATAAGGAAAAAATCCCTGGGAACGCGAGGTAGAGGCTTTCGTATAAAAAAATGAGGCAAAGAAAGAAATTAATAAATAACTGGAGCTTTGAAATTTATAACCAGAAGTTTATTTCATAAATAATGAGTATTCTTGTTTTTTCTTAATTTGATCAGAGTTTCTAATTTCCCTCTTGATTTGAAAACAAAGCGTGAAAAAAGAATATTCAAATCGAAATCGAAAGAAATATTGCGATAACTTCAAGTGGCCGTTTTATAATAGAATTTTTTTTTTTCGAGCCTCAGATCAAAGAATTTTCCTCTTAACGATTCTTTCATCTTAATATACTTCGGGGAACTTAACAAAATAGAAGAGAAAAAAGAAATATATGTTCTTTAATTAATAATAACGACACATTCGAAGGCCAAACTCGTTTCAAATCGTGCTAAAATTGGGGGTGGAATTTCTTATTTCATCCATGCTTCAAAAGCGAGAAACACAAAAATAAGCGAAGCAGATAACAGCAGTGACAAATGCTCCATTTGACACAATGCAGATGAGAAAATTTTCTTCTTTTACGATTACAATGGCAAAAGTTTTATTCATGTGTTAAAAGCTTTTTCGTGAAAATGTTTTGATTGAAAATTATTGTGTCGTAGGAAAGCTTGTCTCTGATAAGCTAGCGTAGTTGTCATGAAACATCGTAAATATTCTTCACTCGTGATGTTTTCTGAACAATGCGACTTTATTATAACACTCACAAGAGGCACAATGATAATGTTGCGGAAGCTTTGGAAGCTCAACGGAATACTTAATGCGTTCAAATTATGAATTACTCGCTTTCGAACGAGAGCATAGCTAACAGCATTTCTTATCATCATCGTTTAAACTTTCCGCAATGACAACGAGTCAAATTTGAATTTTCTCATTCCCTCAGTGATGGAATTTTGCATTTTTAATTATACTTTTGCATTCGTTGCTCGTATCCTGAGAGTTGTCATAAAATTTGTAATGAAACAATTTTAGAAGAGCGTGATGCTATTAAGTGTCAACAGGGTCAACGTTGAAATATTTTGGCGCGTTTGTAGATTCTTTTATGATATCATTTCTCTAGAGATTTAAATTATAAATAAGTAAATATCTCGCTAAGTGGATAAATTGTGAGAGAAATTTATGAAATTGCTGTAATCCAAGTGGTTATCAGGAAGGTTCCTGTACAAACATCTAGCAAAATTTATTTAATGTTATGATGACTCTAAAATTACTTACGCCTAAGCGAAGATTTTTTTTTCGCTTTTTACGTCACATATTTACGAGAATACAAAAAAAAGGAAGCAATGAAACATGAAAAAGGACAGCATTGGGAAATAATCTTTAAGAGAAATCCAATCGACAGTCAAGCGAAAATCTGTTGATTTAGCTGGAAACTTTCTGATTTGCTTTTTCCGTTTCCCATTTGAAGCTTTGAACTTCAAGTGGGAAAAGGAAAACCATAGGCAAAGCTAAACAACATTGCGGTTAAATCAAAAACTGTCAAATGTTTCCACAGACATAAATCAGGATATAGGAAAGTTGGTTTAAGAGTTGAATTTATAAATAAACATTCGGAATTGTTACATTGCCGTAGTAAAGCAAATGGTTGCACCATTCGCATGGAAACCACAATTTAAATCCCACAACCGAATATAGACTCAACTGTTTCATCTTTTATTTAAGCTGAGAGGCCACAAAATTTTTCAGTTCTTTCTTTAGTTCTTTCTTTATTTCTTTCTTTTTTCACTCGCGGCCTCACGCTGACGAATTTATGGCTCGTGAATATAAATTCGGTTAGAAAACTTCAGATGCTTATTTTATCTCATAAAAGAAAGTGTTCACACAACCTCAAATGACTTGTTTATATCTTTTAATGTAATCAAGACGTTATAGAAGTTTCTTTAGCACAAACCTGTCACACCAATGACATTACTGAATGTTTCGTATTCTATGAAAACCGTTTTAAACAGCCCTAGCTAGACATTTCCATATTTCAATCTTATCTGATCTCAATAAACATTACGAGAAGAAGAAAATCTACGCTAGAAAAATTGAATATCATCCGGCAATCAAATTCAATATCAATAATGCTCCCATCCCTAACCATCAAGAAAACTCAAATTTTTATTTTCACTTTGCCAATATAGTTTCCAATAATATTCCGCCTCGTTTATCTATTGACAGGAAGAAAGTAATAAATTTAAAATGATTCTAGATCGATCTCAATACCAAATTTAATAAATTCATCTTCAAAGCCATCGCTTACGTCTTCATTTCATCAGAAACTTCTTTTTTCCTTGTTTTCGTCGGAGCGGATGGTTCAAATGCAATTTAGATCTTGTTCGCGCTGATATGTAAAACTATTTCTTATTCCATGTGGAAATCTATTAGGATAACAAGATTCCCTTGTAATTGAGCATGAATGTATTATTCAGGGTTTAACGCTAACATCTCTTAGCTCTTGTTAATTATGCAATATTAATGCGAGTCGGCTGTAGCATATTAATAGCATAGTAAACGTCAAGATTTGGCTCACATCCGACACATTAAGCAAACAATAAGTTACGCATTAAAAAAAATTGCTTACGATATGTACATGCAAACTTTTTATAGATTTTTTGGCCGACGCTGAAATATTTTCAAGCAGACTCTTCAATTTCCAAGCAGTTTTCCATTTATTTCAATTCTTAAAGCTCGAATCGAAATCTCTCGAGGGTGAAGAACAATGACGTACATCATGTTATGTTATGACAAAAGCAAATTGTCGTCAGACTTAGAAAAAGTCGTATTCAAATATAATTAAATATAATTTGCTTCTTCTGTTTCATGAATGAACAGAAAGAGGAGAGAAGAAAAGAAAACTTGTCAAGTTTTGTGACATTTCACTTGCTTGTGTTTTTATTATATAAAATTCAACTTCTCCCTCAATGCAGAAAAGCTTTTACTTTTTAATCCTGTGAATCAAATTTGTTATGCTTTGTTTCTCAATTTTATTTTTGTTTTATACACAAGCGATTATAACAAAGAAACTTTTCTTTACCATTCATCGTAAAATTCATGATTGTAAGCAATGGAATTTACATAAAATAACCCGAAGAGACTTTCCATTATCTGGTTCAGCTCTTTATGAGAATTTTGAGTGAGTTTTCAGAAGGTGCAGGAAGGTTTAATTTAATCTGCTGCTTAACTGAGTGCACCGAATAAATTTTGTTAATTTTAAACAACAACTTGTGAGGAAATCAAAGCTTTTTGTAAACATTGAATGAACTTGTTGGCAACTGCTTTTCCATTCCTATTAAAATGGGACTGAAGAATTTCTATTTATATTTATATTTGACAAATTCAACACCAAATATATATTCAGATATGTTCTGCTTCTCAAGACTACTCATTGTTTGATAACTTTAAAAGTGGCATTTGTTTCAAAAAACATTTACATAAAAAATTAATCAAAAATATTTTCTACAAAACGTGTTCGTTGTTCTGTCGCAGAACAATGAATGAATGACATAAATTTATTGTGCAGAGAAGTGTTGTTCTCATCGAGCTTAACTCAATTAAAGCTTCATATGTGGTTAAAACTTTTTGTTTTTATACCCCAAAGCAACATTTTAAATAATGCAATGCGGGAGGGAAAATGAAAAGAATTTTAACTACCAAAACATGGCACATGAAAACATGGATGCGATCCAAGAAAAATCACTTTTCCTTCATGAAGCTTTTTAGCATTGCAGGGCCTCCATTTTAATATGAAAGAATAATGTAGTGCTCTAATGTTGATTTAGTGGTATTCTAATGCTCTTATAATGCCATGGAAAATAGATAAAGGCGAGTCTTTCGCACTCGCTCTTAATACTTTTATTACGAACTCAATGTCGTGTTGTTGTGTTTAGTTGTGAAAAGTTGAAAGGAAGCGCGGCTTAAGTGTCATCTTTATTACGATGAAAAATCAGAAATCAAAAAGTTTCATTCATAAAGCTGGGAAAATCCCTTTCTTCATGCTTCCTTGAGCTTCGTTTCAAGATATTTACCTAACAACAAAAGCCACAAAGAAAGAAAATTGAACAACAGGCACGATTATAATTTTCTTTGCTTGAAAATTAGCAAGAAGTAAGGAAGAGAAATTTCTCCCGCAAGGAAAATTCAATTTTGCTAAGAGCGGTACTGCATTTTGAATCAAACAGAAAATTTTCTTTCTGTTATCAATGCAAAAAGAACAAAAAGAAAAAGAAAATTATATCAAAGAAATTTACGAGAGGAATTGCGAAAGCACGCCGTGAGGAAACAACATAATCTCGATGATATAAATCACGACAAACGTAATTTGTCTTTAGCGACTAGCGAATCTCTGGTTGAATGAATAACTTAAATATAGAAGCAAATTTGGTGATATGCAATAAGGACAAATTAAAAGAACTTAATCTTAAATAGCTTGAAAAATGTTTGATATACATTAATGTTGGCGACATAGGCGGCATATTTGGGTCAAGAAATGGCAAACGAGATGATTTATATTAATTTTTCTTTCTTCCTCTTTTTCTATATCTCTTCTGTAAGTTTATTAAGGATGTATCGTTAGTTTAAGACTTTCTTGATAATTTATTAAGTCAATTTTGTGTTCTTTTTTTATGCAAGTAAGTGTAAGTGTGTTCGAACCTCGAATAGACAGAATAAAAACAGTTAAAGACAGAAATCGCAGTTGTTCAACAATAAACATAATTTAATAAATATTCAAACAAGAAAAAACTTCACTTCTTCTAAATTGTTAAAAGAAATATAAAGTTTTGAATTCTTTTTCTCATGAATTCCGAATTTCTTTAAAAATTTTCCGCGAACCAAATTAACGAATTAGGCCCAATGAACAAAGCCACGTTTCTTGTCTTCCAACAAGGTAATTTTTTTCATCCCAATAACTTTTTTCATTATATCAAGTACTTTCGACTTTTCAATTCCTTTTCTGCTGAGAGAACTTATCCGGTTTTTGTTTAACTCTGAGCACAAAGCTTCTGTAACTTTTTTCTTTTTTTTGCCAAATTTCTCATAGTGCACATGTTCAGAATTAAACCACGCCGCATAATTTCTCATAAATTTTCTTGCTTAATAAATTTTCAACTATGCGAAAAATGATTTTTTTTTAATTCCTTATCTCAATCAAAATTATGCGAAGCTCGCTGTTTTCACTCTCGCATGCATTCATAGTTTAGCTCTATATACAAATGTATCCTTAGGTCATAATTTATAGCCATTTATTGCTTAATTTTACGATCGCAATTTTCCCTTCTCTTTTTTGTGTGTGTAATCTCACAGCTTGCATGAACATAAATCTAGCATAATTATGTTGCGAAACAATTTTTAAAATAATAAAAAAATATGAAAATAACTTTTTTTGTTTAGGAGTGATGAAAGTTTGTCAAATTGTAGAGGAACGTCTATTGTAGAAGTCGTGACAAAATGTTAACACCTTTCCTGTAGTGATCTTGAAATTTTGTTGGTTTATTCATGATTTCCAACGATTATTAATGAATTTAGATGTTTGAGTTGACGCACGTTTCTTGTTAATTTCTTTTTTTTTGGAGCTAAACTAACAATGTTAAATGTAAATTTTTTCCACTGTAAAAATTCTGAAGGGCGTGTTCATCGGAAGACTGATTTTCCGCTAAAAATTCATGAATGCCGTTGAACGCTCCCTACACTAACGTTGAAATTTCCCTTATCAGATAATGTTATGGCAATGTCCGGTTGGTTTGTTGGTGGCTTCATTTTCTGCACACATTTATTTTCTCACAAAACTATTCATGATGCAAAAACATCAAATCAGTTTTTGACAGCAGGAATGATTAATGTTCTCTATTTTCATAACTTCATTTAAGTATTAACACTGTTAACCCTGTTTTGTATTTAGAAGGAAATGGAAAACTTGAATCTTTCATTTATTTTTACAGCTGAAGACAATGAAGACAGCGCAGAGGCATCAACATGTGGCAAAATCCTCATTTTTCTTTCTTGGGTTCTCGTTTTTCTAACAATGCCAATTAGTATGTTGGTTTGCTTTAAGGTCAGTCAATTTTCCAACAATTCTGATTTTGTTTTGTCTTGCCTTTACTTTCCTTCTTGTCTTGCTCAAAACTTGGCAACTGCTCTGTATAAACATAAAGTTGAGTTTGTTTTGACAAGGATGACGGATGATTTACAAACAAATCACAAAAAAAAGAATAGAAAGAAACGTTTTTAATTTCCATTGTTTGTGAAAACTGAGAAATTGATTCTATGAACGTGATTTTGAGGAAAAAGAGATTAAATGATTTCATCTCACAATTTCAGGTAGTACAAGAGTACGAGCGTGCTGTAATCTTTCGTCTAGGACGTTTAATGCAAGGTGGTGCGAAAGGACCAGGTAAAAGGCGGCGATAACATTCAATGATGACGATTAATATCAATTCAAGGTTCAATCATAAACAGATTAACAATTCGCTCTTCTTCTTTGTTTTATTTCTATAGGAATTTTCTTCATCCTGCCATGCATCGACTCATATGCGAGAGTTGATTTACGTACTCGAACATACGATGTTCCACCCCAAGAATTAAGTATCAAATCCAATATAAGTTTAGCTCTATATGAAATATCCAAACCGAAGAAATTTAACCATAAATAATATTAATAATAATCCTTTGAATTGCAGTTCTTTGCAATATTTCACCGACTACTGCAGAGAAAATTTTCAAACTTTATTCATGATGTGAAAAGATTTTCCGAATCAAGAAGTGGATTTTCTCCTTCTTTCTTTATTTAAAGCAATTATGAAACTTTTCCAAGCAAACACAACACAAAAAATTTCTTTTTTAATAAACAATTACAGCTCTAAGAATCAAAACATATTACTATAAGTTTTAGGCAAAAAGGGCTTCCCCTTGCGAAATTTTCAGGAGAATTTCTTCGATTCTCGAGTAAAATTTCCGCTCTAATTAATTTCAATGGTCTATTCGCATCCCTCCAGGTTCTGACAAAAGACAGCGTTACAGTAAGCGTAGATGCTGTCGTGTACTATCGTGTTAATAATGCCACAATATCAATTGCGAATGTTGAGAATGCACATCATTCGACCCGATTGTTGGCTCAGACGACTCTCCGTAACACGATGGGCACACGGCATTTGCATGAGATTCTCAGCGAACGCATGACAATCTCTGGAAGTATGCAGGTGAGTGGACCATTGTGAATTAATTAAGGTGATTATTCAGCTCATGTGTATAATCAGGGGATGCTTTATAGTACGATGGATGATGCACCTTAGCGCAGTAGCAATGATAGAAAAATGAAAAATGATTTTTCTTCATTGCTTCCAACGAAAAAAATGACACAAAAAAAATTAAACTTCCTAACTTTCTTTTCACTTCATCTACTTGTTATTCCTTGCCTCTCATTTTCTTTTTGATTTCTAATTTCCTAATTGCCATTGACAAATTCATGATTTGACATTTTTCATTTCTCCATTTTTTCTTCTTCTTCATCATAACTTTCTAATTTAAGTGTAGACAATGAGAAATAATCATTCACTATGAAAATGAAAATCGATAATGTTAAAATTTTAAACACTTATACAGGCTTTGAAGCTTTTATAATTACCATAATTAGAAGGATAGAATTCTCATGAATTTTAAATTAGATTTATAATAATATGACAAAGTGAATGAGGGGAGAAAATTTTAAAAATTTTCCCTCAACGAGTTTCAAGTTTTTGTCATACAATATTTATTTGCATTAAAGTAAATTGATGTCAAGAGTTTTTTAGAAGTTTCCAATTCCACATCGATTGATATTGAAACGTATGTAGATGTTTACAATTCAAAATTCAAAGAATTTGAATAATTGTAAATTTGATACGTGACAGCTGTCTCACCATATGTCGTCAACTTCAAATTCGTCTTTCAACTGACATCTATCACTTCAGCGGCGCTAAAATATATATTAAGATATAAAACATAAGCATGAAACTTCACGTTTTACTTCGCTTTTCTACACTGAGGATTACAGAGTGAAGACATTTAAAATAAATCTGTTTCTTCACGTAAGCTTTTCTGTTGCCATGCAATCATAAAATTGAGCGCTGACTGCTGAGTGATTGTTTTAAAATTAAATTTCTTCTTGAACGTGATTCTTTTCCAAATCACTTTACAAAATATTTAATTGAATTAGTAAATCAATTAAGTAAATCAACAAGATATTTCTCATGTCCAAACTTTTTAAAACTCTTCGAAGCAAAATGCTTTGAACTTTTAACAGAGTTTTGTTTGATGAACTTGAAGGAAAGTTTGTTTGGGGAAAAGCAAAAAACGATTTTCATTTCCGCTTTCTGCTTTCATTTCCTTTAAAGTAATCATGTCAATTATCTCAGCATTTATTATTACTTTTATTATTTATTTCGCTCATTAACAGCAACATCTTCTTTTAACAAATCCTTCACATAAAACGAGATCCATGTAATCATCATCAGTCTGCAGCATACAAACACATTTGAATAATTGCTACGAAACAAAACAAAAATAAAAAAAAAGCACTCATGACATTAAAATTTTTAGCTCACATATTATAGCTCAATTTATTGGAAAGCCTTTAATCTTTGCAATAAAAAAAGAACATTTCAGTTCATGTCCATAAAAGCACGATTAAGTTTCCGACCATGACAGTAATAAAACATTTTTTCTTTCTTTTGTATCGGCGAAAAATATCTGAAGCTTTCACTAGACGAGGCAACAGACGCTTGGGGTATCAAAGTAGAAAGGGTGGAAATGTAAGTTTCTGGACTTCATGTGACGTAAATAAAACAATTTATTACCCGTGGAAAAGTGTTTCAAACGGAATCGATTTTATTGTTAAGGGACACAAGTCAAACGTGTAACTCCATTCAAGAATTTTAAAAGAAAGGAAAGAAAGCAAGAGAATCTCGATTTTCATGCTCGAAAGCATTTCTTCATTACTTCTTACTAAAGTTGATAATATCTTTCCTATGTTCATTCTTGGTTGAGGTAAAGAAGACGGAAGTTGAGTCTGCTTAACGTTTCCATTATTTAAAAACGAAATTGTTTCAGCTGTATGATAATTTGAAGAAAATTTTACACATTTCTGCTGACGAATCAAGGGAAAATTTAATTTAAAATTCAAGAAAAAGAGTTTTTTTCCCAAAATGATTCGCTTTCATATTCTTTCATCCGTTCTTGGCACCATTGCTTCTCAAGTGAAAAGAGTGAAATCCTCCGGAAATAGTAAAAACGTAATGTTTCCATTCTATCAACGAGATTGATTTATGAAACTTCGTTGAATCTTTATTCTTATTGAATACCTACATATTTCATCTGAAATGAAGAACTTTTTATGAACAAAGGCTGCTTTATTATCCTTTTTCTGTCTCTATAGCAAGGATGTCAGATTGCCAGTACAATTGCAACGTGCAATGGCAGCTGAGGTAAGAGAGTTTTATTTGAATCAAGATTAGTATAAATTCTCTGATTGACTTCACTAACACATTTTACGTAAAAAAAATAAAGGCTGAAGCTTCTCGAGAAGCCCGGGCAAAGGTCATTGCGGCTGAAGGTGAACAAAAAGCTTCGCGTGCTTTAAGGGAGGCATCTGAAATCATCGGCGATTCGCCAGCAGCTCTGCAGCTTAGATATCTTCAGGTGATTAACATATTCTATTTAACGCTTCCAATTTCCGGTTCGTTAATAACAAATTTATCTCTATAGACATTGAACACAATCTCGTCAGAAAAGAACTCAACAATCGTATTCCCGCTGCCAATCGATTTGCTCACTTTTTTTATGAAGAAAACTGAAGCTTAGTGAGAATTTAATCTTAACGAACATGTTGGAGCGAACATGCAAAGACAGCTCGAAGAAATCTTTTCTCGATATTGTTTAACAAAATAAGGTCGTAAACGTCTCTGTTTCTCGATGTATTCATTAATTCAATGAAAAAAGGCAAAAAAAATGTTATTGTACACAATTTTCTCTCCACATTGGACGTTAAGAAATTCTTCATGTGAGCACATTTCTCAAAATAAATAAAAAAAAAGAAAAAGAAACCACTGCTGATCAAAAGCCATTCATTGTAAGAAAGAAAGGAAAAATCAAAAAAATTTCGTAGATTTAGAATAAGAGAATCAAACGAGAACAATTATCTATTCATGATGGGAATTGAAATGTTTTGTACTACTAAACTCGAAACGATAACAACGTTTTCTTCAATAATCTTACCCCAAACATCCACTTATATACACATACACCCCCACACAAATAAACACAAACATATGAGAAAGGAATGAAAAATAATTGAATCAATTGTGAAGATTCACATTTCGTAAGCGTAAGTCGATTTTATCGGATAAGACACAAAACTCAAATCGTGAACAGCAACATGACGACGCTCTACGACGTCACATAAAAAGTTCCATCACTGCGGTTGTTTCTCAATAAATAATATAAAAAAAGAAGCCAAAGATGGATCACAACATTTCAGTTTTCATTTCCATTTCTTTATATGACGACAGCACTCGTAGGCAGATTTTGTGTCGTTAAGTTCTCAGAAAAAAAACTTTTTTCTCCTCATGTTTACTTCAATTCAATGCAATTTCTTTCCTACTGTGAATCATTCACGAAACAAATCGACTTTTAAAAGAACATCATAACAATATACATATGAAGTTTGAAAGAAAAAGGAAGAAGAAAACATGTAATTAAGATAACTAAATAGCAAGGGAAAATTCTTTTAGGATAGGAAAAACAAAAACTTTAAATAAGACGATTTCAAATTTATCCTCAAGATGAAGAAATCTTTTTAAATAAAAAGTTGATGAATCATGAAAGCACTTAATGACGAAGACTAGGGCTTTAGATTGTAATTCAAGATACAAAAGCAGGAATTACTGATGATTTAACCAATCAAACTTCAATTTTATCTTTAAAACTTCTAGGTTTAGTCCAAAAAGGTAAAACAAGTTATTTGCTTCAAAATTTTACGATTATGAATTAATGAGAAATGAAATATTAGAAGAATAAGAGAAAAATGAAGACAACACTACGTTTGTTCAAATCAAATTCGAGATATATTCTAAAAATGTTGCAAGTAATATGGGAACATCGAATGAGAAACAAATCTTATCTTTTCGCCTCAAATATTTGTAGATTTACAAATAAGAAAAGAAATTTTCATCAATTCAAATTAGGAAAAATGTCGAAGGAAAAGAAAATTTCTTCTCTTATCTTTATCATCCAGCATTGAAATATTTTCCGTTTTCCTTTTCAATTCCCAATCGGCGCATAACTTTCGTAATTATCTATCTGAGAATTAAAAAAAATGAATAAATTTTAAATCAAATAAATAATCTGAAATTTCTTTCCCACTCTAAGTAAAAAAAAGAATTAAAACATTTCTTTGTGAGAATAAAAGATAATTGTATTTTGTCTCTAATTGATGAAGTCTTAATAAAGTTTGAATCGAATGTTTAAAAAAACATGTTTTCAATAATTTATAATATTTTTTGGTTTTTGATTTTAAATAACAAGTTTTGATGCTTGAAATATAAATATTTAAGTTGAACTCATAGCATAGCATAATATAATTAATGTACAAAAGCACTAAAAATAAAAATTCTTGTTTAAGTTTTAAAAGTTGTTCATCACTTCCGGCATTGGCTTTGCTTCTTTAGACATTCACAAATATTTAAGTAACACGTTGTGCCAATTCATAAAAATATTAAGTTTTTAATCCTTCAAAATAAATAAAAAGAAATTAAAACCAGAGGATTTCCTTCCTTTGCTTCTGCTTTAAATTCATGGCCACTCACAGGAAGGAAACAATTCATTAATAATTCATTTTCATTTATTCAAAATCATGTTGAATTGTAATGGAATAAATATAAATCATGCTTTCTATTTTTATTTCAACAGTCTCTTCTCTTTTTAAATCTTTTAGCATGATCATCATTCAAGCATTTATCGTAGCAATTCAATGCTATAAATATTCAAAATCATGTTGGAAGCAGATAAATGCTTGACGCACAAAGAAACTTTTCATTCAATTTATTTACTCGCACATCTTTAAAAATTCTTCAAAAATTGAACATAAATGTTCAATGCCATCGAGGTAGTTGAGATCCAAACCATTTGCTTGTGTCTCATTTAATTCATTTGTGTTGAAAGTGTGCGCAAAGTCGATCATTTTCACAAACACCCACTCCTTCTTTCCATCATAAGCTCCGACTAAGTCATCCAACATTTGATGATAATTATTTCTCATGTTTCGCATTTCCTAGAATAATATTAGATAAGACAAAAATATTTCGAATATTAGTTTCAAATTAAAGTCAAAATGATTGAAAGGAAGACGAATTTACCTGTTCGTAATTATTTGTTGATGATCGAGATCGTTGAATCTTCTTATAAACTTGTTTCGGCAACGATTTTGGTAATTCACTTAAAGTATCACCGTCATCACTTAATGTTCTGTTAAGATTATTGCCTGTTGGTGATAAATCTGTTGGACTTGCCCCTCCTGATTTACGATTGCCAACCTCCAAAGCACTTGGAAAACTTTTTGGCGATTGACGTCTTTGACTTTCAATCACTTGTCGAAGTTTTCTTGCGTCATAAACAATAAGAATTGACGTCGAGTAAAAGCGATAATTTTTCTGTTTTCTCATCCAACTTTGAATCGCCCAGAGGCTTGTAAGTATTGACGTTACCAATTGCCGATTGAGACCAGAATCACCATTAAGAAACATTTTTAAAGCTGTAAGGAAGAACTTATTTAACAAAAGCTTTTAGAATTTTAATTCTCTTACCATCTGTGACAGTATTTTGATTCAACTTCTTCCCATAATCTCTTCCAAATTTCTTATAAGTGTTGCTTATCAAATGATAAGTTTGGAAACCAGGAATACAAAATCCAACTGTGGTCTTGCACTGTTGATATTTCGATGCCTCAGCTTCTTTCTTAGCATCTGTTGCTAATGGATCCCACGTTTGTCTTCCAATCTTTATATCAATGATGCAAGGTTCAAGCATTCCATGTGTCAAGTCTTGCAGTTTAATAAAATTAATAGTCTTGTTGCCAATAGTTAAAGTTTGTGTTCCACGATATTCAGGCACAAACTCTTTCAGCGGAAGCACTGCGGGGTCAGTTGAAGTTAAAAGTTGTTCATAAAATTTTATTTCCCGAGCTGCACACCACTGACTTCCTCCTGGTTTTAAAACACTTCCGTCGTCAATACTCTTTAACAATCCAATTTCGTCTGTGCCAACATGAACAGTGTGACCTGCTACTTGATGCGTCATATTGACGTAGCCTTTTGGAATTTTGTCATTTGCCATTGTCTCGCCGGAAGTATTATAAGGTGTCGCTGATGACGTTGATGATGATGATGATGATGGTGCAGTTACTAAAAGTTGAAACGAATTTGCAAAATTTGCAGCTGATGCTTGAGCTGTTGGAAAACCAGCATAGCTCCTACGTTGTGTAGGCTTTTGAATGGGCGGTAACTTTAAATTGCTCATCTGAATGAAAAAAATTATTCAAAAGCGTTAAAAAAGACTTCACGATTCTTTATGAGCGAGTCACGAAATCAAATGACTTGACGATGAAGTTTTAATCAAAATATTAAATCTTATCGCCGTAGAAGACAACGGATTTTCAGTTGTGGATAAGTTTTGACTGATAACAGATGATAACAATACAACAAATCTGTTCTAAGTAGCTTCCGTTGAAAGCGAAAGCGGATAAAAATATTGCAAACTTAAAATATATTTTAACTTTCAAAGCCTTTAAGTGCATTATATTGTAGGAAGATAAGTTTAAGACATTTTATTATTTTATTGAACGTGTTATAAGAATGACAGCCATAAAGATATTCATTTCCTTATAAAAAATCATATTTAAACTTGTAAGTTTTAAAAAGAAGTTAGATTAGGTTTCAATCTAATCCCGATATTTATCTGGATTAAAACTTAAGCATTTATAACGGTCAACAAATTTTTGAAAATTATAAAATTTCAATTTTCACCGGAGTGTTTATATTATTCATTTGGACAATAACAAATCTTCTTCTACCTGCCTTGGTAGGAAATTGATAAAACTGGTTTTATCAAAGTGATCGAAAATGCAACGCACCTAATTCAATGTTTTTTAATATTCTCGAACAATCTTCATGAATGTTTTTTTAAGAAGATGTTCAATCAATCATGAAACATTTATCAGCAAATAAACAAATCAAATCCATCAATTCGTTGTGAAGTAAAATAATTGAGTAAGCTTATCCTTCTCATATTTAACGATAATATGTTGTAATGACAGGCAAAAAATAGAATAAACTTACCCATCATAATAAAAATTGATTTATCTTAAAAGCTTTCAACAAAATACAAATTTTTTCACATGTGCAACAACTTAAAATTGTATCTTTTTTAATTGATAAATAATTAAAAACTTGTCTTCACTTCAAACAGCATCACTTTTTCAACCAGACTATGCAGCGATGGTTGCAACGTCTTAATTCGTTATATTTAACAATTTTTTGAGGAATTTATTTATGTATCTAATACGCTTGTAACTAAACCCGCTAATAAACAATCCAGACATTCGAACCATCGGAATTTATCAGTTTGACGTGAAATGGTTTGAGTTTCCACTTGTTATTTTAAAATGAAATAAACGGGTAAAATTTTCACTCCAAAAGCTTGTCTCAAATAGCTTTAATTAGTGTTTTCCAAATTTATTTCAGAGTTTAATATAAATCTGATTCAACTATTCAAAATTTACGATGGAAATGAAACTTAATAAAATTATTTCTTATATTTGTAGAAGCCTTCACCACTCTTCATTCCTAACTTTCCTTCGTCTACATACTTTTGAATTAATTGAACAGGTTTGAAAAGTGGATTGTTAGGTTCACATCTTTCAAATGCTGCAAGTGCTCTTATGAATGTATCAAGTCCAACAAGATCACTTAATTCAAATGGCCCCATGGGATATCCAGCTCCAAGTTTCATTGCTATATCAATGTCTTTGATTGAAGCATCACCACGCTAAATGAAAATAAAACATCATTGTATTGAAATTTAAAAAAAGAAGCAAATAAAATTACTTCATGCATTCTCATGGCTTCAGCAGTGTAAGGGATGATCAGTCGATTCACAACAAATCCGAAAGTATCTTTACACGTTATGCAAGTTTTCCCTAATTTCTCGCCAAAATTTAAACAAATCTTGTAAGTTTCATCGCTTGTGTCAGATGTTCTTATTATTTCCACAAGTTTCATCACCTGAATTTAATATTTAATAACTTTTTTAAATCTTCTTCTGATAAATACTTACGGGAACGGGATTGAAGAAGTGAATTCCTATAAACCGATCGAGACGTTTTGTACCTTTTGCAATTTCACTAACTGAAATCGACGACGTATTACTGGCAAAAATTGTTGTTGACGGTGCGATCTGGAAATGTTTTTACGATGATATAGAGAAATTTAAGAATGTTTAAATTTACTGAATCAATGGAAGAGAAAAGTTTCTGTTTTGCTTCCAGGTTTTCCACAATAGCTTCGATCACAAGGTCAGTTTTTGGCACTACTGCTTGAACATCCGTCGAACCTTCAATTCGTGATACTGCAGTTGTCACGAATTCTTCAATTTTCCCTGTATCTTCTTTAAACTGTTTTTTAGCAACACGTTCCAAATTCTTTCCAATGCTTTTCTTTGCTTTCTCGAGTAACGAAGCATCCAAATCAACTAAAGTCACGTTGTGACCAGTCTGAGCTGCGACCTAAAAATGTCACATAACACTTAAGGAAGTTGAACTTTGATCACATGCGGAGAATCAATTTCAAACCTGTGCAATTCCACTCCCCATCAAACCCCCACCTACGACAGTAACATGATTGATCACTCCCGTTGTTGATGACATCGATCGTCGAATCAACAAATTAATTAAAGAATAAGACATATTTAATAATTTTTATGAGCAAATTCTACTTCCGAAATTTAATCACAACCAACCACAGTCAACTGACTTTGCCTAGACATAAAGTCAAGATATTTATTCGTTTGTTATCAACTTGTTTTAATCAGATTTTTATCTTTCACTGACTATTTCTAGTTATTGATAAAAAAAGAGTTGCACAAGTACAAATTCCATAAATGTTTAAAAATAATCAAAAGTTCAAATCAAAACATGAACTTTAGTTCTCCCAATTATTTTATCTTTGATTAAAACTATTTCTTATATTTGTAGAAACCTTCTCCGCTCTTTACTCCTAATTTTCCTTCGTCTACTAACTTTTGAAGCAAAGGAATAGGCTTGAACAATGGATTGTTGGGTTCACAACGCTCATAAACAGCAAGAGCTCTGACGAATGTGTCAAGGCCACCAAAATCGAGTAACTCGAATGGTCCCATAGGATATCCCGCTCCAAGCTTCATTGCAGTATCAATATCTTTGATTGAAGCATCACCACGCTGAATATAATCATAAAATTAATTAACGATTTAATTTAAAGTATATTTATCTACCTACTTCAAGTAATCTCACAGCTTCAGCAGTGTAAGGGATGAATAATCGATTCACAACAAACCCCAAAGTATCTTTACACGTTATGCAAGTTTTCCCTAATTTCTCACCAAAACTTAAACAAGTCTTGTAAGTTTGATCGCTTGTGTTACATGTTTTTATTATTTCCACAAGTTTCATGACCTAAAAATATATGAAATTAAAATTTTATGAGTCAGTTGCCAAAGCTTACAAATTACAGGCACGGGATTGAAGAAGTGAATTCCTATAAACCGATCGAGACGTTTTGTGCTGTTAGCGACTTCAAATATTGGAATCGACGAAGTGTTGCTGGCGAAAATTGTTGTTGATGGTGCGATCTGAAAATGTAATTTAATAATTTATAGATTAACTAAGAAAGAATGTTGAAATGTACTGAATCAATAGAAGAGAAAAGTTTCTGTTTTGCTTCCAAATTTTCCACAATAGCTTCGATCACAAGGTCAGTTTTTGGCACTACTGCTTGAACATCTGTCGAACCTTCAATTCGTGATGCTGCAGTTGTCACGAATTCTTCAATTTTCCCTGTATCTTCTTTAAACTGTTTTTTAGCAACGCGTTCCAAATTCTTTCCAATACTTTTCTTTGCTTTCTCGAGTAACGAAGCATCCAAATCAACTAAAGTCACGTTGTGACCAGTCTGAGCTGCGACCTAAAAATGTCACATAACACTTAAGGAAGTTGAACTTTGATCACATGCGGAGAATCAATGTCAAACCTGTGCAATTCCACTCCCCATCAAACCCCCACCAACAACAGTAACATGATTGATCACTCCCGTTGTTGATGACATCGATCGTCGAACGAATAAATTAATAAATGAAGCCATTATTTGTAAGTTTTAACTTTTTTATTAATCTGATCGCTAGTTCTACCTTAAGTCAACTGACTTTACATTGATACGAACTAACGATTTCATTTAAATCTAGACGTTCTTATCTTTGAATATTTTATCAATTCCTTTTATCAATCGAGATTTTTTTACATTACATTTGATAACTTCGATAAAATGGAGTGGAAATCCGGTTTTGGGAATTTTTCGTAGTAATTTCAAGTAAAACATGGGAAAGTTATTTTCACAAAGCGTAACTAATAAACTTCTACAGCAGACTTCCTGCAAGCTTGCAGTCATTTTCATTTCCGAATTTTAATCAAATTTAATCTCAAGTCAACTGTCGAGATATGAACTTAATAAGTTCGTTATCTGATTTCATTGATAAACTTTTAATCAGCATTGATGGTTGTTGTCTGCGATAACAATAAAAGCAGTTAAATCTGCTTATGAAAATATTTATTTGCAAATTCATTTATTTAATTTTTGTTGAGCTTCTTTAATATTTTAAAGTCTGAAGAGTTTCTGATCTGAAAACTTTACGAAAGGCTAGACGAAAGGTTTAAATAACGCGAATATTTTCTTATCAGACTGTTTGTTATCCCTGAAAATTAAATTAATCAGAACGTTGGAAATCCATAAAAAATGCGTCAAATTTTCACATCTAAACTTTTGCATTTATTTCATTAATCTTTCTTATCAAGCGATTTCTACATTAATAATTTCCATTTTTTTGATAATCCTTGGAAATTTCAAACTAATCTCAGCAAGAAAAAAATATTTAATTTAATTTAAGGTTTGTACGGTTACTGGAGGCGATGATGAATGACAAGAATCAGTTGGCGTTTCATCAAAAAGACTGGGACTGCTGATTGACACAACAGATAACAATGGCTGTGCAAGAATGTCTTGAATTTCAATTTCAACTTCTTCCAATTCTTTATCGATAGATTTGCGTTTATTTTTTGGTTCGCACAGTGGTGATTGTCTTGGAAGGCTGTTTCTGCAAAGTGTCTGATTTTCTTCCAGATCGAGATGCTTCCCCCATAGAGTTTCTGCTATCCTTTTGTTCAGCTCCGCTCTTGGAAGTGGATTTTCCCCGGTTTCTTGTTGGTGATGCTGGTGATGTTTTTGTTGACGGTGTTTTTGACGGTGCTGGTGAGATGGTTTGACTCGAGGGGGTGCTGGAGGGACTGGGAGAGTTTTGTGGTGTTTCTTTGACACTCTCTCGTGACTGCTGTCTCTGCTGAATACTCGAGCTTCTCGATGCATCTTCAGAAGATTCTGCCTTCTCTCTTCCATATAACTGCTCTCGAGATTGCTGTCGCTGTTGTACAACTTCTTCTGTTGATAACTCTCGTGGGGGTGTGTTGCGTTTAGGCGGCGTGCTTCGTTTTGGTGTTGTTGGCTCAACATACGATTGATATTCATCTGGTTGATATGTTGGCTGTGACTGGCTGTAGTCGTAGTTGCTGTTGGGATTGTATTGTTGTGTTGGATCGTAATTGGTTGCATATCCAGCACTTTGGTCATAGTCATATTGCTGGTTGTTCCCGTATGTGTAATCTTGTTGATAGGTTGGTTGTTGTTGATAACTTTGCTGGTCATAAATTGGTTCTTGGTACTGTCCATCGTCTTGTACGGAACTTCTTTGTTCAGCCATCGATTGTAAATCTTGCGATTCATATTCGTCGTTTCGGAAAGTGACGCTTGGTTTTCGAATTTCAACGCTTGGTGTTTCATCGATTCGAGTTGTGATGATTGAATCTGTTTGTCGTTGTTGGTTATCTGAAAGTGATTTTTGTGAATCATTTCTGGAGATGCTTCGTTGTTGTTTCCAATCGGTTGAAGATTCTGGGTCCTGATCGAATCTTTGTTGTGATGAAGCCCTTGACATTGGTCGTGATGGTGCTCGAGATTCAGCTCGGGAACTTGTGAGTGATGGTGGTTTTGAATCTCTTTGTCCAAAATCGCTTTGCTGTTGGTACGGTTGTTGTTCATACCCTCCAGTTGTTTGGTAGGTTGTTCGGTTCCACTCATCTGTATCGCCTCGTTGCTGCTGATTGGAAGCTGTTTATGTGGAAAAAGTTAATTTATTTAATCATTTTATTATATTTGAGAAAATTAGTGAATTAGGTAAAAGGTTTTAGGAAAAGTGCAGTCAAATTCATGTTCATGCTTAATGTAATCGTGGAGTTGTATAATGAAATGTTGAATTTTCAAATGTTGATTGTTTATTAATGTAAATGACGAATCTGAGGCATTTTTTTACCTGGCTGATCATAGTACAAAGGTTGTTCAGAGGAATAAGCGGATGGCTCGTTATAATAAACAGGCTCGTCTTCACCTTCGTTAACATATTTTATTGAACCATTACGAGCTAAACGAGATGACGGTGTGTCTTGTAATTTCAAATTTTGTTCATTAGTATTTGCATAATTTGCAGTTTCATCTACAGAAGGTTCAGGTTGTGATATAATAGCATTAGAATGATTATTTGGTGAAGAAAGATTAGATGAGATCATGATTGGATCTCGATTAGTGTCGTTTGTATCATAATTTGTGCTTTCAATGGTAAATGGTTCATCAGATTTGACAGCGTTTGCTGTCGCATTATTTATGCGATTTGATAAAAATTCAACATTTGATTGAAGATTGCTTAACTCCTCTCTTCAAGTGTTTAAGGGAAGGGAATGAAAAGGAAAAGATAGAAAGAAAGAGAAGAAAGAAAAAGCGCACAATTAGTTAAGTTCACTGAACATTTTTCACTACCTTAGCATTATTAACATTTGACGTGACACTCGATTCGGAGCTCATGGAATTGCTGAATCGTTCTGTCGATTTATCTTTATAGCAATTCCACAGCTTCTTAAGACGATCCATAAGTTCGTCATTTGTACGTCGTAAATCTTGCTTTTCTGCTCTAAATATGAAAATAATAAAATTAAATTTTATTTCTTAATCAACTCATAAAATTTCTTCAAAAAGCTAGGAAGCGGCAAACTGTGCAACGATACTAACTATTAGAAAATTTATCATAGACATCGAAATGTGAATATAAAAAAGTTTCCATCGAATTTTCATTTAATTTCTTAAATATAAATCGAGGATCTTTTAGGTAAAGGCGTTGGATAATTGTTGCTATATTTGCATCTCTTCCGATCACATTCTTCAGTGATTTTCGCAGCTTCAAGCATTGCTTGCTTTGCGTAATCAGCACACAATGTTGTTCCACCAACATGGAAGTGATCAAACTCTTCAGGATGCTTTCCATTATCAACACGACGAATTTTTGCATCACGAACAACTCTCCCTAAACTGTAATCGAAGATAGAGTCGTAAATATTTTCCTCCTGGAATCTCACATGCTTCTTGCAAGGTCTACAACCATAATCAGGAAGAAGAGAAGAGATAGAAAAGAAATTCTCATTTTACATACATTTGTGGTCTTCATTTGATTTAATATTCATTTGTGCAAATCATGCAAACTTTACACAAACTTTACTAGTGGCAGAGGAAAAACAAAGCAAAGCTTCCAAGCCTACAACATAAAAATAATAATTGAATGATAAAAATTATTTAATTACTTATGCTGATGAGACGTGTCGTCTAATTTCTGAGTCAAATTTTTACATTGATCGGTTAGTTTTTCCATGAGTTGTCTTTGTTCCGAAATCATAGCCTCAAGCTCTTGCACGGTCTTAGCTAGATTTTTTATTATTATTTATCAAAACACATACACACAAACAATGAGAGAATTAGTGAACTATTACAGATATTGTTAGAGAAAAATTTTGAATGGCAAGCTCATGGATAAACTATTGAAGACACTGAATGAGATTTAAAATTGAAAAGAAAATTGAAAAGACCTTCAATAGCTTACCAATTTAATTTATCGGTAACTTAATTAAAGATTATTTACAAAATAGAAATTGAAGATCTTTTGTGTGTTATTTCACTTACAATGCTTTTCTTCCATTTCGGAGATGACAGTTTTAACATCTTTTGGTCGATGATCTCTGTCGATATCTCCAAGGGCGATCTAAAAAATTAAAAAATGTTTAAAGTTGCCGCAGTTACAAACTTAATTCATTTTCCACCTCTTTCTCTAAGTTTGATATTTGATCGCATAATCTCAAATTTTCACGTCTTGAATGTAACAAATCAGCATCTGAACGATCAACTCTTTGTCTTAATGAACTGTTCTCAGCATTTAAGCGAGAAACTTCTGCTTTTCCCTGACGATCAGCTCGTTCAACTTGCATTCTAAAATCATCAACTGTTGATAATTTTCAATTAAATTGATTTAACCTCACCTTAAAGATGTAATTTCTTGTTCCAAAGAATGCTTTTCTGCATTGATTTGTGTCAAGTCCGAAAGATGTGCAGTGTTTTTCAACTTAATTTCAGTTTTTAACTCATCAATCTGATTGTTTTTCGATGCCAATTCACGTTTCAAATCCGATTCAATGCGCTTCATTCGTTCAAGTTCGAGTTGTAATTTCGAAGATTGTTCCCATTGCGATGTTAAATCGCCGCCGAGCTGATCAACCTGAAGAAAAAGTTTTTGATTATCGTTTCATTTTTATTTGAAATTGAGTTTTGAAGCTTGAAAAGCAAACCTGATAAGTGTAACGTCGGTCAGCATTGTTTCGCTCTTCGGCAATTCTTTTTGCTGTTTCCAGTTGCAACTCTCGCATGCGTTCATGTTGACGTTCCAATTCATTCTGATAAGAAATAATTAATTATAATTTCATTGTTACACTTTCAACCAACCTTCAATCTTCGTATTTCAATATCAGCTTGAGATCGTTCAAAACTTGCTTGCTCGACCAAGTCACGATTACGTTGAGTTTTGCTGAACACTCTTGCATCAAGATCTTTGAGTTCTGTAATTTGTTTTTGAAGTTTCTTTACCATATCTTCAAGCGTTGTCTTATCTCGTTGCAAATTTTCAATTTGCTTTTTATAAGCGTCTAAACATGAATTGTCGACAGCTGAATCACCGCCGCTAAAAGCGCGTTTGCGTTTCAAATCGGAATGTTCGTCAGCAAGTTTCTTATAATCAATATTCATTTGCGCAATCTGTGCTTCAAGTTCACTTATTCGTGATTCAAAAAGAATGTTCGGTCCTGAAGTGACTGAAAATTTGGTTGAACGCATCAATGGCTCGTAAGTTTCGCCAACTTCTGAACCATATTTTGATCGTTCAGTGAGAATTTCATTCTCGGAAACAACGTCTTTGACTTTGGAGATTAGAGTTGAAAGTTCATCCTGGAATTAAATTTATGTGCGTGGACGTCAATCAAATTTCAAAATTATTTAACATTAGAAACTCACTCGACAGAAATTTGATTCCTTCTCAAGCTGTTCAATGTACGACTCTTGCTTTTCAATAAAGTTCAACAACTCACTTGGAGGCTGAACATTGCTAACAGGAAGTAAAGCTTCAGAATTGTAGCCACTCACTGAAAATAAGAACACGTGAGTTTTCAACCCACCAACTGAAGTTATGCTTAGTAAATATTTAACCTACTTGGAGCTTGTAACGTTTGCGACGTCACCGGTTTGTGAATGTACAATGACGAAGCATTTGAAACAGTTGAGTAAGGTTTGTAAGGATAATATTTCGATACATCTTTCATTACAGATCGTTCGACGATTGTATTCTCCGTTGTATCAGTTTCATCGTCAGTCACTGACTTGAAAATCGATGACGATGACGAATATTTTGTTGGTGAATAAACATCCGCCAACATCAACTTAAGACGTCCGATTGTGTCTCGGTAATGATGATCTGTATAGTCGAAAGGTTTCTTCTTCATCAGTACAGACGATGACGATTGATATTGTGGAATAGGATTTGGTGACTTCAATTTACTCCTGCAATAATTATTCAGAAAAACCTTTTAAACAATGATAAAAGAATTATTTCACCAGACTTGCACAACTCGAAAATTTTTCCTTTTAAATTATGAGAATAAACAAAACACTTGTCATGTGGTCGCTTTGGCAACCTACCCCAATTTTCGAAAACATAAATACACAAACAAGAACACAAAGCAGAACAGCGATAAATACAAAAAAGCATGAAAGAGAAAGATTTCGAATGAAGGCGAAGGGTTTGTTTATTGTCGCGTGACACTGAAGTTCAGTGACTGAATTCACGAATGAAATGTTGTTTGAAATAGTTACGAATAGTTGGATTGTAGTTGTGAGTTGACTCGCTCGCTTAGACATTGAAAAAAAGCAAACTTCGTGATTTTCTTGTAATTATTCGACATTGCAATGAAAGTAATCAATCATTGAATCAATTTATTAGCAAGCTACTTTCATAAATAGATTATTTACAATCGTCAGTTAATTTTATGGTGTTGCGAGTTGATATTTGGGTTATTAGAATAAAAAAATTATGTTAAACACATGCGATGACATGACGATAATTCTTAAACCTTTTAGAAGGGGAAAAATGACGATTTATTTTCAGATAATCATTCCCAATCGATTTGTCTTCTTCGCGACCTATTTGAATAATTTTATTGTGAATTGCACGAATACAAAATTTTACTCCAATTTCTTGGTTTTTAGTTTTTCTCGAATAAAATAAATAAAAGCAGAAAGTTTTTCCCCTTCCGTTAGAAAATAATTTTCAAGGCACTTTTCCGCTATAATTTTCAATTTTCCGCATTTTCAACATATCAAATCGATTATTTTCCTGACTGTTCTTGTTAATCTGTTTTTTAATTTCAGTCATTTGGATTCAGAAATATTTTTGAGTTTAATTGATCTTCAAAGCTTCATCAATGCGAGAAATATTTTTACGCGATCGTAAAAATTGAAAATGGTTTTAGTTTTCATCAGTTAGGTATAGAACGATAATCAATATTCATGTTTAGGCTTTTCTTCAAACTGTCAAACAACACGACAATTTTTTTCTTTTATTTGTCAACCGCACCCTTTTAATGGAATCTTTCATATTTTTTGAAGAATATTTTCATTGGAAAAAAATTAAAAATTGTAATTAATTAACATGCCTCAATTTCATTCTTCTGCCTTTGTTACTGTGACCACTAACGAAGCTGTCTTTATCAGATTCTTGTTCTTTTTTGTACTTATTTAGTTGCTGTAGTTGTTTCTGTGTTAAATATCCGAGATATCCTTGTGGCACTGGACTCTTGACTGATGGCTTTGAAGATAATCCATAAATGTTCTTCATAACGAGGTTTTAAATATTCTTTCCTTAATTCTTTAATTTCTTTTCAAGACATTACACACTTTCACTTCTTTTATCCACGGTAATCCACGACTGACAAATGCTTGTTCAAGTCACAACTCAGCTATTTATACAATAAATTTTAAACAAGCTTGTCAGTGTCTTCAATTACTTTTCCAATGATCCTACAAAGTTTCCACGACAACAATCCAAAAACTTTTGTTTGATGTTAGTAAGAAACGAAAGATTTTCGACTTGTGATGGTGAAGTTTGGGAACGAAGGTAATGTAAAGTTATTTACCGATTCTTTCAACAAAAATCAACGGCAGGAAAAGTTTTTTGAAAAATTTCTTGGTTTCCTTCGCTTTGTTTTTCCTTTTATCATCAGGAAAAAGGAAAACTTTTCTTCCCTTTCAACCCTTTAAGTAGATAGAAAAGAGGAAAGGCCTTGGCGATGGCACTGAAAGAAGAATTTCGACGCCACCAAAATTCATCGCGTGCTTTTTAACAATTTGCGGTGTTCCGGCTTGTTCTCGATTTGCATCATCAAATGGTTTTTCCAATTCCTTGTTGTATCATAAAAGGAAAGAAAAGCGTTACGATGATCGTAAATCAGAAAGAATTATGAACGCTGCTGCTCCACCATGAATATTGCTTGTGATCTTAAACACATCTGATGAATGAAAGGGTCGAGAAGTCCCGTCCGTCAATCATCATCGCTAAAGCCAACAGCTTTTTGTTGTGCATAATCCAAAGCATGATTTACAATTTTTATGCTTTTGCTTTCATATTAGACGAATAATTGTGGTAGGAGAATAACAAACATGTGTTCAAGGCACAATTTATTATAATTCGCGGTGCGAATCTCACAAATCATTTAAATTTATAACTTACGATGATAAATCTTATCGATTAAATATTTGACATAATTTAATTTATTTTCTCATGTTTTTATATACATATTATCGATTTTAACAAATGGTAAGAGATTTTCTGTCATGGCTTAAAGATTTTAAGTTCACTTATAGAATCGTTTTGGAAGTGATGTTGTGGACGCGAAATAATTTCGATTAAGCGGCGCTTGAATGTTGTAACGTGAACCTAAATAAGGCGTTGGCGTTACAGAATATCTTTGACTGTTCACTTCCACTTGTTTGACCGCTTGTGGATAAAAGATTTTATGTGTATGTATGTTGGGCTGGAGCTAATAAATTTGTAGGCTGATGAATGTTAGCTTCACCTTCGTAGGAAACTTCAGCTCGGTAGCCGTGAATATCGTCAGCAGTGTACTTGACAATTTGCACGCGACCATCAGGCAAATGAACTTTATACGATCCCTGAACTGCTCCATTTTCTTGCTTTTGCGTGTGAGAAAAATCATCACCAGACTTTCCATCTTTGACGGCATAAGAAAATTTGTAATGTTTCTTGTCAAAACTTCTCGAAGAAGATTTAATTAGATCGACGACATCTTCTTGGTAATCGTCATCGATTCTGTTGTTTATTCTTGCTTGTGGGCTAATTTGCTGTTTTTGAAATTCATTATTCTGAACTTTTCTTCCGTGATTCGCAAGCGCTTGGTAAGTTTGACTCTGATGGTCCTGAGAATTCAGAAATTAATAAATTCTACATTAAAATTAATAAAAGAAGCACTTACAAGCCCATTAAATCGTTGAAGTTGTTGATTCCGGTAATTTAATGCAAGTCTCGCGTATGGATGTGGGATTAATGCTTGATTTTCGACAATGTGTGAAACAATTCTTCTTTGTTGATCTAATTTTTGTAAATTTCTTAGTTCATTTCCTGGGTTGGCTGGGAATTGAAGTGGCGCAGTGCTGGTTAAAAATAAAACAAACAATTAACAATCTATGCTAAGGTCATTGTCAACGGCAACAAACTTTTGAAATCTTCGTGACAATTCTTCAAATTTTCTCTCGTAGTTTTGGAAGTCACTTGGTGAATAAAAAACTGAATTTTGGTATGGATGAGGATTAAAGTTTCTCGGTGGAAGATGTGATGACGGAACTGGATTCTCCAGAGCTTGCACACCACAAAAGACAATAACTTGTAACAATAAACATCGCATTATGATCTGAAATTATTTCAAAGTGGTCTGTTCAACATTAAAAGATTAAATGCGGAAAAGATTTTGACAAATTTGTTCACGTAACTTCAATACATTAAGAAGATCAAAGAAATTGCGCAAATTATCATTAATACCTGACAAACTCGAAAAAAAATTTAGTTTCACCGCACACATAAGTAAACATGCAAGTGACACATGAGAGAAACAAGAAACAATGCAAATTGCAACATGAAACTGCAATTTTAAAATTTAATATTTTTTTCTTGCATTTGAGAGAATAAGTAAATAAATTAACTTTTATTTCGTCTTAAATAATCGCCGTAAGAAAGATTGAAACTGAGCTAACTTGTTGGATATATTTTATGACTAATTCGATATATTTGGACGACTTAGTACGAGTCGCAAGTTTAAATTAACAGTAAACATGATTGGTTCACTTGTATTTCAGTCGCTTTTTTAATTACAGTCTTAAAAGTTTAATGATTTGACTGCAGCCGTTCATTGTCGTTTTTGATAATTAAATTTGTTATTCATTTAAGTTTTGCTTAAAAAAGATCTGAATAGTGGAGTGGCCAGCGATTGAATTCTTTTTTTATGTTGTGAACCGAGAAAAAAAATTGTGTTAAGGAAAAACAAAACGACGACAGATTCAGTTATAATTCCGAAATTTATTACAAGCAACAATACGAAATTTGCGACTTCTCTCAGACAGATTTCGTTTAGCCATGATCATCGAATGAATGAAAACGAAATTAACATGAACATAATCGTTGCTGCAACATAAATAAGGCAAGATCAATTGATGTGACCCCTTCGATAATCTGCCTTTCCAAGAAGTCATATAAAACTCATGTTGCCCTTGAAAATATAATAAAAATTTCTCGAATAGAAACTGAAAAGTCATGATCACTTCCCATCAATCACCTGGTTAAATCGAAGCTATTTAAATCGAATTAAGATATTATGAGATATCCGTTAATGACGACCAGCCTCTTATTTTCAATTGGATCATTTTCATTAATCAAATAACTTCTTTTACGTGAATAACTTCAAACAAGAAACGTAAAGCAAAGCAAAGTGAGACAATCTAAATGGAATTCTCGAGAACGCGAAAAAATTTTTATTGAAATTTCATTTAAAATAAGTTAAATATTTCCAGTCGAGTTTCCCTTTCAATGTCAGTTTAATTTAATCATGTTTTCATCGATGAATTCAATAAATTAAAGCATTCATTTCACACAGAAGTTTTCTCTTTGTGTTGTTTCTTTTTTCCCGTCAATTATGCAAGAAAATTTCTTTGTTGGATTTGAATTTTTTTGCAACACGTGACTTTGAGAATTTAACGAGGTGTTTAATTGGATTAATTAAAGTGTGTAAAACTGCTGATTATTTTATTACGACTGATTATTTGTGTTTCGGTTTTCTCAAATAAAATGTGTAGGCTATTCTTATTGGTAATAAGGAAATTTCCCAATCGACTTTTATTAAACTGATCATTAAATATATGAATTAATGGCATTTGAGAACGCTAATATGAAATATTTCAAATGCATTTTTCGCTATTTTTTCATTTCATTGCAAGTTTCGTCATTGGAAAATGCACAACATGCTTGTTGGATGGGAAAACTTACAAAAATTGATTCACGATCTTTCACTTTTAATTGCATATTTCTCATGAATTATTATGTTGCGCATGAATGTAAATAAATTTTGAAACAAAAACCGAGAGCGCACATTGTTTGAATCTTGTAAATGGAGAATAAATTGCTTTATTTTATGTTGCAGACGTCGTGTAGATCGCGTTACCGATGATATAAAAAATAATTTCTGATCATGAACTGAAACATGCAGAGATCTTGACTTTCTGTAATTTATCATTTAATTAGCATTAATTTGAATAGGGACAAAAACAAACCAAAATATTCACTCGTTGATTCAATGATTTGCTTTGTAAGATAAATTGCAATAAATTTTTTTAGTCACGATCATGTCTCAGACTTTTAATTGTTGCTTAATTTTTGAAATTACTCACGAAATTGTTAAGAGTGAAAGTCATTCAATTGATTGTCAATTTAATTTCAATTAAAAATCACAGAAAACTTTGATCCACTTACACGAATGAACTTTTTTAAATTTTATCTTTTCCTGGTTTTTTTTCTTTTCAGAGAACTTAAAAATTGAACCGTCGCACTCGAAGCTTGAATCGAAAATGTTTAAGCCGCTTTGAGAAAAAGTAACACTTGAATCTTTCTTAAGCCAACATAAACACTCAGTTAACGTGCGGAATGAATAGCGAGAGAATATGAAAACGAACAAAAGTAATGCAATGCGATTTAACCGAATTTACATTTCATATCTTCTTATCTTAAACGAATAATCGTCTCACTCACCACAATGGGAAAAATGCGAACGAATTCTGTTGAATTTGTGTCCACAAATTCATTTGTAAACTTGCGACCATGATCATTAAATAACTTATGCAATTTTCTTAAGCGACACTTTAATTTCCAGTAAAACTTTTTCACTTTTTTACAGCTACAAATTGAATTGGAAAGGAAAAAAGAAATTAAATTAAATTATCAAGTTTAAACAAAGACATACAATTTTCTATGTTCAATTATTGATTTCAATCGAAATGATTTTTAAGTTCTTTTAGTATGTACATGAAAACAAAATTTAGTCACTGCAAAACGAGTTTTATTAAAATGTTCATCAGTTAAGAAGCGCTCAACTTTCAAGTTTTTATTTAGCAACAAATCTTTTGTAACATCATTTTCATACATAAATATTGTTTACATATATTTATGACATAAGTAGCTGATTGCATTATTACTTTCTTGGTTCACTCACAATAAGACTATCATCTTCATCTTTTTTTTCTGCATAGAAATCCGATAATGAACGACTTATTTTTTTATCAACTGCTTTATCGAAATTTTCTCCAGTGAGTATTTCTGTTTCAATCATTGGGAATGATGCTGGGCAGAATTGATAGAAATTGGGAATCTCAAACAAAACAGTCCTTCTGTTATTAAAAATATACATTGAATGACAAGTTCCTACAGTGTTAATTGAAACCAGACGATTTAAGACATCAAATACACCATGGCCTATATGAACCAATGGATTTGATTGGAAATTGATAGCCATCAATGCCAAATTTTCATCAAAAACGTGAAAATTAAGTTGACGAATTAAATTGTTGGTGAAATCAATTTGCGTCAAATTTGGGAAAACTTTCAAATCGGATGAATATAAACTTTCAATTCCTGTCCCTATGAAACTCAAAGAGATAAGATTTGGAAAGAACTGATCGATATTTTTAGGTATAAATCCTGTGATTTGATTTTGAATAACTAATCCCAAGACGTCACTGTTGTTTCTTCCTGTATGATTATCAGTTACAGCTGTAATGTTTTGTGGATCACCAATAAAATTAATTCTTCCAGTGCACTGATAAACGTTGGTAACTGTCCAATGACTTCTTACAGAGTATTGACAGTCAATTGTTAGTTCATCACTCAATGAAAGTAAAGACAGAACCAGAACAAAAATAGAAACGGCAAGCCTACGTGGAATTTTATAGAAGAATGAAAATTTAAAATTATTTTAGATTAAAATATCTCACATGTTTAACTCAATGCTTTACAATTCAACACTTAATGGAAGAAGAAGAAGTTGAAATCTTTCCGAAAGAAGTTTTACATCAAAAAGCTTTATTTTAAGCTAAAAATTATTAAAATTCTTTACTTTAAGCACTTAGTTTCAGCTGAAAGTGAATATAAAGATGAAGACACTCAAACACTGAGAACTTAAAATTAAAGATGAATTTACGAACGTAATTAAAATATCAATTAAAGTTCGAATATTCTTCTCGCGCCGCGCTGTTTCAAAATTTTAACGTTAAATTTAAAGAAATTAAGATTTTTTTGGATTGTTTGTTTGTTTATTTATTCATTTGTAATCGTTTAAGAGCATGTTCATTTTAAGATTTTCTGGAAAATTCTTCTCACGGTTACAGCTTGTCTTATGATATTTTATTCTTGAAACAAGATATTTCAAAACTAAGACATGATTGTTTAAAATCATACAATCTCAATGAAGTAAAATATTATCACTTCATATCTTAGCACCAAATAAGATTCAGCCATCATAGGCCAGTAATGATTCAATGGGTGTTTTTGGATGGGAAAGGGTGAGACTTCTTATTCTATTTTTGGGAAGAAAATATTTAATTATATTTAGCTACATACTTAATTCGGGAAAATATGTTTCATATATATAGTATTGGGACTTCAATAAAAAAAAATTTTTACAGCTGACTAAACAGTAAGCAAACAAGATCACATTTTTTTCTGTAAGTATTGAAAATGTTATTAATAACTGCCTTATTTCTGGAAAGTTTGTTTCGGCTTTTATCTCGAAGAATTTAATTATATAATTTTGAGTTTATATATCAACAATAACTTATATTAAGATGAACGGTTATTATTCGTTATGGATCCCAGCTATGATTTCCTCTGAAATCGAGAAAAGTAATTGATAACTGAATCAGCTTTGAAAGCTACATAACTGAAGAATCGAACCATTTAAATTAAGCAACGTATTAATAAAAGTTTAAGACTTTTTCAGTGAAAGATAGCAAGTTTGAAAAACACTTTTCTTTCACTGACGTTAATTTTTCTATGCTCAATGATAAATTTAAGTCAATTTAAAAAAAATTATGTAAAACAAAAAATTAGTCTCATCTTGAGACTCTCAAGAAAACGAGTTATTAATATAAAACGATCAATAATTAAGAAGCGATCACATTTCCGTATTTATTTAGCAACACACTTTTTGTAATATTTTCATATAGAATAACCTGCCATTGCAAAGCCTGTTAATTTAGTAACAGACTCTTACAATAAACATGTAATTGTATAATTAATTCCTTTCTTCGAGCTCAGCAATGCGATTTTCTAACTCAATCAATTCTTGTCTCAATTGAAAGACTTGCATAGTCAAAGGATTCATTCGGTCAGCAATTTGTTGGTCAACTGTTCGCTCAAAATTTCTTCCAGTAAGAAGTTCTGTTTCCATCATTTGGAATGTTGGTGGACATAATCGAGCGAAATTAAAAATCCCATTGACTACTAGCTGTCTGTTACTGTTAACATTCAGTGAGTTACATGTTCCTTGGGTGTTAAGCGATGTTAGTTCATCTAAAACATCAAATACACCGTGACCTACATGGTTTAATGGATTCGAACTAAAAGATATCGCTCTCAATTTTAGATTATCTTGGAAAAAGTGAAAATCAAGTTGACTAATAGCATTGAAGAAGAAGTCGATCTGCATCAAATTTGGAAAGACTCTCAACTCGGAAGGATGCAAACTTTCGATTGCTGTGCTTCTAAAGGCCAAAGACTCAAGGTTTGGGAAGAATTCATCGATATTTCTAGGTAAAAATCCTAATATTTGACTGTCAATGAAGATTCCAAGAACGTCACTGTTATTTCTTTCTCCAATGTGATTGTGAGAGACATTTGACACGTTTCTCGGGTCACCAATAAAAACGATTCTTCCAGTGCATTGATAAGTGTTGATCACTGTCCAATGACTTCTCACACTGTAAGTACAATCAAGTAATAGTCCATTACTCAGTGTAAATGTTGAGAAAATTAGAGCCACAATAGTAACGACGAACCTACGTGGAATTGCGAAGAAGAATGAACATAAATTATAATTATTTAAATTAAAATATCTCACATGACTAGTTCAATGCTTTTCTTTTCAACACTAGAAGAAAACTAATGACAACTTTTATATTTTGCAACCTTTAAATAATCAGTTTTGTTGATTAACTTTGAGACTTCCAATCTAATCTAATCTTTTTTCGCAGTCTTTAAATACTTAATGGTATCAGCATAGGAACTCGTTATCAAACCTCGGAGTACTTCAGAAAATTTCATTTTAAAAATAATTTTTCAAGTTTATTTATCAAGTAACAATGACTTAAATTTCTTTAGAAACATTTAATCCTTTGGATTAATAAGTTCAAAGAATTGATTAAACTTTTTGCTAATTTCAATGTTTTTATAGATTTTAACATTATAAAATGTTAATTCAACATTATTAGATAATTATTAATTCATTCCTTCAAGCACTGCAATGCGATGTTCTAATTGAATCAACTCCTGTCTCAATTGAAAGACTTGCATAGTCAAAGGGTTAATTCGGTCGGCAATCCGTTCGTCAACTGCTCGTTCAAAACTTTTTCCAGTGAGAATTTCTCTTTCAATCATTTCGAATGTTGGTGGACATAGTCGAGGGAAATCGCGAATCCCAGAAACAACTTGGGTTCTGTTATTAACAATTAATAATGGATTGCAAGTCCCTGGAGTCCAAAGTGATGTTAGTTCATCTAAAACATCAAATACGCCGTGGCCTATATGATTCAACGGATTGCAATTAAAACTTATCGCACTCAATCTTAGATTATTTTTGAAAAAGTGAAAATCAAGTTGACGAATGAAATTGCCCCGTAAGTCAATCTGAATCAAATTTGGAAAGACTCTCAAATCAGAAGGAAACAAATTTTCAATTCTTGTGTGTCTGAAAACCAAAGATTCAAGGTTTGGGAAGAAATTGTCGATATTTCTTGGTAAAAATCCTAATGTTTGATTCTCCACGAATATTCCAAGTACGTCAATGTTATTTCTTCCTTCAATATGATTTTGAGAGACATTTGACACATTTTTCGGGTCGCCAATAAAATCGATTCTTCCAGTGCAAGTATAAATGAACGTCACTTGCCAATGATTTTTCATACTGTAAGTACAATCAAGTAATAGTCCATTACTTAGTGTAAATGTTGAGAAAATTAGAGCGACAATAGTAACGACGAACCTACGTGGAATTGCAAAAAAGAATAAACATAAATTATAATTAGATATTTCGATTTAAATGTCTCACATGTCTCATCCACTGCTTTCCTTTTTAACACTAGAAGAAAACTAATGAAAAGTTTTTTATTTTGCAACGTTTAAATAATCTCTCTTATTGGTTTAACTTGAAAACTTCCAAAGAAACTCGTTATCAAATCTCGGAATACTTCAGAAAATTTCATTTCTAAAAATAATTTATCAAGTAACAATGACTTAAATTTTTTGGAAATATATCTAATCCTCAGGGTTAATCAGTTCAAAGAATTTTATTCAGAGCTGTTTCATCTTTTATGGATTAACATATGAAATATTAATTCAATTTTATTAGATAATTTTTAATTAATTCCTTTCAAGAACTGCAATGCGATGTTCCAATTGAATCAACTCCTGTCTTAATTGAAAGACTTGCAAAGTCAAAGGGTTCATTTGGTCAGCAATTTGTTCGTCAACTATTCTCCCAAAATTTCTTCCGGTGAGAATTTCTCTTTCCATCATTTCAAGTGTTGGTGGACATTGTCGAAAGAAATTGAAAATCCCAGAAACAACTTGGTTTCTATTATTGGTAATAGTCAATGGATGGCAAGTCCCTTGAGTGTGAATTGATGTTAGTTCATTCAAATGATCAAATACACCGTGGCCTATATGATTCAATGGGTTTGATTGAAAACGAATTGCTCTCAATTTAAGATTTTCTTCGAAAATATGGAAATCAAGTTGAGTAATTAAATTACTGAAGAAATCGATCTGAATTAAGTTAGGAAAAACATTCAAATCAGATGATTTTAAACTTTGAATTGATGCACTTCTGAAGTTTAAAGATTCAAGGTTTGGGAAGAAGTTGTCGATATTTTGTGGTAGAAACATTAATCCGGAGTTTTCAACAAGTAATCCTAGGACGTCACTGTTATTTCTTCCTGCAATATGATTGTGAGTAACAGCTGTCACGTTCTGAGGGTCACCAATAAAAATAATTCACCCAGTGCAATGATAAGTGTTGGTCACTGTCCAATGGGTTCTCACAGTGTATTGACAGTCAAGTATAAGTCCATTGCCCAACAAAAACGTTGAGAAAAGTAGAGTCACAATAGAAGCGATAAACCTAGATATTTATAAAGATGAAATGTATGAAAAGACAATTACTTTGATTCAACTGTCATTATCTCACATATTTAATAATTAGTTTCACTTGCAGCCTTGTTCAATATAATTTATAACTAATAAGCTTACCTTCTTTCGCAGCTTTTAAATAGTAAGTGAAGAGTATCGGGACAGGAAGTTTCTATCAATCACTGGAAGCACTTTTTATCTATTCAGATAGGTACTATACAAAGAAAACCGAAGGTATGTAAGAGATAAGCTTTTAGGAAACAATGACTTATCTTCTCAGAAACATAATTATCTTGACCGACTTTTCCGAATGTCAGTCTTATCTCAGATTATAATAAACCAGATAAAATTATTTCTAATAATAGTATCTATTGGTAATTATTGAAAACTTTAAATTATACATTGACTTTTCTTTAAACTGAGTGAACTCTAACTTATTCTTCATAATCATTCATTTGTTATAAAATATGCAGAGATATCAGATTTAGATAAATGCGAACGTAATAATATTGCATAAAAATAACGGTTATGATGATAATTTTAAACTGACAGCATAATCATTTTACCCATCGTTAAACTTTTCAAAACCTTGACACCCCCTTTTCCATAAGTTTTTCACGAAATAAAACGTGTAATTAAATCTTTTACTTAATACTAGTGTTAAAACATCTCAAACATAATTGAAATCACGTTATGATGATTAATTATAGTATAATGAATAAAATTTTCATAAGTTTTTGTGGGAAAGTTGCCACTAATTGTCTCAAAGCTATGAAAAGAAGTCGAATATTTTTTGTTTTCAATTTTAAATTTTTTGAAATTGGGATTTGCTATTCTTCTCAAATTTCTGTGAAGAAACTTGTTCTCTTAAAACACAAAACTTCTAATAAAGTCTACATAGCAATTAATTATTATACTAGGATTCAAACGAACAGATTGCAATAAAAATAATCAATTGTGAAATAAAATCCACAAATAATAATTTTAAGTCGAGGTTATGTCTTGAGATGTTTTGAACATAAATAATTGCAAAATATTCAAAAACGACAATATTTTAACTCTTATGAATTGTTTTTAGGTGAAAACCAATCATCATGCCTGGAACGACCGTAAAAGACGTTGATCAGGACAAAATTGTCCAAGGAGTTGCACTTTTCTTGAAGAAATCTGGCAAATTAAAGGTTCCCGATAACATGGACATCGTCAAGACTTCAAAATCAAAAGAATTAAGTCCATACAATCCCGATTGGTTTTATGTTCGTTGCGCATCAATTTTGAGACGAATGTATCACCGTGGCCCAATTGGTGTCGGTGGTGTTAAGAAAATCTTTGGATGTCGCCAACGTAACGGTGGATGTCCTTCACATTTTTGTCGTGCTGATGGTGCCGTGTCTCGTCGCGCAGTTCAAGCTCTTGAACATATTAATCTGATTGAAAAGCATTCAGATGGCGGTCGCAAACTGTCACCACAAGGACAACGGGATTTAGATCGTATTGCTTCTCAAATTGTTGCTTCATCACGAGCAGCTGCAAAGAAAGAAGCTGCAGTTCTCGTTCTCACCACAAATGAATAAACATTCTTTATTTGTAATCAATAAGTTAATGTGAAATAAATGCAGGAGTGGAAAAACTGAGAACATAAAATTGAAAAGTTTTAATTTTATTTTTATTCATATATTTGTTAATTTAAGGCTTAACATGTCAATTTCTCATTAGTTTTTTCTTTTTTAATGTCAAGTGTTTCTTCTTTTTTAATTTTTATTCCAGGGATTTCCTCCAAATAAATTTTTTCAACGTCTTTGATATAATCACAAGCTTTGGTCCAAACTTGATCTGGCAAGCGATCCACTGCTTTTATCACTTTGTCTTTAGTGTCATCATCATCTTGAATGTCAAATCTTCTTCCAATCTCGTTGAGAAGAAACACAGAAACGAATTCTGTCGCATCAAGTTCATAATGTGAAACTGGCAGGAAGAGAATTTTGACTTCATCACCTCGGAGCATCTGTGTAATAAATTCAAGAGGACTTTTATATCTTCTCATAACTTTCTTAACTGGATTTACTTGGGAGAATTTTTTTGAAGAAAAGAAATTGTGGATAGTCGTTTGGCCCTTCGCCTAAATATTAAAAAAAAGAATAACGAAATATTTTATTAATACATATTTTAGATTATTCTAATCACGTTCTTACATTTGCAGCCATGAGCCTTTTTCTCTCCTTTGTTTTTCCTTCTGGTATTTCAGAGTTTTTAATAATTCTTTTATGCTCATTGTTNTATTTTAACTCTTATGAATTGTTTTTAGGTGAAAACCAATCATCATGCCTGGAACGACCGTAAAAGACGTTGATCAGGACAAAATTGTCCAAGGAGTTGCACTTTTCTTGAAGAAATCTGGCAAATTAAAGGTTCCCGATAACATGGACATCGTCAAGACTTCAAAATCAAAAGAATTAAGTCCATACAATCCCGATTGGTTTTATGTTCGTTGCGCATCAATTTTGAGACGAATGTATCACCGTGGCCCAATTGGTGTCGGTGGTGTTAAGAAAATCTTTGGATGTCGCCAACGTAACGGTGGATGTCCTTCACATTTTTGTCGTGCTGATGGTGCCGTGTCTCGTCGCGCAGTTCAAGCTCTTGAACATATTAATCTGATTGAAAAGCATTCAGATGGCGGTCGCAAACTGTCACCACAAGGACAACGGGATTTAGATCGTATTGCTTCTCAAATTGTTGCTTCATCACGAGCAGCTGCAAAGAAAGAAGCTGCAGTTCTCGTTCTCACCACAAATGAATAAACATTCTTTATTTGTAATCAATAAGTTAATGTGAAATAAATGCAGAAGTGGAAAAACTGAGAACATAAAATTGAAAAGTTTTAAATTTATTTTTATTCATATACATTTGTTAATGATTTTAACAATTACTCTGGTAATATAAGGCTCAACATGTTACTTTGTCATTAGTTTCTTCTTTTTTAATGTCAAGTGTTTCTTCTTTTTTGATTTTTACTCCAGGGATTTCCTCCAAATAAATTTTTTCCACGTCTTTGATATAATCACAAGCTTTAGTCCATACTTGATCTGGCAAGCGATCCACTGCTTTTATCACTTTGTCTTTAGTGTCATCATCATCTTGAATGTCAAATCTTCTTCC